CACTACATGGTTATTAATAATGTGGCGGTAAATAAATCCTCAAAATCAATGGCTCTGTAAGTTTTCGACACATTCTGACCACATTAGTGTTAGTGGATTCACCCAGCTGAAGGCGCCCGGTCATGCATCCTTACCTGATCACGAGTGGGAACGCCTTGCTCAACTTCCCTTTTAATCGCTAGTCAGTTTAGATTAGTCGGTTCCCGATATATTGATAGCCTATTAAATATATCTTCGAAATTCCTCACTTCTGACCTTTGATTTCACTAGGTGCGCACAATTCATAGTATAGTGTTACTGATTAAAGCGGTTTCAAACTCCAAATACTTGTGGCGTCTTCAACATAATCAATATGTAGCAATGAATCTTATGATTATCAACGTCACACTTGAAGCCCGAGTTGCTCGACTTGGCTATGTAACCCTTCCACAAACACAGGTAACACAGACCACATCTTATCTTCGGCCTCCTTTCTGTAACATTCACCTTCGATAACTTTGTATAATCTGTCTCTCTGTGATTGCCTAAGCAAACTTCGTAACTTAAAACCTTGACTGAGTTGCTTGGGTAACGCTTAATTACGTTAAAGCGTTGTCCGTTGTCAACCTGGCCTTCATAATTCCTTTTTACCGAACTTTGAGTTACACTGTACCAATCTATCATAACGCATCTGAGCAATCCTAGTCCTTTCTTCTACAAAGATGACAGTTTCATCAAAGCTCGTCTCCTTCCCGACCACCATGATATTATCGGCAACTTTCGCCCACTTATTCTTTAATTCTAGTGGTAAACATGACATTATTATCTCCAAATTACTTTTAGAATTCACACAAGAAATATACTCCATTTTCTTCAATGTTATGCATACGTTACGTAGCATAATCAATAGCCGTCCTGGCCTTTCCTTTACAGTAATATAACAGATATGACATTTGGCCCTTATCAGACAGTTTACTTTCGATAATGCTAGTAAACTGACCAACGAAATGGTGGTCGTCCATCAAAATACATCATGCCAATCTTATTAAAAAACTATATTATGTAACGTATCCCTCAACTCATCAACCCCATCGCCTTCTGAAGTGCTAAAAATATCACAATCAAAATACCTTACAACCTTAGCATTTATCTCACCCTTGTATACAGGTAGCTGGTTATCCTTCTCCATGAACTTATATTCTAATTCAGTTATATCTACCTCTTCCTGAAGATCTAACATCTTAAGCTGCCTTTCTAACTCAAGTCACTCCTCTAAGTTCTTCTTGCTTAGTAATGCCGTTCCTAATTTTAGTACTGATCACAACACATACGATTACCACTAATATCATCACGTCAACAAATAGAGCTAGAACAATCGACCCAAAGTGAAAGTGCAAACAAACCCAAGGTATGAAGAATATAGAACCAATAACTAAAGAAATTTATGTTACGTTCAAGGTTTTGCTCGCTTTCGTTATTGAAGTACGGCATATCCATCTATTTACAGCTTACGAACCCAAATTAAAAATAGAACCAAGCTCCGATTTAGGTACCAAAGTTTATTCGCAATTTACAAATAGTCGACCTAAATGTCGTTCTTCAGTTTTGCAGGTTCCCGGAGCAAAAACTACCAAATACCAAACCGAAGACAAAGATAAACTAGAATTTTACCAGTCGGATGTCTCTTCGGACCGTAAGAAAAGAAAACGGCCAAACATACGGTTGGTGACCAAACTGCACCACATATCAGTTTTAAAATGAGTGTTTAGTACACAGATGGCTAACAGAACACAAATCATTGCATACCGAAAACAGCATGTCTGTCATGAAGTCGGCTAATGCAAGCTTTGCTATCACAGACATCTCAATTTCCATCGTACGGCTTGAATCTATTCCTACATAACAGTTTATTTATTAGCGGAAGCGAACATAGGCCAGAAATTGAACCTTTAGCACTTTATTGGAGATGTATTCCGGTATCGACCTGCACATCCATGTGCTGATGATTGTCCGATTACAGAGTGAACATCTAGACCTAGCATTTAAACCGTGTCACTGTAATCATAAACAGAGAAAAAATTGAAACTAGCTCGCAAGCTAAGAAACGAGATGTTTGCCGTTACGGAATTTCAAGAGTCAATCATCATCAGACAACTACGAACTTTCAGTGAATTAGTAGGTCTTTATCAAAGCTTCGTTCGGAATAACGCGTTTTTTCCGACACCATTACAGGACTAGAATGGTAGAAACCCAAAAATAGTAAAACAAAAAAGTGTCAAATATTGAATTTTCATGTGAATATTTATCTTATGAGTTTACTTACTTATATATATCGTTGTTTCGGAAGTCTGGTATATTGTACACTGGAACACATTGTTTTGCATTAAAACTCAGGGATTTGTGCTCTATGGAGCTGAAACTTGGAGAACTACAACAACCACAATCAAGAAAGTACAAGTATTTATAAATAGCTGTCTATGCAAGATACTCAACATCCACTGGCCGGATACCATCAGCAATAGCCTTCTGTGGGAGAGAACAAACCAACTTCCAGCTGAAGAAGAATTAGGAAAAACGATGGAAATGGATAGACATACATTACGCAAATGTCAAACTGCATCACGAGGCAAGCCCTAACTTGGAACCCTGAAGGGAGCGAAAAGAGGAAGGCCAAAGAACACATTGCGTCGGATAATAGAAGCAGATATGAAAAGGATGAATTACAACTGGACGGAGCTGGAAAGGATTGCCAGGACAGGGTTTGGATGGAGAATGCTGGTGAGTGGCCTATGCTCCTTCACGAGGAGTAACAGGTGTAAGTAAGTACCAGAGTCTTGAATACTGGTCTCTGATTGATAACAAACGTCGATATTAAGACTTTCCAAAGACATAGCCAGCCCTATCTGTTGTCTGACCTGCATAAGTGTGCGAACGTTGAAGGCAGCCAGTTTGAATGGTGCACGTGGTTTCAGATAGACTGCTTCAGTATTCGTATTTGATGGTAGTATACAATTTTCAACCAGGCAGTGACTCGAGAACGTTTAGATAGAATCAAGTTTCCACCATAGGCGAGGTACTGTATAAGTCGAAAAATAAGGATACATAAAGTGGGAATAAAAGAGAGTGAATAAATGACGTAAAGATGATAATAGTAACAATAATAGTAATAATAATAATAATGTGAATCGTTTGATTGTTGTTCGAAGCAAGACAAGTATTTTCCATAAATATCGACATTTTCATTTTATTTGTGTGTGTGTGGGCTGTGATACTGCCTGGGTACCCAGACCGAAGCAGGTGGTTTTTTTAGGTGAGCCACACCTCGAGCCTTTTGACCTAAAGATCTGACCCACAAGGCAGTGGAGCATCGTAAGGAGATGCAGTCCCATGGTAGCCGGTGATCAACGATTGGTTCATACACCATTTGTTCCCTCAGGATACTGGAGTCCATGTGAACCATTGTTTGGGATCCGGTTCAAGCACCGGACATTCTCTTTTCGTCGTGTCACTTTCGTAATCAACACCCGTGGTGCGAGAATGCGGTGAGTAGGACTTCCTTGGCAGAGGCTGTATACGCGTGACCATGCATGAGCATTTCGAGAGGGATGGTGGGCACACCCTACTCTCGGCCATACCAGGGCATTTGGGGCGATGGATAAGGCGTGTGCCTCCTAAGTACATTGTGATCGTGTATCGGCTGACTAGTTTAGCTTACATTACATTTAGCACTTTGGCTATTAGATCATATATCTTTCTACCTATCAGGGTGCAGACAACCAAATAGTATCTGCTATACATTAGATGTAACTCATAAACTAGTACACTAAATTTTATGGATTTGCTAAAAATGTTTAAAATGGTTATTGATATTAGAGATTAGTTACTTCACGATTCTTTAAGGCATTCTACAACGCCAAACAATATACATTCGGAGATAGTTGTATTAATTTTGGAATGTCAATTTTCTGAGGCAAAGTCCGGCTCACATCTGACTGAGGTGTGCCGGAGATAGCAGACGTTAGTCTCATGAACTAACGTCAGCGGCTAGGCGGGACCGGGCTAACCCTTACTCTGATGAAACTTATGTAAATCGGTCCACTCCACCATTATGTCATGATTATGGACTATCTGAAAACCTCGAAATAAAGATTTATGTGTAACTCAGGAATGAAATGGTCGCGGACTGGATTATCTCTAGGATTTTCCATTCGATCTGTTGCAGACCAGAGCGATGACCATAAACTGCACCCTTACCAGTGCACAGGGTTTGATACCAAACTCGTTTGTGGTATAATCAAGAAGAGCTAATATTCAAATGATGACCTTGATTCAATGCTTCGAAGACAAGTATTTCATCTGTTTCCCCTTACTACTGGGCTGCGGACTGGTGCGCGCGCCAAATCAAATCTCGTCCATCCTTATGTGTTTATTATGGATTGCACAGGCCCCAGCTTGTATATTCTATCTATACATATAGCGTATATTTGCGTCGTTGCACATTTATGCTTGTTTGTGCTATGGACTAAACTAGTAACGTGTGGTTTGTTTTCTCCCGTGAGATCGGCTTATAAAATTTAACTGCGAAACTATTGTGCTCAATATAAATTATTCAGCCTAAGTCCTGTATAACTAGTTTCTGTAAGTATAGTAGTCTTACAGATCCTCACTGTAGCTCTACTCTTCCTGGTGATCCAATCGGCTTTCCAACCTGGTTGAGGGGACAGAACAAAATACTAAGTTTACTGGATGTCCTGTCACAGTAAAATGTTTATTTCGGCCCATAAATTATAGTAGTTCCCTTCTTAATATATTGGTCATACATCTGAAGGTTTTAAAAATTTCACCGTCTATTTCAACACAGAGTTTTATTATTTGCACATTATACAGAGAATGTCTTCAATCTATCCAGACTATTTTCTTTCATCTTTCTTACAGATGACTCAATTCCTTTCTCGTCAGAAGATAAAATCGATACTCCAAAAAAATTACCCAAAACTGATTATACAGATTTCGATAATAGGATGTGGTCAAAAGCATTTTTCATGTGTTTACATTATGCTTGTGATTTATCCATCTCAAATTCTTTGATGGTACAAACTGCATCATTAGAGGCATTTGTTCAACTGTTAATAGTTAGACGTCCACTCTTTTTATTTCCAATAAGTTGGCTTACAAGTATTACATCATGTTCGTCACCAGAACCATTATCTTACAATCGGCATTTAAATGATAATACTGCTAATAATGATATTTTGAATGATAACACAATTATTGAATCATCATCTCAACAGTACAAACTGTATGAAAGTGAGTTTTACTACTTATAGCTTTTATTTAGCAATAGAAATAATTACTCTAAGTACTCGTGAGTTTCTTGATTAAGGCACTATTGATTCGACTAAATAATGTGGAACAGGATTCGAACCGGTTAGAACAATGTATAGTGATAGTGTCTAGGTGGAAATGTAGTCCGTTGACTTGACCATATAGATTTTAAAGCATTGACGTAGGAGTTGAATCTCAAAGCTAAATGCTAAGCTTATGCTAGAAAGGAGGATGATTTGAGTCATGCTATTAAAGTAGATCCATCTAATATATCTGTATATGGAACACTTAGGGTTCAGTTGATATATGCAAATGTTTTAATTGGCTTTTCTCCAGCAAACTGAGCTTAGATTTGAGGAAAAAGACTTTTCAAAAGCTTTGGCTCAATATGCACTAGTTACGCAAAGAGAATGATCCTCTTTCTCCCTCTCTCTCCTTAAGTATGATTACGATTAAAAACCCTAATAAGTTGTCAAAAAAGTAGAAATAGTTTGCCCGAACTTTAAGAGTATGTTATGAAGTATCAAAGTGTTACCACAGACTAATATGGACCAAATATGTCTTTTGGGTTGTATATATTTGTATTTCAGTTGATTTAATAAATGTAGTCGTTTTCATCCATTTTCACGTAACTTCCAAAGTATCCTTGCAAAGTTCACCTTTAACTTCTGCTTTTTCAACGGTGTTTGATTTGTTTTGTTTAGTGTATCTGATCAATATTCCAGTTGGTCAGACGATATCCAGTCACTTTTACCATTATATATATAGCCCGACCGTTGTTGCTACCTTGACGTGGTGGTCGGGCTTGCCTATCGTGATGAAGCAACCGAGCTATACTGGCTGGAACAACCGTTCCTCAAGGTCCTACCATATCAGACAGGTCGGTTGAAGAGCGGTAAGACTAAAAGCAACAAACCCAAGGTCCGAAGGCGAAGTCGTACTGCTGGCTGTACAGAGGTGTGACAGCAGTAAGGTGTTCCCTTCAGACAACCAGCATGACAGCGATGCTGCCTTCCCACAAGGAGGGGTGGGGTTAGAAAAGGTCGACCCTAAAAATGCACACCTCGCCTTATCCCACGGATATCCGTCTCCGGCGGTAAGGTCTCAATAAGTACGGAGCTAACACAAAAATTACCCATAACAAGGTCGTGTGTGACCGACCTCAAGCAGTTGTCCCTTGGGCACTGCGGTCACGCTCTCAGTTCACTAAGACCACTTCTAATCCGATTTCCTTTTCAGGTACCTCCAGAACAACCCTTCCACGGTGTGGGCAGCCGGGAAGTGATAACCGCCCTCATACCTCTAACAGCACTCAAGACCACTGTATTCATAATCAACCTCCCTCTCCAATTCCTATTATTCCTCCTACATCGACTTTCAACTCTATATTTCCTCTCTCGGCTTCCACCCCAAGTGTCACCGTCTGAGCCATGTTGGTAGATGCAGACTACTTGGTTGGGGTCCGCGTGACTTTCGTAACCAATGGTTGGAGACCCTTGGTGACATGGCTCAGAATCGATCACAATGGCGTCGGTGTATACACTCTCTGTCTTCTCTTAAACTAAGAGATTAAGATCACTTCACATCTTTCTTTCTACGAACTAATTCTTTCTTCCTATACTATATCCTTATTGCAATCCTTCTCCTATATATTACCACCTTTGACCTAACCACTCCTATGAATCCGGTGTTCATCTTGCTGTGCTAATGAGGTATGGCAACCTGGGCCGATGCATACATGTGCCTGGTCCTACGTTGTAGCTGACTGACTGACTGACTGTCACCGTAGCCAACGATTCTAGTGCGCAAAACACTGTCCCAGGTCTACTGAAACCTCGCTCCAAACTACACATTGGAGCCTTCAACGTACGCACCCTATGTCAAATCGGTCAGCAGGCTTCCTTGGCTAAAACCCTAGAGTCTCTTTCCATTGATGTATGCTGTGTCTCCGAAACACGCATACAGGATTCCAGTGTGGTCATTCACTTGACCTCACCTCGGCAAGACGGAGAGCCAACGAGATACACCCTTCGTGTGTCTGGTGACCCGATGGCAAGTTCTCGTGGACTGGCAGGTGTAGGCATAGCACTAAGCATGAGGGCCGAACAAGCACTGCTAGAGTGGATCCCCGTCAACAGTCGTCTATGTGCTGTTCGGCTGAACGGCTACGTAAGAACTCGGAAGGATAGGGACACACGTCGTTGCCTTTTTGTCGTTTCTGCCTACGCTCCCACTGACTGCAGCTCAGATGAAGTGAAAGATGAATTTTACAGAAAGCTGTCCGAACTTCTTCAGAAAGCTAAACGCTCAGACATAGTACTCGTAGCAGGTGATTTTAATGCTCAGATAGGCAGTTTAAACCAAACAGAAAGGCATTTAGGTGGATATTTTAGTATTCCGACACAGCGAACAGATAATGGTGATCGTCTGCTGCAGCTATGCTCAGACAATCGTTTATTTTTAGCAAACACAAATTTTAAGCATAAGGAGAGACATCGTCTAACATGGCGACCCCCTACACCAAACCAACGATGGACTCAAATAGACCATATTGCCATCAGTCATCGTTGGAGAGGGTCGGTAGAAGATTGTCGCTCATTCTGGAGTACCTGCTTGGACTCCGACCATGCCCTAATACGGGCACGCATCTGCTTGCGCCTCACTGGACGCAAAAAAGCCACATTAAAAAGACCCATTAGAACTGAGTTGAGTAACGAGAAAACCAAAAGTAGGTTCCAGGAACAACTGAGGTCACACTTAGGTAGTTGTGAAGACGAGGCTGACCCAGATGTTGCTTGGAAGGGCATACAATCAGCTGTGGAAACAGCAGTGACATCTATTAGTGACTTAAACCACAGAGTTACAAGGAACCAGTGGATTTCTTCAAGGTCTGTCACACTGATGGATTCTCGCAAACTCGTCCCATCAGGTTCTGAACATGATGAAGAGCGTAAACAAATCAGATCTAGGTTAAGAAAAAGTCTAAGGAACGACCGTGAGCAGTGGTGGGTAACGAAAGCAAAAGAGATGGAAAAGGCGGCGACTATAGGGAACACAAGACAGCTTTACAGACTAATAAAAGAAACTGGAATTAATAAGTCAAGTGTAAGTGAGATTATTTCGGAAAAAGATGATACTCTCATCTGCTCCCAGTCCAGACGTTTAGAACGATGGGCGGAACATTTTAGAGAACAGTTCAGCTGGCCTTCAGCTACTCTACAACTACCCTCCATTCCCAGACAAAGTGAATGGAACATTGAAGTAGGTCCCCCAACTCTTGCTGAAGTTGAGAAGGCTATAGTTAATCTGAAACGAGGAAGGGCAGCTGGTCCAGATGGATTGGCTCCAGAGGTCTTTAAGGATGGTGGTCCAATTTTAGCGATTAGGTTGACTAATATTTTAGCTAAGATCTGGGAATTAGACGTTATCCCATCTGACTGGTCGCAATCACTTATCGTCCCAATATATAAGAAAGGGTCAAAATCATCCTGTGACAACCACAGAGGGATTAGTTTAACAAACATAGTATCTAAAATACTGGCCTCGATAATTATCAAACGCCTAACTAAGACTCGTGAACTACAAACACGAGAGAACCAAGCTGGCTTTAGACCTGGTCGTGGCTGCATCGACCACATATTCACCATTCGTCAGGTTCTAGAACACAGGCATACCTATCGGCGTCCGACGATGGTGGTCTTTCTTGACTTAAAAGCAGCATTTGACTCTGTAGACCGCGAGACTCTGTGGCAGTGTCTGTCATTGAAAGGCGTACCTCAGAAGTACATAAACCTTGTGAAGGCTCTTTACTCGAACACTACTAGTCGAGTCAGGGCTTATGGCGAACTGTCATCTACTTTTGCAACCTCAAGTGGTGTCCGTCAAGGCTGCCCACTTTCTCCATTTTTGTTTAACTTCATCATAGACCTATTGATGGAAATAACACTCTCGTCGACTGAATTCTCGGGTATTGATCTCCTTCCAGGAGGTCCACTTATCGACTTAGAATACGCAGATGACATAGTCCTGTTTGGTGAAGACGCTGACAAAATGCAGAGTCTTCTGGTAGCACTAAGCAACAATGCCAGAATGTTTGGGATGCGCTTCTCTCCCTCTAAATGCAAGTTGTTGCTTCAGGACTGGTCTGCGTCAACACCTGAACTAAGGATAGGGAGTGAAGTAGTCGAACGCGTTGACAACTTCACTTATCTTGGAAGTCTGATCAGCCCTAATGGGTTGGTGTCTGACGAAATCTCAGCACGGATTCGTAAAGCTCGTTTGGCTTTTGCCAACTTACGTCACCTTTGGCGGAGGCGAGATATCCGTCTATCAATAAAAGGACGAGTATACTGCGCGGCAGTCCGTTCTGTTTTAATTTACGGCAGCGAAACATGGCCCTTAAGAGTAGAAGACACCCGTAAGCTACTAGTATTTGACCACAGATGCCTTAGAAATATTGCTGGCATCTGCTGGGATCACCGGGTAAGTAATAGTGAGGTTAGACGCAGGGTATTAGGGAATGATGGTAAATCAGTTGATGAGGTTATGAATCTTCATCGACTGAGATGGTTGGGCCACGTATTACGTATGCCTGAACACCGATTACCACGACGTGCAATGCTAACCGGTGTAGGGGATGGTTGGAAGAAAGTTAGGGGCGGCCAAACCAAAACGTGGCATCAGTGCCTGAAGTCACTAACTTCTAGTCTGAGCCATGTTGGTAGATGCAGACTACTTGGTTGGGGTCCGCGTGACTTTCGTAACCAATGGTTGGAGACCCTTGGTGACATGGCTCAGAATCGATCACAATGGCGTCGGTGTATACACTCTCTGTCTTCTCTTAAACTAAGAGATTAAGATCACTTCACATCTTTCTTTCTACGAACTAATTCTTTCTTCCTATACTATATCCTTATTGCAATCTTTCTCCTATATATTACCACCTTTGACCTAACCACTCCTATGAATCCGGTGTTCATCTTGCTGTGCTAATGAGGTATGGCAACCTGGGCCGATGCATACATGTGCCTGGTCCTACGTTGTAGCTGACTTTTATATATATATATATATATATATATATATATATATATATATATATATATATATATATTTCTGGAAGCAGCAATCAGTAACTTGGCAACTAGTTTTTTATATCTCTTACTACTTCTGCCCTCTCAAACACTAATGTGGAATAAGTAATTTGCAGGAACTGCTATTTTGTGTTTACAGATAATTGTTGTGGAATGTAGTCAACATTATAGAAGTTTTTCGAGTATGTGTCGGTTTGCACTAACGAAACATTTTCTACTTTCTCGCACTCTCTTTCTAGAGTGTATGTAATTGACTAAATAGATTACTGTCAATTGTTTATTTTTGTATGGAAAAATTGCGCTATTTAGTTTTGGAAATGTTAAGAGCTAATGGGTTTAGGTACTAAATGATTTATTTTATATATCTCTCTAACTTATATTCTTTTCTTATCTTCTTCCTTTTTTCATAATGCTACAACATTTTTATGAGGTATTTCAAATAATAATATATTCCGCTTCAGTTTCGGTGTTGCACAGATTTTCGTCTGTATACATTACAATCATCGCTAACTGTATTTTATTTTTAAACGCTCGAATCACTTTATTTATATCGATAACCAAAACAATAAATAATTATCACCAGGTTTGTTTAACTTAGCGATTGATTTGTAAGTGTTTACCAATGAAAAATGATATTTATTTATTTGAACACATAAATATTGGTTCAAAGGGGCACCAAATATTTATGCGCTACACAAAATAATGAGAATGGGAAGAGAAAAAGAATGTAAGGTGCGTATAAGAAAAAAAGAACAATAACGACCACAGATTAGTGTATGGTAGTGTAATAAAAATAATTATAATGGGGGAAACGGAAAGGTACAACCAGAAAAAATTCTTTCAGTTAAAGAAGGTTACAGCAGGATCGCTACTGGCTTCTACTCTGAGCCATATCTGATAACGTTTCTGGCCACTGTGTCGCACTATCTCTCGAACTCCAGCCAGGGAGTCGTGAAGGACCAACAGAAGCCAGCCCTTTGCAGCTTTCTTTTTCACACCACGACACCATGTCATACACTGACCACCTCTTCGCTTTTTCCAACCATTTCCAGTGTCGGCAAATAATGCACGATGTGGAATTCTCTGGGACGACATTCGTAGAACATGTCCAAGCCACCGAAGTCGATGTTTCAAGGTGGTGACACCAATTGGATTATCGTCTCTGTGACCGAACACACGATGCCGAACCTCTGCATTGCTAACATGGTGTTGCCACTGGGACGACATTCGTAGAACATGTCCAAGCCACCGAAGTCGATGTTTCAAGGTGGTGACACCAATTGGATTATCGTCTCTGTGCCCGAACACACGATGCCGAACCTCTGCATTGCTGACATGCTGTTGCCACTGGATGCCAGCAATCCTTCGGAGAAAACGATGATCAAACACAGAGAGTCGTCTAACATCCCCAACTCGGAGAGGCCAGGTTTCATAAGCATAGAACAGAACTGATCTCACCGACGCGTCGTAGATCCGACCTTTTCTAGCCTGATTTGCATAAGCCGCTCTGGCTTTGACTATACATGAATTGATCTTATCATTCACGCTACCACCAGCACTTATGCAGCTACCCCCGCTGATCGATGTTGACATGGTTTTAGAAGAACTTTGAGAAGTAGTAGCATTCAATATTCGACCAGTCAGTGACTCGAGATTGTTTAAAGAGAATAGAGTTTCCACCATAGGCGGGCTGCTGCACAATTTGAAAAATAAGGATGCACAATGTAGGAGTGAAAGAGAGTGAATAAGTGACGTCGTATAAAAAGAGTAAAAATGAGTTAATTGTCTGACTTTTAATCGAGGCGAGAATAGTATTTTCAGTAATTATCGTCACTTCATTTCATTTGTGTGTGGGCTGTGATACTGCCTGGGTACCCAGACCGAAGCAGGTGGTTTTTTTAGGTGAGCCACACCTCGAGCCTTTAACCTAAAGGTTTTGACCCACAAGGCAGTGGAGCATCGTAAGGAGATGCAGTCCCATGGTAGCCGGTGATCAACGATTGGTTCATACACCATTTGTTCCCTCAGGTTACAGGAGTCCATGTGCATCATTGGTTTGGAATGTGGGTTTCCCAACTCCCCTAGGTTGACTCATCGTGTCCACCGACCCGGTTAAAGCTCCGGATATTCGCTTTTCGTCCTCTCAATTTCGTAAATAAGAGAAATGTCTTGAGAAGGCAGTGAGTATGACTTCCCTGGCAGTGGTTGTATGCACGTGGCTGTGCGAGAGTATTTTGTGAGGGAGGGCGGCTCCTCTCCACTCTCAGCCGTACCAGGGCATTTGTTCACTGTAATGTATCTAATTTTTGTACTTGCACTACCGGTAGGTAATATTAAGCATAATTTTTGAAAAATTGTGAATTGATATATAAATAAACTCTAACCATCAAATCTCATCGTAACAGAGGTTTGTGATTTTCACGATTTATGAGTTTATCAAGGAATCTGATGTCTGTAAAAGATGTTTTGAAATTGAAGTTTGCTTTTGAAGAACGGGGTTTTCTTAAACGATAGTGATATATTCAACAGATAATCTGTGCATCAAAACTGAAGTATATTATCTACATCCGATAAGTTCTGATTCGTTCACAACTCAGCCCCTACTGTTCTATTGATGTCTCTTTTTAGAAGAGCTTTTAATTTTTTAGTCTGAATCCAACGTTTTTCTGTCAGGTTTGTTATCGTCGGAAAATTATCGACGCATAACAACTCGAAGATAGTATGAAACATTTGAAATCGAATTTCAAAGTCACAAGAGATCAGTAAACTCATCTGAAACGAGAAAATCAACGGTCCTAACAACGATACTTCATAATTTATTAGTGAAATATAAAAAAAAACAGTTCTATCTAAAAATATTTGGGTGTTATTGCTTCCTATTTGGAATGCTGAATAACTTCATATAGACACATCAGATGATGTGCCAAAGCGAATTAAAAGCTATTTTTATGGGTAAAAAAGTACAGTTTATTGTAGATCATCAATAAGCTGATATTACGGTTATCCAGTGCAGTGAGATCACGTAAGTACTGTAGATACAGTAATTCTGAAAACTTTTGATTATTTAGATATCTCTTTCAGGTGTTCAGTGGAGAATTTAATTGTTTCCTATTATACACATTTGACTTTGTATTTATGCAAAACAGATCATTTTTATCTTTTATTTACCTTTTTATACATATTGTTCTCATTCTAATCACTCATTTTAAATTGGTTGTATTATGTTGAAAAAGTTACTTTGAAATAATTTCTGTTATTCTTTTCCTGTCATGAAAGGCATACTTTTCAGTTTTGTAACTTTCTCTTTTTCCACTCAGTTCATGGTCGATTCACATAAACAAAATGATATAAGACTCTTTCCAGATAATTCGCATAGTAAAAAAGCACTAGATATCTGCTGTTTGTAATGTAACAGTCCATCAAACCATGCAAACATTTATAAAGTGTGAAGTCTCACAATCTTGCTGTACCCTACTTACTTTCAATTTTACATTCAACATTTCCTTGTTTATTTAATAGGTTTTGACTATTATTACGTTTATTACAATTTTTGTTTGTTAACTTGTACCATTTAACTGCAAATCTGTAAACGATTCACCTGTAATCGATATCTCTCAGGTTCAAGACTCGCCTAAATATAAATCATGAAGTAATTACACAAATGTGTATGTGATTGCTGATTTAAATATCCTAATTTTCATGATTATTTACACTGTCTAGCGCCAATCAATAAACTTCTTTTAATTCATGACACTATTCAATTTGTTGACAGTTGTAAATATAATTGATATTCTTGGCTTTCATTAGCCAGTGACCTTAGATGGACTGTTTTTCTTTAGTCTCAGATTCCTCATCACTGTACATACATGACCCTACTGGGGCAGAATTCAAAACCTTCGGGTCTCTTTGCGTTTTACCAACCAAACAAATAGTTCCTTTGTAATGTTTTCAATTAACACAGCACATTAATGGCAGGTAAATAGTTTATTATTTATTAGTAAACTACTGAAGTTATCTTCAATAACTTTGATCTTCACAAATATCATATAATTTCATTTATTTTTACAATCTGATTATTACAGGTGAGCTCACTACCGATATTACAAACTCCAAGGAAACACCTGATTTTGTTGCAAGCAATCGTTTCCTTAGGACGCTTTCTTCGGAGTCAGTTGATGATAAGAGTCCAAGCTCAGATTTTCAGTCAGTCGATAGTTGTGATACATATTTCATTCGATCAGCATCCTCTTCCAGTTTATCTTCTTCCATAAAGATAGATTCAAATGACACAGCAATCAATGGACAAGAGATTCAAAATCAGTTATCTGCTGTTCGTGCTCAGTTGGCTAGAGATGGAGAGAAATCAGTGAATGATGACAATGATGATGTATTCAGCTATTTAGGTTATAATATTGTAGGTGATTCATCCAGAAATATAGAGTCTGCTCAAACTGATTATAGTCATGACTCAGTTAGTAAGTCATATATTAACGTTTCTCAGTGATTATAATTAAAATGAAGTATTATGATCTAAATTAATCATAAAATCTAGTTGATAAGTACTTACATCTAGAGTTATTAATATTCTTTATTTACCATAAAAACCTATGGATATTGTTATGTGCAAATATAATTTGTGGTTTAAATTTAAAATGTAGCACCTTGATTTTACAAATTGATGACTTGTATTATTTAGCTCAGTAGTTTGCGTATTCATTCCTCTTTTACAGATCCAGAAGACCATATACACGATCAGCAACCATCATCCACTCATTATTCGAAATTTCATCCTTTCAACTTATTAAATCTCATTAACTGCCTTAATAATCAAGGTGAACCAATCAATCTAGTTCAGGCTGATTGGTTATTACCTTTTCTTCTCTTATCGTTTGATATGATGCCGGAAGCACAAGAAACTTCTAAAACTCATCATCAGTGGCCAAGGCCTTCAACTTCACCTCGAATTAGTTTACAGTTGCTTGTTATCAATTGTTTAACCCAATTAGCTCAGCTTAATCCATTTATGTTTTTTGTTCAGCTAAATGGTGATCAGTGTTGTCCTAATGATCAACTGAGTATAAAACAAATTCAGTGGCCCACGGCAGGTAATTTTTCTTATTTACCAATTTTATGTTTTGTAAATATTCATACCAACTAGGTTTTCTGTTTACTGTCTACAATCCTATTGGAAACAAACGATATTTCAGTTGTATCGACACATAAAGAATGACACTAACTGACTGCTAAGATGGTCTCAAATTATCTAGTTTTTTTAATTTTGCTGACAAACTACAGAATGAACAAGTTCTCAGTAGTGTTTTTAACACATAATACCCCACTGACCTTTGTTAATATTTAGTTGGTTACTTTCACATTTAGTTTGCCGTTTTTGATTGTGTTTCCAAGGTCATTTTCGTGACTATAAAGACAGTTATTGTACCGCAATTTTGTCTTCTGGAAATAGAATTTCTCTTAACAAGAACTGCCTTCTCTCACTGCAATGCTTTAGGAATATTGCAGTTAAAGTATTGTCATTACGTTGCATTGTCAACTCGGTGGTGAGGATAAAAAGGGGAGTTTGTCCTAGGCGTCGTCGGCTTCACTAACCTGATCGGCACGTTTGAAAATATCATTCGTTGACTCCATCTCTGTTATCCGAATGGAAGCTTGTTGTTTGTAAAAGCTGAATTCCTTACGTCCCATGTTCGACCATGAAAATTTCCAATTTTGAGGATACTTGAAGTAGAATGGAGTAGCTATTCGATCTTTGATTATCAGTGATTCTCTAGTTCCTATTGATTGATAATGTGAGCCATTTACAAAATAAATTGTCCCCTTTTTTAATTGTTAATAAATCTTATTGATCCTTGTTATCTGCAAACACATTAATGCCTAATTCTATGCTTTTACAGTTGAGGTGATTCTGGAGTTTCTCAGTAACAACACTGACCCACAAGCTCAAGGTCAACTTTGCATTCTCATTGGAAATTTGATAGCCTCTTATTTAGTTTGGCAAAATCTAACAGATCAAGATCCTGGTTATTTACTGCTAAATGATCATAAATTCGCTGTATATACAAGCCTAGATCATCTTTTCACCAAACTGGACTCATATTTAAATACAGATGTAGGTCTTATTTATAGCATATGAATTTCAGTTTTCCTTTCAATTTAGTTGGGCTGTAACCGCTAATACTACTGAATATTTGCAAATAAAAAGACAATACGACTTGAATTGTCCAAATAAAAAGACTAAGACTTTTTTGTTTGGTATTAAATAATGACCATTGTTACTTTTTGGGGCTTCAGTATGTTCAGAAGTTGTATAACGCGTTTAACTTCCTGAAGAGAACTGAGTTTAGTGAAGTACCACTAATATTGGTTGTGAGATCGAGCCGTACTGTTGCACCATATTCAGAAATTAAATGTTTTGATGGAATCTTGCTATCAATAGGAAGCTGTCATATTTTTAAATGAGACCTTAGAACAGGCCAGCTGCTAAGATCCTTTATTTTGTTACGATCAAGGTTGAAATATAAACGTAATGAAAAGGTGAAATCAGTTACGTAACGTCATGCGGTTTCAGTCCGGTTACAAAGTCCACATTAGCAGCTAAAACGTGGAAGAAAATAAAGAAAGCAGAGAGCAAAAAATAAAGAGGATACTTGAATATCCTGGACGTTTATCTACGTTTATGTTTTTAATTTTTCCTTAACAAGCTGACTTATAGAGTTAACTTTCTAAAATAATCTTTTCCTTCTGTATCATTTTTTAAATAGTCTTCTAGCCATGTAATATATTTTGATGTCTTCCCATTGCCTTCCTTACTCAGACATTTATATCTATTTGTTGAACTATACTTCGCACTCAGTAATAATTGATTTTTAGCTGACACCGTCTAAAATACATAGTGTCAAAGTTTATAAATGTTTTCATATTTTAAGAAGTGAATTCTTCACATTCATAACCATTAACTACCCCTTCTCAATAATTTCTGAACTTGAATTATTCAGTAATCAAAGTGTCGAGAGGTTTATTTTATAGTGTAGTAACAGGAAAACATGTGGTACGATAACTCATTTTTAGTACATGCTAAAGAGATAACCACTTAATATTGTTACAATGCTTGAGTAGTGTGGTTATGATATTTGATTCACAGAGAAAACGAATTATCTGTTTGAACAGATATTTCAATTAACTAGAATAGAGAAGAGATCCGTGACTTGTACAACCCAACATATGTTTTCACAGTGAAAACTAAGAATAATCAAACATAGTAAGAAAAAATCAATGAACATGTAAATTTGTTATTCGTATTTACATGTTAGATCAGAAGTAAATTAAGAATGTTGTAAAAGATAGGTGAAGAACAACAATTATGTAATTCATTTGCACATTATAATGGTTTTTGTATCTATCGAATCTTCTGACCACGCGACAGTTACACGCGAAAAATCGGAATCCAAGACAAAGTTTTTATCAAGAAAGCGGTGTTGTTATTACAAAATGACATGCATAATAGTTACAAACATCAATTCGTAAAGTGTCTGTGGCGTTTAATGTGTCAGTTTATTTAGATTGGGAAAGTTCTTCCTGAAATAATTGCATAAAGTATAAGTAACAATTAGTAGCTGTCTAAAGTTGACGACTGTCCATAGTCGAAACCGAGACTAAAAACAAAAAAAATAATATGAGAACTGATACATCTAAACAAAGATTCAGTGAGTCCAGGAAATTATAAGTAACTGCTACAATTACAGTAATAATTAGATCTTAAGTTGATGTAAATATTTAGAAGTGACACACAACAATCAAGAAGTGTAATTCATTTGTATTGGCTTGTATGATATGCTATATACTCGAAATAATGAAAAGTGAAATTAATTACTAAATACTGTTAAGTAGTATGATTAACTCACAAAGATTATTGAACATGAAGAAATTAAAATAAAATACCTAAGCAGAATTAGTAGTAAAATGAATTTTCGAAATGAAATTAACTCGATAAGAAAATGGAAACGCGAATAAATTAGTTGCCACTAAAAATAATCAAAACTATCGTGAATTTAGCATCATCAATATGAAGTAAATTTTTTCAAACCATTTTCTTCAATTAAGATGATTTTTCCCTTATTTCATCCACCATAATTATTCGGTTTTATATGTAGCCTTTCCTCTATACTTGTTTAAACTCCTTAGCTTCCTGTTGAAATGATTACATGAATCACATTGCTCAGTTTTCCAATTCTAAGTAACTTGCTCTTCCAATTTCTTTTTACAAATAACTTCATCAGTAATGTATATCACTTTTGATTCTGCTTTATTATACTGATATATTTCAGTGTAATTCATACATGTTTTTAATGAGAAAAAAAATTCTAAACAGTAAATTGGTGTGAAATAAATTCTAGCTGTTCTACTTTTCAGTTATTGTTTTTACAAATAGTAAAGTTTAAACAGGAAGAAAGTTGGTAATATTAATTCTTGAATTCTTGTTCTCTAAAGGTAAACTTCATAAAATAATTTCTCTATGTATTTAACTTGATGTTTTCGTCAGTAATTGTAACCATTTAATGTTCAGTCTATTAATTTGTGACTAATTGTTGATAATTCTTTATGAAGATATAAAACATAAGTGGACAAGTATTGTGTTGTTCTAATGTAGAAAGTGAAATTTTATTTGTTTTTATTTTAACTCAGAATGATTAATAACTTGCATTTACCATAAGTCATCCGTAAGTATAAGTATAGTTGTATATGTAAAATGTGAAAATGTTTTCTTAATGGATAGAAAAACTTAACCATCGAACATCTATGTACTTGATATCATACCAACACTTTGTCTTTTTATACAATTAATTTCCTTAATAAAATTCAACTCTTTTTAGTTGAAATCAATGTCTAATTTTCAAGATTTATACTACTTTCCTAATATTAGTCATATATTACAATGACAGTATTCAATTTTTTAAGTGAAAAATCGGCTATAACTAATAGTTGGTTTACTTGACTCTCCGTTGATGCCTTTTTTAGTTCGCCCATTAGGGATACAGATTATTTATATCTGATCATAACCTAACTTTTCAGTTAATTATTTTTATGACAAAGAAATAGTTGTTTAAGGTTTTTCATAACACCTTTTTTATGGCTGTTATCGGTCATATGTCATTCCACTTTTGTCTCTTTTTCTAGTTGTGTTTTTAAGATGATTTGGAGAGTGAAGTTTGTTGAGTAATCCTTTTCAAGAGTATAAATTGTTTTTTTTGTGACCTTTGTTTACATAATTTCTGTGATAGCTGAAGAAATGAATATATTCCTCATATTCCTAACTTGCTCTTTCATATCTGTTGGGTCAAATAATTGTCATTACTTAAGTTTGTGATAAATAACAAATTCGTTTTATGTGTCACTTCGTAAGTGACAACTTACCGGTCATTCATATTTTCCTAAATATTCTCTTACGCAATCAAGCCAGTTTGATAAAAACTAAAAGAGCTACTCGTAAGTTGTGGTAATATTAAAAAACATATTCTAACTTCTGTGTTTATTACTTATTCAAGGTGTCTGGGATAACTTTACGATGGGCTTTATCTGGTTTACGAGCATGTTCTAACGCTTTATTGTCTTGTGCTGATCGGAAATCCTCATTTTGTCCAAAGGGATCTAACATATTACCGGATGAACTTTTGGTGTATCGTTTTCTAAAACACTGAGTTCAATTGTTATTCATGCATCACGTCATCCTTATCGATTAGTTCGACGTGAGTTGCTAACCTTAGTTACTGAACTTGACTGGGCATCTGTTGGATATTTAGAAGGAACACTGAAGACACATGAATTAGCAAAGGTTTGTTATTTAAAATATAGCTCTTTTTTTTTAATAATAGATGTTTCATGTTTGTGATTTAAATACCCTTTTTAGAAAAAAATTAATTCGCTAATACCTAATAAGCTAATATCTACACTGAATTAATTATTTTACGGAAAATAAATTATAATAAGTCTAAGTGTTGCAAGCGTTATTATTAATTTTGTTAGCTTTCGTCCCATAAGATGCAAGAAAGGTTTGATCTGAATGTTTAGTTGCATTACATATTTATCGTATTCTGTAAACATTTTATCAATCATTGGCTCTACAGCAATATTTGTTTCGGAACTTTCAAACTTAGTTAAAAGATAGTACAACACTGCGGAAAAGAATATGTTTTTCTATACTATTTTAAATTCTGTTTTTTTACACCATTAAAAGTTTTCCATGTGGAGTGTATCGACATTTTAAAGATAGAAAATCCCAAATTAATAAAGGTCTCCATTATCAAACATCGACACACTTTAGGCGTTGTAAATAGAGATTTGTGACGTCTAATCACCATTTTTTAAATACATTGTTAATAATTCTCTTTCTTCGCTTATTTGTTTTAGTCACGCTGTTTTCTGTAATGCCTGCTAGACTGATTGATTTGACATGGACTGAGTGTTGGCGAATTTTATGTGATACTGATCCAGATTTACGTGAATTAGCTTCTACAGCATTAGTTGCATTAGCCTCCAATCTGACTAGTGGCATTGGTGATAATTTAGGTATTTTTACTGGAGGTTTACTGCCGAACCGTATCAAGCGAAGTTTGCACTTTTGGCTGCCACAACCGTATTCAATAATTAGTAAGTTATAAGATTTCATGTAAAACAACTTAAACATATATATTTCTTGGCTATTTCTCAGCTTTTCATTTATCCCTAGATAACCTACACCATTTTTTAGGCTGTATTAGGGTGTTAATTCTATCGAAGCGTCCAAGTAACCCCGATTGAGATACGCGCAAATTCGAAGTTCCAAAACAACGATTTGTCTACAAAAGCGGTTCTTTATTAAATAATACAGAAAATTTAGTTACAAACCTCAACTTGTGAGGTGTCTAGGCGTTTAAACGCGTCGTTCAAGAATGAAAATAGCAAAGGCTTCGATAGTCCAAAGACAGCCGATAGCTGTGTCTAAATTTGATAACAGTTTATGAACAACCGAAACTCGAACCAAGAGCAAACAATATTGAAACTGTTGCGTTTAAACAAATGCATAAAACTGTGGACAACCGTAACAGTAATTAAATTACAGTGATTATAATGATAAATACAATGATAAGTAAAATAAACGTTAAAGATATATGTGAACATTTCAGAATGTTACAGTACAACCTGAGTTACAACATGATTGTGAAAATTGTTGGGCATACAACTGCTTACTGAATATAAATAAGTAGTATAAACCAACATACAAAACAGTAGGAAAGGGAATGAGCAGGAACAATGTAAAACAAACTTAACACCACCCCCCAAAGACAGCATGTCTTTCCTTACTTTCACTGATTAGGTATTAACGTAAAAACATTCAGAGGTGACAATGGTACGATTTACTCTAGCCACAGTCACTCTGAAAAGTCTCTCCATCCTCTACTTTTCGGTCGTCAGCTCCTTCTAATAAACAAATTTTACGTATGTCTCTAATAATTGTACCTTTCTACGTTCTGATCTTCGCTTGTTTCCATAGACCATCTCCTCCTGGGTCAAAACTTACCACGAGGCCTTTAGACCAGTTATTTCGTGCATAAGTGTCCTCAATAATCAAGACTGGACCGCGAACTTGTAAATCTCGTCTTCCTTGTGTCCATTTTGGTCGCGTCTGTAAGAGTGGTCTATCATTAGGTATTCTTTCTGCTTCAGTCAAACAGGTGGTGAGTGTCTCGTAGGACATAGATACTGCGCTCAAAGGTCTGCGTATGCTTCCTATTAATCTTTCCCATACTCGATGATGATTTGCGTAGGGAATGTTATGGTGCCATTCTATGTTCCAATGAGTCATTTCTTTAGCTACTCTACTATCCTTAAAGTCTGGTAATGGATGTTGTATCTGCTTGTCTAACCCAACTAAAGGGGACATGGATGTAGTTGTCTTAAACTTCTTATCATCATCAGCAGACTGAATAAAACAATCATCTTTCTGATTCTCTGTTTCACGCTTGATGTCAATAGAACTCTCAGCAGACGCCACTACAGGAGATACAAGTTTCGTATTTGCAGAGAACTGAGTTGTTGTTGCTTTGCAACTAATTGATGACTCGTGTAGTAGTATCACAGACTTAGCACTAACGTTTACGTCAGAAACACCAGGGAGATCTGTTTCGGCAGAGAACATAACAGATGTTTTCGATGACATTAACTCGCCACTATCTGTTGGAAGAATTTTGTCTGGAGGAGAAATACATCTAAGGTCAATATTCACTACTGTATCGACATGACGATCGTTGGCAGTTTTTAGAAGGTACTCATCGTCAACAGCTGGTAATGAAATAACTTGTTCTAAATCCATTAGATTCTCGTCTGTCGCTTTAGATACAGAATCAAAGGTGTCTATAAGTCGGTTACTTCTTGAATCAGGTGGAGTGTCAAATCCAGAAGAACGAACTGACGGTAAACCTTGATGAACCCTGGAATCTTCAGTCTCAACAGCGGCTGTTGCTACTATGAGTGAGTGTACATCATCATTATCGACTAAGAGTGCCACATCAGGAGAGTGTTTAAGGCATAAACCAGGATCATCTATGAACGGCAACGAACGATTTGAAGAGTTTTCAGGCGCTACTGTGGCCAAAGAAAGGGGTGGCGTGGGTCTATCCTCGATAGAACTCTTTGCTTCTAAACCGTTTATGAAGACTGAATTTAGACGAATTTAGACAAAGCAAGAACAAACATATTTGCAAAACAACGTCAAGTGATTGTATTTCGTTGCATTATCTTCAACTACATATAAGCTAATAAGTCTCCTTATTGCCATTTATTAGCATAATATTGAACTTGATTGAATAAACTGTCAATCAATAAAGGATAAGTTATTTGGAGTGTAAGAGGAATTAAATATTAGTTTCAACAGGGTTATATAATTACTTAGAGCGATAGATCTAGAATACAATAAAAAGTCTGAAAAGTTGTAAAACGTAAAAAAATACCTGCGAGTTAAATTCACTAGATTGTAATTTCAATTAATTGATGAAAAAAGAATCAAAGTACTTAAGTGACTTTGTTATCAGAACAGTTGAGGAAAAGCTACTGACTTTTTGAATACGAATTTCAGGTTTAAGTCTTTCAGTTGCTATGAATTCTTCAGCGAGTATTAATGAACTAGAATCGGGGTGTTTATTGATAACTTTGATCGCATTTATTGCATCTACTTTGTGTTCCGCGTCTAGTAAGTGGTGTGGTACTTTCTTTCGCACTTCAAACAACTTATTCCCTATTCGTTGACAATTCATTATTATAAAAGTCAGAACTTTTGTAACTCGTTTTCGAATTATTATTATTGTTGTTATTATTTATAATTTTGGTATATAATTAACAAGCTTCTCTTGACTCGTTTATATATAATTGTGACTTTTCATTTTATGGTACGATGCGGTCAAATATGTCTGTATCTAAACCCACATATAAATAAAATAATACATTTGGTTATTTGTTCTCTGAAGAAGTAGCTTACAGAGTCACGAAACGTCAGAAAATCTAATTTTCCTACTCATTGGGACATTACAAATATATTAGTTCATTTATGACAATCTACCCAATGCTCAGTTCATTCGAAATTATCAAGTTAAACCTTGGTAATGATAACTATAAACCCACATATGTTTGAAATATGGTAATACTGAAGGTTGGTTGCTGACTTCTTTCTTGGACTCATGGTAGAAGATAGAGTGAGAGTTATAAATAGCGAATTAATAGAAGTTTAGCTGTTTCGGCTCAAGGTAAACAGTGCTGGTTATCTGTATAACTGGCGGAGTCTGGGACACCAGGCTATGGAAGAACTAGTAGACGCGGAGTTGACAAAATTATAGCTAGCATTCTTAGCATGTAGTATTGGTTAGTGTCTCAAAACATACCGAACATTATGAATATTTAGAAATAAGTAAATTTATTAGCTTACATGTGGCTGAAGAAAAAGCAACGAAATACAATCACTTCATCGTATTTTACAAATATTGTCGCTTTCGCTTTGTTTCCATTTCCCTCTTTTCTTTAAATATAATTAATTATTTCATGAGCAACTATATATTAATTGTTCATGCTTCAATCGTGATCGGTTGATTTGGTTCCATCGGTCAGGAGCATAAAATAACCACTAGAAATGGTTGACACCCAAAGCACAAGGACTCAATATCTCTAGGTGATTGATTCAGCTCACTATACTTCTATACGTGTTACCGGCATATCTTTCGACAGTTATTTAAATTTAAAAAATTCCAATTTTTTCCATACAGTGTAACATGAGTTGTGATTTTCAATTGTATGATTTTAGTGAATCATCAAATTAGTTATCTTAGGGAGACTTGATTATAAGAACATGGCACTGTCATATATAATAAGAGGTTACTTCTTAAGGTAAGTGAATACTACAAAGAGATTGCCCCCTTCAGTATATATCCTGATCGCCATTGCTTTGTAGTATTAAATTATGTTTGGTAGGAGCTAGAATTACATACTATCTATAGGTCTCAGAGTAGCCCTAATATCGTCCTGTAAATTAAAATCACCATTGAAATTCTGACCAAAGATAGTACACACTATTCCATCAGTACGTGATTTTATGTAATAATTCTTTCAGGATCTTTGGTTTGTGATGTTCAAAGTTTCTTCACATGCATGAACAATATTAACCATTCTTTCCAGCTACTTATATTGATTGGTTTTTTATTCCATAGAATCAAAAGTTTCATGTTATGGTTTGGTTGGTGCTTTGGGTGTTCATGGTTTACCACCTTGTTTATCTACTCTACCAATGGAAATGGATGTTGGACCTATTGGACGACAGTTTTATCAATCACAAATGTCACAGTTATTGTATTCAGAGGCAGAACACAATAAAATAAGTAACCAAGTTACCGATTTTCGTTTATGTAGTACAGGAACTACACGTCTCTTCCGTAAATGTTTGACTGCTCTAATGGAATTGCCGTGTTCTAGTATTTTACCTGAAGATCGCTACATGCTGGTAAATTTTTATTTTCTAACGTAATTATTTTGGGTAATGGCTGCTTATTTCTACTAAAACAATTTCTGGGTTTTACTTACCGGAATACAATTCTGAATATATACAGAGTATGAAAAACTTTTTAAGACTGACCACTGGATTGAAACTCTTATTATTTGTGTGGAATAACATGATTTATCACCAGCAAAATAGAATACCTTCCATAGTTATTACTCTCATTTCAGCCGGTTTTTTTATTCACAAGGCAAGTCGTCAACAGCTTGAAACGGTAATTTTCTGGTTGTTATAATATACATATTACTTGTGCCACGCATTCGTATTTGTAGTTGTTTGATAAATGTGAGTTTGTAAGGTTATAAAAAGAGATTACATCATGGTGTGATCTGAAATTTTCCACTTTGAGTTACATCGATGTACATCTACATGTTTACTTGCTTTTAGAGGGCAGCTTTCTTTCGCCGTACAAAGTGAACACTTTCTAAACACATCTCAGAACATTACCCGGGATAGCTTTTAAGAGAGGAATGTAAAACAGTCGGTAGTTCAGTACAAAGGAATCTTCCTTTCAAGTGTACACATTTACAAAAGTGGGATCAAAGGGAGGTCGAATAAAAAAAACTTATGCACTACTGAGGCGTTGACAATACGCTAATTCAAGCTTGAACTCTGCGTGCCAAATCATTATATTCAACCTCTCGTTCTTTCATAGCCTTAATGCCCTTTTCATTATGTTATGGTCTTGTTTTCATTTTTATTACTACTATTTTGTACTTTTCGAAAACCGTGATTTTTATTCAAACGTTATTACGACCTCCACGTCTTTTAATTTTTTCTTTGTTTTTGTCGATTGCTTCTCATATTTTCTGACCCGTGAATTATTTTTACCCCCTTCCATCCTTCTCTAACTTCCTGATCACTACGCAACCTTCTGATATTTGAAATCTTGGATAACTTTATGATATAATCTATTTCTACTCTTCCATAGACTCGTACATTTGTCAAACAGCTATAAATACCAATGTACAGCTTAAGTAATCGATTTTATTGGAAAGAAAATTTCCTGTTTGTATTCGCTTTACTTTTTATTCAGTGACACAATAGGTTACCTTAATGTTCATTGCCTTTATCAAGCCTTTTTAATAAGACTAACTCTATGATAACGCTTCGTATATGTGATTTGTGGTCTCTTCATTATGATATGCGACAAGGTAAGAATGAGTTGTACATAGGTTTATGTAGAGCTACTCTGGGTTTCTCAACATACGTCCTCTTTCCTCCAGGTCTTACTCCATTAAATTACAATAATTCTTAAACTCTTAAACGTAAAACCTTTAGTCTTGATGTATCGTAGGTCAGTGGATGGTCTTAAATTGTCCTTTCGTATCTCAAGCAGTAGTTTCATTATTGGCTTTTTATTTAAATTTTATGACACACTTACCTGGGCTTCAAAAATTTCGGAGGTCTACTAGTTTCTCAGGCAATCTACCACTTTACTGTAGCACTCTAACATCAACATCCCTTTCCATAAGCATGCAGTATTTCTGCGTTATCTTCAGTCTAATGCTCATTACATACAAACAACTTCAACATTCAGTGACCATGATTGATATCACTAAGGTAGTATATGATGGGCTCCTGAACAGTATCGCTCTCTTACAGAAGTGCAAGCATCTTGTCTACGTTACAAGCGGCGGAATTGAGCACATTTAAAATATGTCTTTGTGTTTATGATATCATTTTCCTAGATAAGTTCAGATGGGTTCCCCAACTCCCTCACGTAGTTGGTTTCACGTCTCGTATTTGTTCACAGATAATACGTTGATCTTTTTCATGGTATCATAAGATACTGTCATTAGTTACTAAATCCTGGCTCTACTGCCATATGTTTTTGAGCATCTGTTTAGAAAAAGCATTGAAATCCATCATGTCAATCAAAATGAAAATTAATGTTGCAGTTACAATATACTCAACTGTGATTGTTCACTAGCTTGTAAGCCTGTAACGTCTGTTCAAATAATAAGTCTGCATCTACTTATTTGTTAAGTTCACCAATGTAATGTTAAGTTATCCCTTTTAAATAAAGTAGAAATAATTCCGATAAATTTCCAATTTTACTCTCATTAAATGTCTCTGAATATTTAGAGTGTATTTTTATAATTTTTAAAAACTTTTTCCAGCTTGGTGTTGTTGGTTGCTTGAACCAGTTGATTGGATCATCTCATTTACTCAGTTATTCTCATTTATGGTTTGATCCTTCTCCATCATCATCAACTACCTCTGAGAGCACTTTATCAAATGAAAATTCCGTAAAACCTACTCACCGCAGATCACGTCTATCTCTCTTATCTTGGCATTGTCTCACTCTGTTGTCTTCAGCCCCAGTAACATCACTTGATTTAGAACTCCAGTCTTCTTTATTGAATTTGTGTACTGGCTGTGTAACACGTAAGTTATTTTCTTGTATTATTCGACACTACATTAGAAAATAACTGAATACTGAAGTTGTAAGCTGACATTGTATTCGTGTCATGTTTTCGGTCGGTCTACGTTAATTCCTAATTACGTTCTATTGGGATTATTTCCATACAAACAAAATCTAATGCTAACTTAGTAGAAGGGTAACTGATATGCAGTGTGACAATAATCCCCAACGTGACGCGTAAAAATGAAAAGTCAGAGGATCAAGGAAACTTGACATTCAAGAAGACGAATTCGGTTCGAACAACTCTGTATATTAAGTGAAAACACATGACCTTGAAACTCGATAAAGGATATTTCAGAAAACAACGAACTGCCAACTTGTGCAACCTCTAGTAGTTCGGAGCAGGAGTAACGATGAACCTGTGAAGATTAATGTGGAACGACAATAACTATTCTCATTCTCTAGTTGGCTCTTTCAACTTTCCTGTTGCTCATTTTTGCGTATTCTATACAACACACTATCATTACTAGAGGAAAATATATATGTTTATTATTATGCAGTACTTATTTATAATATTAATATTAATATTAACGAATAGGAATTTATAATGAAGTGGTTTTTTTTCTATGTATGGTTGATGCTACAAGAAAAACCAAATTGCGGTTTAATCGAAATTACTACCACTTGAAACCAATCCGGTTATGAACTTATTATGGTGTACAATTGAACCTCTATTTCTGTCTCGTTTTTCATTTATCCATCGGGTTTTCCGATTGATTTTTGACTAAGAGATAATCGTACCAAATATAATTTGAGTTGTAGCAACGTAACCCCGACTAATAACTTATTATTCCACTGGGAAACATAGGTATCACAAAGTCATTTAATTTATAACATCAACATATATGTAAATGCAACGCAACATAATCTTCAACTGAACCTACACTTCATCCTTAATGACTGACGCCCTAGTTGTCATGAAGTCGAAAGAAAGCACAAATTTCATTCTCTATCCAACTGACTTTGATTTACGGCGATCTGAGTGCGTATTTGTGGAATTTTCAGGGTGTCATTAAGAATCACTCGTTCCAAAGCATTGAATTCAAGTTTACCCATGCGATTTCAAATATTTCAATATTTTGACTGATTGGATTCTAATTATCAGAATGTAATGAATTATTTAACAAAAATTTGAATTACACCATCAAGTAAACCTTATGTACAATGATTCATCGTAGTCACTTTTACTTTACAGGTTGGTCTGTCTATACACTCTTGGATAGATCTTCGAAAGATAAAAATGGTAATGAATTACCTACTTCAAATAAACAACAACCATTTACTCGATATGCTTTGGCTTTTATGCAACATTTAATGAGGTTAGTAATGCTTATATTAAAAGTATATATTATTTGGTCTAAGCTTTGCGTAAATATAAATGATCTTATTTTTATTTATTTATTTGTACACATAAATATTAGTATAAGAGGGCACCAAATATATATGCGCCACACAAAACAATGAGAATTCGAAGAGGGAAAAACAAAACGAACAGATTAGTGTAAGGGAGTGTAATAATAAGAGTAATAATGGGGGAAACGGAAAGGTACAGTCGGAAGAAATTTTTCAGTCAAGGAAGAAACAACCATTTTTTATGAAGAAATTAAAAGAAGGTTACAGCAGGATCGCCACTGGCTTCTACTCTGAGCCATATCTGGTAACGTCTCTAACCACTGTGTCGCACTATCTCTCGAACTCCAGCCAGGGAGTCGTGAAGGACCAACAGAAGTCAGTCCTTTGCAGCTTTCTTTTTCACACCACGACACCATGTCATACACTGACCACCTCTTCGCTTCTTCCAACCATTTCCAGCGTCGGCAAATAATGCACGATGTGGAATTCTCTGGGACGACATTCGTAGAACATGTCCAAGCCACCGAAGTCGATGTTTCAAGGTGGTGACACCAATTGGATTATCGTCTCTGTGACCGAACACACGATGCCGAACCTCTGCATTGCTAACATGGTGTTGCCACTGGATGTCAGTGATGGATGTTAGTGATTGGCATCCCATCATCCTCACAGATTGTTTCGCTCACACCAGACTTCTTGTTGCCAGTGGCTTGGATGAGTTGAAAGAGCTTCTGGCAGTTACCAGATGCAGCTGCTGCTTCCAGCTCATTAGCACGCTCCGACCACCAGGCTTCTCGGTCCTTACGCAAGTTTTGCCCGATTTCATTACGTAAGAGTCGTCGTTTGTGGTCAAACTTACGGTTACCCGGAGTAGACCGACGGGCTTCGATGAGTTGTAAGGAGCCTGAAGAAACCCAGTGCTCATAGTTGGTACTTTTCGCGAAGCCGCAAGCGGCCTTACTCGCCATTTCCATGGCGTCACGCAATTGCAACCAATGCTCATCTATACTTTTCGGTGGAATGGTAGCTAGCCTGGAAGCTACCTCGATTCGATACTTACTTGTAACAGAAGTTGCAACCAACTTACTGACATCAATCCTTTGGTGGTGTTCACTTCGTTGGCCACTGAAAAGTAAGGTAAGATTGGCGCAGACCAGGGCATGATCAGAGTCCAGATAGGTATTTCAAAAGGAGCGGCAGTCTTGTACACAACCACGCCGGCGGTCGCTGATCGCGATGTGATCACTCTGAGTTCAGGCTCGAGATGCAGAGGGAGGACGCCAGGTGGCACATCGGCGATGATTGTGCCGAAAGTTAGTGCTAGCCTGAAATAGGTTATGGTTTGTGCAGAGTTGCAGTAGACAGTCCCCGTTATCTGACCTGCAACCAACGAGTCCCCATGGGCCACGTAAACAACTCTCTTCTGTGCCTAGACGCCCGACCTGAGCATTCAAGTCTCCGGCTAATACTACAATATCTGTCGAACGCACTTTCTGTAAAAGAACAATTAACTGGTGGTAGAATTCATCCTTGATTGCATTCGGTCTGGAATCTGTCGGGGCATAGACGGAGATGACGAAAAGACATTGTTTCTCACGCCGATTTCTTTTCACTTTGATGGAACTTTCTAATCTAACAACACATAACCTACTGTATAAGTCGAAAAATAAGGATACATAAAGTGGGAATAAAAGAGAGTGAATAAATGACGTAAAAGATGATAATAGTAACAATAATAGTAATAATAATAATAATGTGAATCGTTTGATTGTTGTTCGAAGCAAGACAAGTATTTTCCATAAATATCGACATTTTCATTTTATTTGTGTGTGTGTGGGCTGTGATACTGCCTGGGTACCCAGACCGAAGCAGGTGGTTTTTTTAGGTGAGCCACACCTCGAGCCTTTTGACCTAAAGATCTGACCCACAAGGCAGTGGAGCATCGTAAGGAGATGCAGTCCCATGGTAGCCGGTGATCAACGATTGGTTCATACACCATTTGTTCCCTCAGGATACTGGAGTCCATGTGAACCATTGTTTGGGATCCGGTTCAAGCACCGGACATTCTCTTTTCGTCGTGTCGTTTTCGTAATCAACACCCGTGGTGCGAGAATGCAGTGAGTAGGACTTCCTTGGCAGAGGCTGTATACGCTTGGCCGTGTGAGAGTATTTCGAGAGGGAGTGCGGACTCACCCTACTCCCAGCCGTACTAGGGCATTCGGGGGCGATCTGCAATTACCTATTATTTTTCTCAAACATTTAAAGCGCCCTAATTCAATGCAAGGGGAAGAGAATGTCTTTAAGACAGAGAACATCATCTTTTATACAAAATAAAGTTTTACAAGGGTGCTAACTTCTCTTTTGTAACTTATTCCCCGTCTATTTGCTTTTGCCAATAAACTTTAAACTTTCTTTCAACCAATCGTCAATGTTATGTTATCATTTTCAGAAAAATGAAAATAGTTTTTTACCGGTTTCTGTATCTGTTTACGGTGTTTTTTATCGTAGTCATGCGATCCCATCTTCATGTCTGATTTAAATAATGTGGCTTAATATATATTTTTCCTTTTGCCATCGGATTTTCGATATATATATATATATATATATATATATATATATATATATATATATATATATATATATATATATCAAGGGATCTTAAGGCCTATGGGGATGAAACCTGCTGTTTCATCATCTGAGATAGGTATTGATTTGTAAGTGAATTTTATATTAAATATATTTACAGAATAAACGGTCGTCCACAACGACTGATAACTTTGTGACACAAAGGTATATAATAGTGTAAGCAACCTATAAGTTATAGGTATGAATCGTTGAGTTTTGGTTATTTAAAGTTTTTTGCTCATTAACTCGATAATCTAATGATCTCAACCACAAGCCACTGTTTATTGTTCTTGGATGATATCCTTGATAATAGATTATGTGATGACTGTCAATTTTTCAATAGATATACCCTGAACTAAACAAAGCTGTCATTGAGAAAACAAAGTAATTTTATCAAAGCTCATAGGTCCGACTACCGTACTATTCGAAGAGAAAAATAAGAGAGAAATACGTTTCAATATAGAATAAATAACAAGTTTTCACACCCCTACTTTTAAAATCCGTAACATCTTTGCACTGCTACAGTTTATGTGAAAATGCATAATTTTTTCTAGAGTGTACCATCTGATTCTTATATCTACAATTAGAACATTTCTATTTAATCTCTAAGTTGTTCAGTCGTTACTTTATCGTTCAAATTTCACTAAAAAAATAAACTTCAATAATCTACGTTTAAAGTGGCGAAGTATTGTTGTCTAGATTTTACAGACGACTATGTAGTATTATTTACGTTCATCTTTCTTACTTACGAGGCCTTGCTGTTATTTATTTCCAAAAACAATGGTCAGGACGATGGAAATTTTACTTTCTTTATAGTCAAATTTTATTTTCAGTGACATATAGTCAGCAGTGCTACCGACTTTTTGTACGTATGTTTACTTTGTCAATAGGGTTTGTTGCATACTATGGCATATTTTCGAAGGGATTCGCTTACCTCAACATCATCAACATGATTCAGTAACCTCCAAAATTCCAATCAGTTCAATTTACTCTGGTATATCTGAATCATTTATGCATTCTGTAGCGAATTTAGCTCAGACAAGAACCCATTTTTCTATGACCAAATTTGATCACGAAATCATTAATTCTCCTGCTGGTGCTTCCAATAATACTCCTATGAGCGACAGTGGTACTATTGGTGGTGTAGATACATCATCTAGTAAGAAACGTAATTATGGAACAAAACTAGGTGGTTCTCTGAGAAAACATTTGCCAGGTAAGATATTCATATACATATTATTTGTGGCAAATTTATATCATTAGAAATATGTAGTTTCCGTAGTAAAAGTATGGTATAGAGATGAGCCAGCCAGAATTAAAATTTTCTTTGTGAAATTTATGTATCACATATAACGAGAAGTAGAAATAACTTTGTATGCTCCTGAAGACGTTTAAACTGATAACAAAAAATAATTTCTTACTACCATAGAGTAAAATTAATAGTGTTAAGTGTATCAAATGCTCACTTGTGTCTCTATAAATTAGATGTAACAGTTGTGTTGACACTGTTCCTAAATCCTAAATGCAAATTCTTAGTCCTGAAACTAATTTTAACCTACTAACAACCTTTTTTTTTATAAACGAACTAATCAGATAAGACTTAAATATTTATGCGAAATATTTTTATATACATAGTTACAGTGCATTTTCTCATCATATGTAAAACAGTTTGGGTTCAAAATTCTAACATTAAACCCCTGATTCCAACCTCAAATATTTAATCTTAACTAAGAACAATGTGAGAACTCTTAATAAGTTATTTGAGTTTTTCAAAGGGTTCGGGAAGACAAACAATCTGTATCTATAGGATGAATTTGTCTTTTTTTCAATCCAAAAAGAAAGTAACTTGTAAAAGACGTTAATGTGTTCATTAATCATGTAAAATCTTTTTATACTCATCAATGCTATTTATTTTCATTACCGTTGATAAGAGATTTTTCCAACTAGCTATAAACGATTCGTAAATTTGTCACAGTTCTTTTTATCCCGTCCCTATACTATGCTTTTACCGTTTTAATTTTGATAAAAATGAGGGGAAAAAAGTATTAACTTCTAGTCATATGTAATCTGTCTTATAGATGATATCTCTCTATTGTAGAAAAAGAAAACATTGTGTTTACTCAATGTATTCTGTTTTTACATAACCACAGCATCAAATGCTTGTGTACTTTGTAAAATACTAATTACATCTTATGTTTTAAATATTTAAATTAACGTAGCACTCACCTCATAATTTGTCAGTCCCTTTAACAGTTTATTAGTGTGTATTGTGTATTTATCAAGTTACTGATGCCATTCATGTCAGTAGACACAAGATTTTTTGTAAAATGAATTGAATCAAAAGAATATTGTTGCGATCTTGAAAGCTAATATTAACATAAATAGGGAATAGTGGCATAAGAAGTGATCAACGTAGTTTCACTACGTGATTTAATGCCTAGAAATCTGTTATTGTTTGATTTGTTTGTTTGATAGTAAGAAATAATTGATCATTGGAAACATTACATGATGTTAATCTTTTTCCCCATAGTACAGCGATGGAAACTTTTGTCACAATTTAAACACTACGATAACACCTTTGCAGATAGAAACTTAATGAAGTAGTTCAACAAAAATGAAATTGTTAGATTATCATTAGATCACCACTTTAGGAAGCTGCATTAATTTTTCGCTTTAGTTATAAAGCTTTCAAATCTGTCTTGACTTTATATTCTTCCCATATATCTGTATATTGTCTATACTTTTCCACTGGTTCTTGAAGTTAATTGAGAGAATAGATCCGTTTGTATTTGTGGTCATTCTTAGACTGTCAACCGTCCTCATGGATTGCGTTGCTGTTACTGTTTACTGCCGTAATCTTTGTCGTCTCATGTGACTGCAATTCAAAAGTTTTTTTATATTCTGCCAAATATGCTACTTATTTTTTAGTCTAGCTGATTTTTTCTTTTAAAAAAAGTGTTACTTTCCTACTATTCAGATTTCATTTACGCTTTGTTTTAATACCCTTACTTTATATGAGATAGTTTTTATAAAAGGAACTTAATAATAATAAAAATAACTTGGATTGTTAATATAACTTTTAGTTGTCTGTTATTTATTTTATTTATCAAGCACCTCGACATTCTCCAACATTAACTTCTTCAACTCTTGGATATTTTGCAAACTTGCCACAATATATGTTATTGTATAAAACCCTTAAAACTGCATATAAATCTTTTAAAGTAAGTCTTATTATTTATTTAAACACATAAACATTGCTAAAAGGGGCACCAAATACATGTGCGCCATACAATACCAATGAGACCACTAGTAGTTATCACTGATTTGTGTGAGGGCTATGATACTGCTCGGGCGCCCAGACCAGACCGAAGCAAGTGGTTTTCTTAGGGGGTCACACCCCGAGCTTTTGACCTAAAGGTCTAATCCACAAAGCAGTGGAACAACTTTAAGAGATGCAGTTTCATGGTAGCCGGTGACCAACAATAGGTTCATACGTCTTTTGTTCGCACTGTATCCTGGAGCCCATATGCACCATTTGTTTGAAATCAGGGTTTTCTGACTCCGATGAAAGCTCCGGACATTCGCTTTTCGTCCTCTCAACCTCGTAAACAACAATCCCACCGCAAAAACTCAGTGTCCGTATACTCGTGGCCACGTGAGAGCATTCGAGATAGAGAGTGGACTCTCCCTTCCCTTTGACCGTACTAGGGCATTTGTTTACTTGTATATCTGTTCATTTCAAATTCTTTTTGTGTGGAAGTATTTAAAAGTGAATTGTTCTAGTTTTTTCAATCAATTGAACCTAATTAAATCACACATCGGATCATCATTCAGTTTAATTTAATCTATGCAACTGTTTACCACTCAAATATATCTGTTTAGTTTTTATAGTGAATCTTATTAAGGAGTGAAGGATTTCTAATTATTCGTAATGATAATAATAATTCATTCCAGCAAATAGGTAATTCTTCTTGTATTATGTTGAGTACCAGAGGCCTAGTGATTCCAGTTAACTGTCTAAACATTTGATATAGTGATGGAAGATTGAGTCCCTAAAGCATTGGGACATGGCTTTATATCATAACTAACGTAAAACCTAGCATATATATGGATCTCTCCAAGTTGACACAACCCTTCAACACAACAAGATAAAACTATCAATACAAATCTCAGAGTAATGGAAGTAATAATAGTAATATCAGTGATAGTAGAAAAGATTAGTCTTAAATTATGTAATTTGTGTCATAAAAAGTTTGAGTATTTTACAAAAAAGAGCGAATACATCTGTAGCATTCTAACTTGTTGTGAATTATGTCACCTTAACGCCTTTAATCGATAATTATAAAATCACGTAGAAACCAAAGAGATTGTCCTCACCTACTTTTTGCTGACGAGTATCAACCAAGGTATATGGTATCCTGACAACTCCCTCTAATCACCTAACATATGACACAGTTAACTAAAATGTAGAGTTACTTAGCCTGATAGCCACATTAGGACTTGATTACCACTGAGGACTAGACAAATATGATATTGATCACTACTCAATAGTCCTTCACTGTAAATCAAATCCCTCTATTTAGCATTCATGTTTAGATTTCTTATTTTTATTGTTCATCAATAACTAGATATCGGCTGATTTAACTGGTTCTCATGATCGATTAATGGGCTTACTACATACCTGTCTATATTCCTTTGGTCGATTATTGGAAAATCTTCATTTTGATGAAACTGCTCCGTATGCAGACGAATTATTAATCTATTTAACTTCATTTTACAATTGGCAGCCTGGTCCATGCTTAGAGTTATCAACTCAGGTAATTTTATTTATTTTATGTCTCTACTTTTCGCTTGATATGAAAAGTATAAGTAACTTAAAATGTGAGATTATCTATCATTATTTTTAAAATGGTTTCTTGGGGTACGTGTCTCAGTAGTTTATTATTTAGCATAGCATCAGAAAGCATTATTCTTAATATGATTGAAAGTAATATTGATATCTATGGTGATAGTCTGAGACAGTCAAATGACGTGCTATAAGATAAGCATACTCTGTTGGTCAAGATTTGGTCTTATTTTTCAAGAAAGCACCCATCATTGGGTGAAAGTATAACTTGATTTTCGAAGGGAAAAAGATGTATGTTTATGAATGAGTGTACATATATTCTGGATTCGGTTTCAATCACTGAAACTTCTCACTTTCTGTCTTCTCAGTCAAGTAGTTGGTTTGGACTCACATCTAAAGTTTGAATATTACTATCAAACAGACAACCGCACAACATAACATATGACATTTTTACATTTCATATGTTCTGGATAAGTAGTTAATTGTGATATGAATTGAACTAAAAATACTTCAGTGTATATATTTGCTCTAAGCGATTAACACCATACTACCCTATTTAAATCAAACTATTGTTTCCGATCAATAACACTGGATAACTAGCCTTTGGAATAAATCTTTTTTGATTATCCATCAAGGTGACTGACGCATCACTATTATTTTTTAAGTTAGTGATGGTTATTCGGTCTTGTTAAACAATTAAAATGTCAAAGTTGAAAAAATTATGCCACAAAAGCGACATTGTTATGTGCTAATTTATTTTATTCGATACTTATTACAGTGACTCATGAGAGTAACCATTTCTAAATTATGATAGCTTTCGTTGAAAAAAGAATCGATAGATGTTATTTGACAATCTTAACATCATTTATCAACTGATGAAAATCTTAATCTTATCGTAACAGTCTTTGACAAAGCTTTAAGTATGTTGAACTAATCAGCCGCTATTATGTTATCCATTCTAGACTATTTTCTGTCGTGTCATATTACCTATTTTCTTAAATGGCTTACTATGTAGAAACATACAGAAATAATTAGTAGAATATTAATAAGGAAAAATGTATTTGTAAAATCTCATCGAAAGAATTTGAAGTAAATCCAACATTTCGCCCGGCAATCTGGTCCAAGCTTTTTCAAGGAAAAATATCGACATTCGATAATTTTGTTGTTTGATTATATTTTCCTTGAAAAAGCTTGAACCAGATTGCCAGGCAAAAAGTTGGATTTACTTCAAATTCTTTCTCGGAGATTTTACAAATACATTAACTCGGTGCCCAAATATTGTGAAACTATTCGTTCAAATTTAGATGAAAGTTCTTACTTAATAGAATAGTTTGCTAATACTGAACGTTTTTCTTGAGAATTTTTGATGAACTTCTGTAAATAAACAATTATTGTTTGATGTTTTTTTCTCTAAATAAAAGCATTTTTGGGACTCTTTATTTGATAGTTACTACGAGCTTTTGTTGGTACAAACCTTTGTAATCAATGGGACGATCAACTTTGTCAATTATATTCAGATGCATTAAACGATCAAGACATAAAAAGTGATTCTGAGGAGAAACATTCTAAAATTAATTTAAAAAGTTTGTGTAATTTTAAAGTTTATTTTGTTTATCATCATTACTATTAATTTTTTTGCCCACTCCACGATAATTATTTTTGCAGCACTTTATTTTTTTGTCATTCATTAATCTGTTTTGCCTGTTAAGTTTATCGTTTTCAAATCCCACTTTACTGTTCTATGTGTGTGGTGTGTGCTACTTATGTCTGTCGACATAAGTAGTATGTAAAACCAACCAAAATGGAATGCCTGTCAAAAGAAGGCTGAGAAGACTGATCTGAAGGAAACAGAAAGGAATTAAGAATTGGAAAAAGCATGAATGATGTAGAGGACGATTGATGGAAGATTTGCAAATGTGGTATTTAATGTATATATGTGTAATATCAACTAGTAATAAACTGAACCTAAACTAGGTTTATAAGGTCGATATTAAAATTCCTCACAAAATATCGAGAAAATTATGCTCAAACTGCAATGCAATTCAATAGATGGGCAAAATTTTCAAATGAATAAAAGTAGAAAATCATCAATATGTTTTTCTATTCAGTAATACTGTATATTTTTTTATCATAATAGTTGACTGTCAAACTTTCCATTTGATTTCACTTGCAAACACTGATTCTCGAAAGGCATCGTCTTAATAACTTTCTTAAATTCTTATAGGTTTTAGATTTTGTTTTCAAAATTACGTAAGTCATCTGCCATTTTATAGGTAAAACCATTTTGTCCCGAATCACCTGCTACGAACCAAAAAATTCATAGTGGCTATAAAGGTTTTGGGAAAGTATGGCACGTTCCATGATTGTTTAAACACTTCAATAGGTACCATGCATTGAAGCTGTTGTGTTCTTATATCCAAAACGTTTGAAAATTATATTAATAAGCCTTTAGGTTGTGGTAAAGGAAGAAATTGTCAAACGAGACATAGTTCATATATAAAAAGTCAATTTTAACATGTTCATAAACTTTATTGCGTTAGAGACATAGGAGAAGTTTGAAGATTACAAAATTCTGCTCAGGTAGGTTACCATTCAATTTCTTTCTGAAGTTTGTTGACTGTGTTGTTCACTTTGACTGAATTAGAATCCCATTTATAATCAGTGTAAAGAGCCCTTTCCGATATCGTTTGAACATTACCTTGCTAGGGTGTACGTGGTAGCTACTGAAAAGAATAAAATATCTTCAGAGCAAAGTTTTGTGAGAGTATAGCTGTTATTTAATAGATATGCGATATACAAGATTGGAAGTACAAGCTTTTCATTGACCCTCCGTGTTATATAACCTAATTTTCAAGTTATTAATAAATCGTGAAAATTACATCGTTTAGTTTGTTTGTGAAATTTATTTTATTCCTTCACGGCTTATGTTTGGCTTCTATCATAGTACAAGTAATTTAAGTTTTAACGTGAAACTATATGAACAATACTCGTGTATATAATAACAGATCTCAAAGAACAGTATGAGTATTTTAACCGTTTAATGATAATATTCATTCACTCATAGCTGTACAAATTTCCATTTTTGATTAAAATTCTAGATACTGTTGATTTCCATATACGTAAATTATTGTATCAGAATAAAACATTTACTAATTATCTATGGGATCAAAATGTGTTGAGAGAAAACAAGGCTTGTTGTTGGATTACATGCCCAGAGCTTATTCAGTCACCAATTTCTGCATGGATCCGTTTTGCTCGTCAACGTCGTATTCCAGTCGGTCTTAAATATACAAGTAGTACAGATAGAGCGTCGGCTACGACGTCAAATCAAACGATAACTATGTCGGCAATAAAAATTAAAGTGAGATTTCTATTTTAATCTTCATTTTACTAGTGATCAAATTTAAACATGAAAATAGGAATTTTCCTCATTCGTTTTCCGTTTATCATTTATGAAAGAGAAAAGGTACTCTTGTAAATATTAGTATATTATGCCTGTCGTCTATTTAATTAGTTATTTGGTTGTCAATGTTTGACGTTCTTATGGGTGATGTCGAAACTAAATGGTGTGTATTGTATGACCACAATTCTCATAATTTTATAGATTTTTTTAAAATTTTATTACCTCATCGCCCAAGGTTCATCTGAATTTTAATAAGCATGTAGTGTCGGTTGTTATGTCAAGCCTATACACCTTATTCTAGCTTTCGGACAGCCCAACCTATTCATTCTTGCGTTATATTTTGACCTTTTTAATTATTCGCTTATCAACCTTGACTGTTTTTATTTGAGAGTGTGTGTACACTTTTTTATCCTATTCATCACATGTCTGCAGCCTATTTTTGTGTAACTATAAATATTGATTAACGGTTGACTAAATTGGGTTGGCTTACCCTCCATCTCCATTGCGTATCATTTCCCTCCACTCTCTTCTCGTCGCTTCATTCCCCGATCGCATGTTCAAATCAATGAGTTCATGAAATATACATATTCAAAAGTCCATTCCCGTTATTTGACCTATTTTTAATTCTGTTATTCACTCAACGCGGATCAAGTTGATAAAGACAAACGAGAATAGTCAGTATATATATTTCGACAACAAACATTCATACGATCTAATTGGAGTCAGATCCCGAGCCACTAAAGTGCAGAGCCCGTCGACAAACATCGTCTGACCTAAATGACGACAAAATAAGGACCCTACTAAAAGTATTTTTAATATATTCCATATCAATACAAGATAATGTGGTGAAAAATTTCAACTATATAAAAATAAATTCTAATTATTTCTAATTATAGATTTTTATTTATTTATTATTCTCTAGTCTGATGCTCAATTATTTTTTAAACGTCTTGAACATATTGTACTTTGTGGTATGGAAAATTATAAATGGACAAATTGTTATTCACTTCAAACGAATATATTAGATTTACTAATTCATTTAATATATTTACGAATGAATTATTGTCAACTTGATGTACAACAGGTATAATGTTAAATTATATTCTCGAATATATATAATTCAATGTTAATTATATTTGTTTTAATTTAATAGTAGTATAATCTTTTAATCTATGATTTTTAATTCATTATGCTGAAAGTAAATATTTACCCTTTTCAAATGATATCTGTAAAAACATTGATAAGTTTAAATTAGTTGATGTATACACTTATGAAATTATTATTATTATTATTATTATTATTATTATTATTATTATTATTATTATTAGCTTTGTACAACATAGAATTCTCAGCATAAATTATTTCAGCGAGTTTCCATTTCTTCTTGATCGATATTGACGATAAATATTGAGTGATCTCCATTAAGATATTAGCATTTGAAAAGTCAATATCTGAATAATATTCATTCTTTTCAATGCACATTGCCAGCCATCACGATGTCTCTGATTGTAGATTTTTGAAACTTTTACAACGAAAGGTTGTTAACATTTCACAAACGCACCTGAATAGTTTATGCAATTAATTGATATAATGATCTGTTAAAACAAACAAGGAAACAAATAACTTGTTGAAATATTTAGATGGTAGGAACAGGTAGCCCAGATATTCAAGCAGGCCGCCCGGGTGTGATTTGTAGTCATTTAAAGTTATTTACTTGAAATTTTTCAATGGATTTTTTCAATTGAAACTACTACGTATTTATAGTAAACTAAGAAGTATGAATTTTGATATGTTGTTTTTAATTATCTAATGTTTATTGCAAACATATTTGAAATTATTCAATTACTCAATAACTTATCTTCTGATCTGTATCATAATCATATTACATAGACATTATTCTTGTGTTACTCTAATTTGTGTATCACGTGTTTTCAATAATATTTTTTGAAGAAATTTCTAGATACTGTAATTAATCATTGCGAGAATCTATCCTCGGAAATTCAACGTCTTGAGACAGTATCAATGATGAATGTTAGCTCTTCAAATCGTCAGTGTATTAAAGGGGGTCAACTGTTGAATTTGAATAAACGATTGTTATCATCATCCTCAACATCAGCGTTTACTTTTCGTGATTTCTGCAATTCTGATTCATTTCTGTTCCCCATGATGAATTCGAGAGAACCGACTATATTACAACAACATCAGCGTCTTGTGAACGCTTTATTCCGTTTTTTGGTCACCTTGACTTATCAATACCGTGTTATATCATCATCTTTAACATCAATACCGCCAGCATCAACGCTTGCACAATCTAAGCATCTTGATTCTGGTAATTCTGAAAACTCAGCTACTTCTCCTGCTTCTACTACCAGTAGTGCAATCAATGGCAATGACGAGTCCATCGATTCACGTCTTGTTGAGTTAAGTCAGGTAGGCTTATATTTTGTCTCAATCTTGTTTCTTCCCAACGGGTTTGGTATGTAAACCTATGTAAGGAAGTAAATTTCGGGTTATGATAAAAGTTATCTTACAACCTAGTGTACATTGGCGTCTTTTATCAAGTTGGTGCTTCGTTCGCCGGACTTCCAAGTATAATTTCTAACCAGATCTCAATTTCATTTTGGTCACTGTTTTATTCACTGAATCATTCATATTGTATTACATCAGGACTTCATTGTTGAATTAATTCATTTCGATTTTTCACTAAAAATGTGATGACTGCTGCTTTTGCAGAACAAATTGCATTTTATCCTTTTTGAAAAAAACTTAGTATAATAATTAATGTTTTTTATTTTTGAGTCTTAGTGACGATAAGTTTTTCTCCTCTTCCCACGTCACTACATTAATACTGTACTTTCTGCTCCTGCTTAAAATCCTTTTTGATATACAGTATACTACGTAGTATTTTTCAGTTCAAATCCTTTATGCGCACTAAAAGTGATTCATTAGGATTTTTACTTTTCACTTCTTTCCAACCTATATTTGCTTAAATTAAATAATAAAAATCTAGGGGAAGCAAAATAGATATAACGGTTTGGATAAGAAGTACCAGCCATTTAGAATAAGCCTTATGGGTGTTCAAATAATAATCCAATAAAAATAACTAGTTTCATTCAGCTGACCAGTTCTTGTAAAAAGAAATCCTATAGTTCTCTCACTAATCTGTAGGGTTTTGCAATGCTCACTTGTGAACTATACCAAACATAATGACTGAACTATTCTCTATCGTATTGTGATTGACTTAGCCTCCCTAAATAGGAGTTTAATTTAAATAATTACTGAATTGGAGATCAAACTCGATGTTCTATGCTATTTTTATTTAACTGAATTCGGCATTCTCACTAAATTAGCTTAACAGAAATACTAATTTGTGAATTCATCGATCGTGCATTGAAACTGAATTTCAAACTCTTAGCTATTAATAGAATACGTTAACCGTCTTCAGCTATGAAACTTTCTGTCGAGAAATTTTTCTGAGATACAACAGTATTCCAAGATTATTCAGAAGAAGCTTCATTTATAGTACTCATCAGCTGTGGCCATCCACGACGCTGTCGGGGATGAAACCCAGAACCTTCAGGTCTTGTGGCGAGTACCTAACCTTTAAACTGCTAAATCCAATGAATTACAATCAGTTCTCGATATTGTACAACTATCTTCTACTACCTCACATCCAACATGATTGAATTCTACTGGTTACGGTTTCTCACTAGTAACTCTGGAATCACCTCTCGAAATCGGTTACAGGTGAGCACACGATTATTGTTAGTGTAATAGGTTTGTGGAAATTGTTGAATAGGACTGACAGTAAAATAATGACTGAAAAATAAGAGGATCTGAACAGCTATTTTGTCTTAATAGTGTTGGGAATGTAACTCATTGAATGCTGAATATTACTCATTCTCTGTGAGACCTGGAGGTCTTCGGTCCAATCTCTGGTAGTCACTGCCCAATTGTCTCACACGAGAACAGAGCAGTTACACAATGCTTTCTAGTTTCCAATGTTTTTTTTTACTAAGGTCAGTTCAACCTAACAATCTATGAAATCTGATGAACAGTCAGACCAAACCATTAAGATTAATCAATAATCAAAGTGGAGTGGTTGCGCTTCACACTAAAACCGAAGCGAATACAATCAGTAAACTTTTTTGCTCTCTAGGTCCTATGTAATGTCTTAGAGCAACTAATTAAAAATTAAATTATAATATAATATATTCAAAAATAAATTGTAGTGTCAATAATTCGTGATGACTGTGAAGCACATTAATTCCAAACGGAAAGGGGAGATGTTAATGAAAAATAAAATAAACTTCGTAAATCACTACGTACATCTAAATTTAATCAGTTTAATTGATAAGTAACTAAAACTTATTTATTACTCTTATTCTCCATGTGAATTTGTTTCTGGCTTTACTATGTAATGACTTATAATGATCTACTATTGTGTCAGGTCTGTAATTTTCCCACTAAGTTGATGAAGTAATAATTCCTCCTTTTAATATCACTTTGTGTATATGTTCCAGGTTGTTCATTTAGCTGAAGCATTAGCAGCAGAAACTTATGATCCTGGCAGTATTGTACTAACTGCAATGATTCCAGTGATCGTCGATTTATTTGTAATTCAACAACCATTAAATCAAAGAATTAATAAACAAGCGGAAAATGTTGATCAAGCCAAAATGAATCAAATTCAGTAAGTTTTGCAGTATATTGATTATGTGCTAGATTATATAAATTATCGAAACAGCTTTTTAAGTTATTTAATCCAGTTGAATGTTCATCTATGATAGGTCCGTTAAGAATAGAATGTTCACAAATATTATGTCAGAAATTATTATTTCAGCTTACTTCCTTGTACTAATCCTACTATCTTTCCTCTTCCTAAATATTAAATGTTCGATTTCCCACACTTAGCTGAATTAAACTCTCATATCCTCCTGATTAATCATAAACTTATACTCTCTATGGAATGATGTATCGATTTTAGTTATCATTTGTAACACTGAACCATAGAATAAATAATATAGGTTGTGTATTGTAGTACTGTTTTGTGCTATTTTTACTTGCAGTTCTTCGGAATCCTAATTATTTAATGCTGATTTTAGGAAAGATTCTTGACTGCAGATCTTGTTCGGGTTAGAAATAATTTTTTTCAAAATGTCGCAGTCCTATACACATAAACACATGCATTTATACTTTACTTTCCTGACCTGCTGGTTGTTTTACATCTTTTCATTTGAATAACATGTGATAGTTGTGAAATATGATCTCATAATCAGCACATATTTCTTAATGGAAAATATTACTGTTCAATGGAACTTACTAATTCTAACATTTCCTAATGTTTAACAAGTTTTAAATTAATTTCTCCACAGATGCATTCATTTTTGAGATTATATTTGATCACATATTTCTTAGAGTATTGCCAGGATCTGCTGGGATCACCGAGTGAGTAATAGTAAGGTTAGGCTCAGGATATTAGGGAGTGATGGTAAATCAGTTGATGAGGTTGTACATCTCCATCCATTAAGATAGTTGGGCCACGTATCACGTATGCCTGATCACAGATTGCCATGACGCGCAGTGCTGACCAGTGTTGGAGACTAATGGAAGAAAGTAAAGAGCGTCCAAACCAAAACGTGGCATCAGTGTTTGACGTCATTAACTTCTGGTCTGATCCATGTTGTTAGATGCAGGCTACTTGGTTGGGGCCTGTGCGACTATCGTAACCAATGGTTGAAAACTTTGGGTGACATGTCTCAGAATCGATCACAATGGCGTAGGTGTATTCATTCTTTATCTTCCCGTGAGATTAAAATTACTTTATATCTTTCTTTCTACGGATTGATTCTTTTTCTCTGTATCATATCCCTATATGCAACCTTTATATATATATATATATATATATATATATATATATATATATATATATATATATATTACTACCGTTGAAATAACCGCTTTTATGAATTTAGCGTTGTTATGATTCTCTCTTATTACAACCCAACTATTGCTATTGCTAAATATTATTGGACACCAATTCACTCGACAAGTCCCTAAATCATAAAAGGGTTGAACAGAAAAGAAATTATATTCCAAGTAACGAAGGTAGATGGAAGTAAGAAGCACAATAAGAGAAACGTTAGTATATTTATAGTTTTAACATGTCAAGATTCTGGAGTCCTCTCCAGGAATCGACTAGCGCTGATTGGATAAGAAATATTGTGATATTATCTGAAGGTTTTTATTCTTAACAAACTTTTGTACTTTAAATTCACTTACATAGAATATTACTTCATTCCTCTTTTGAGTTGGGCACGAAATGTTAAAAATAGTTCGTTAAGTCTTAGCTGTATTTATTCAGGGTATTCATTATTCGGTCATGTAAGTCATCTTCAACTTCGGAATCATATTTTCGTGTATATATTTAATTAATCTTTTTTTTCTATATTACTTTATTTATTTTTAACAGGCAAGCAAATGCTCAACGTGAAACCATTTTTAGTTTACTTTTACGTCGACTTAGTCATTTACCAGCTAGTTATGATCAAATATCATTGATACTTGAAGAGGTGAATATATCAACAAAAATACGCAAAAGTGGAAATGTCATCTGCATCATTGATTGTTTAACACAGGTATTGTACCAATGAAAAAGACATTATTTTCTATCTGTTGTGATCGATTTGTTTAAATTAAACAATATAACAGGACTTAGTTGCTATATATATCATAATCATAGTTAATAAAAGACTCAACTGTGAAGCTTTACGACAATCACTAATACCCTCTTCACACGGCAAGCTGATGTAAATGCATCAGATTATTTATTGGAACACTACTTTACACAAGAAATCTCACATTACGTTTTTGGGGAATTTATGTTTTATTCTAATAAAGTTACGATTTTTAACCAAATAGTGTTTAGAACATTTGAAAAATTCTGACGAACAAAGCAAAAAGATAAGGTGTTTGTATCAATATTAGCCAAAGGCTAAGAAGATTATGTCATAATAAATCACGAAATCAGTTAGTTTGTCCAAAGCTGTTTTAACAGAATTAGTGTTTCTATGTTATGTCCGAAGAAGATTAAACTATGGGTAACTTCCGGGATCTATTTGACCCCTTGACTACTATGATAGGATTTGCTTTTTTTAATTTGTTTCCAATATATTAGTTACAACTTCTCACACACACTTTTGGCTTGGCCTTGTATAATTGCTATTTTTTTATTTTATGGTGTGGTGCGGTTTGATTTGCTTGTATGTAAACTGAGTATGTTTGAAATATATGATTCATACAGTAGAAGCTGAGATTTTGTTCTGTACTCAACGGGCAGGGCTAGATGAGTAGAACTAGTAAGGGAAGGACTCTATACTGGTCGTACTGTTTAACGCATTATTGGTTTAGCACAAGGCCATGGTCGTACAAGTTGTTGTTCTGATTGGTGATTTAGTCACGTGATAGTTAACAAAGCACGAGAACACAACACTAATGTTAGAACTAATTTAAAACAAGGCCAAGTAACATAATTTCCTTTTCCCATAAATATATATATATATATATATACCTTAGTTTCTATAAAATGGGTAAACAGAAGAAAATTTAATCTTACCTCCATTTAAATCACGTTTATAGATTTCGAATCATATCCTTTCTCATCTGGCTACTGGTATAGCTCAGATCGATAACTGTGCTGCCTTCGATGCACTTCAACGTCTTCTGAATCATCTAGTTGTTATCATTAATTCTTTGGACGAAAATGAATCATCTCAAATTGTTTGGAACATCATTTTAAAAGTTGAAGAAGTTCTTTACAATGAATTTCATTCTAAGGTGAGTGTAATCCCTTTTTTAAATTGCATGCAATACTTTCGTTATCATAACAAAATATGTCATAATTACGGAGAGGAGGACTTTTTTAGATGTTATCTATCCCATCAGTAAATGTACTATTAAAATACCTACGGTATGGTATTATTTCTATCGTCAAAGATAAATGTTGTTCTAAAATTATGCCAACCAAATAATGTAACATAATATATAAACGCCTCAGTCGAACTTCATTCGACGATGTTTCTGTGGATATGACTTTATTATACAATAAAAGATGAAAAGAAACTCAAGGGTTAACTACCGCATTTTGGAATAGATGGATAAGAGGATATTTACTGACCCTCCAAACAAGAGATAAATAGTTGAACGTACGCGATCTGGTTCTTGTTAGTAATGTTAAAACGAGTAGAATTCTATGGTCTAAAGCCATTGTCGAACACGTAAGCTATGGTCCTGACAGACGAGTTCGTACAGCAAAATTGAGAACGGCAAACGAGGAAATTTTTTTGGATGTACGAAGCCTATGCCCACTGGAAGAAGCTGGTTATCTGACGGCGACGACTTCCCAAGACGTTGGACGTGGTGCGCGTTTCCGGGGGGAGTGTAAAGTGTGATTGATAAACGAATCCGTCAATGATAAAGTAAAACACCCATCACCACCACATTAATTTTCTTTGACCATGTATGACTATGTCTTGTTTATTCACCAATCACCATTTTATGTTCATTACAAAACAATATTCGCTTTGCTGACTGGTTTTTTCTTATCCTCTAGTTACTGTAGGAAGTTACATTCTGTAGTTTTCACAGTGAAATATGGGCTATAGTTTAAAAAGCTACAAATTTCCTTCATCATCTTATTAATTTTTATATGACAAATTATAGATTGAGTGTTTTCGTCCTCGCTTTTCTAAGGAGTCCGAAAATATTCCTTGTCAAATTCTTTAGTAGCCCAAAAAAACTGCGGGAATTTTTTATCATTGCAGCACTGAATAGATTCTCCTCAGAAACATTTTGAGAAATGTAGGATAACGCGTCATATCTTGTATGGAGAATCACCTATGTTATCTCTATATTTTGTGCGTTTTTCAAAAGGTTCTAGAAGATCAAGCTCACGTGAAATTCTACCAATTCACTAGATTTTATGTGCGTAACTACCTTTGGATTAAAGTCCTTACTCTAATTTTGCTCTTTTTCTCCACCGTTCAAGTTGAAGTGTAGAAGTAGTCTGAGGTTATACGATATAATTTTGAATAAGCACGATTTATGCGAAAATTATGTTCTATAGTAATTTTGAAATCAATAAATTCTGTAACATAGAAATCAAATTAAATTAATCATGTAGATGCATTTCGCCCTTTTTTTATACATGAGTAAGATCAACAAATTACCACTGAACCGGGATGACTAGATTGTTGACTGAATTGTCTAGAAATTTGCTGAGACAATTAGGCTAATTTATTTATTAAGATAACTTAAAAATTGATATTCTAGTATGAAGAGAATAATTTTTCTACGTTATTCAGTCACTTCACTGACATTCCACAATGAAAGTTTAAATATAAATTTCTATTCACTCTTTATCTCTTTTGATTATAGATCCTTTTAGACAATTATAATATTTTGCATTTTATTCGTTGGACTGTGACACAAGTTTTCTGTGGTCGTTTCCTCTTTCATCTATTCAATTGTTCCAGAAAATTACATCAGCCAATAGATTTTGACATTTCTAAACGAATAACAAGACTTTTTGAGTAAATACCGTTGATTTGTTTGTTGTTTTGTAAACGATAATGAAAATTATTTTCAAAAATATTTTAACTTTTTTTTAGAGTATAATAGTTCAATGAGCGTTACAATCGCTTTGGAATGAGAAGTTTTATGTTCACTATTTGGATTTAATTTTTATTGCTTGCTAACAATAATTTTAAATGATATGCTTAGATTCAGGAAGCCGGGTAATGGTGTTTCGTTGTAGATAGAATTCATTATCAATCGTTTTCAGCAACAAATTAAATTATTCAAGTGACTGTTTGGACAAATTATCGAGGATTATAAATTTCTAAAGAATTTAAGTATGAGTAGCTACTAGAAAAAATATCATCTGTTCATCAGTAGGACTATTTCTTTGACTAACTTATCATAACACAGAATCACGTTTTTTGATTCTAAATGAAACCGTTTGGTTGTTTCTCCATATCAGTTACATCAAACACATTAATTATTTGTTAATATTATTCAACGAAATATAGGTTCACTCTTTAAAGTCAATGGTCAGTCTCAGATAAAGACTACTGTCTGATAAAATGTCCTAATAAGAGTTGCATTCGTTTTCCTAATTATTTGAACATTACGAATTTTTTTGTGTATTGCAAACAAACTACTCAATACTCTAGTTATTTAAAACGAATACTTATTACTCGCTTAAATCGTGATTCTGTAACAATATTTTAAGATTAACAGCAAAATTATAAGCATTTTTTTAGGAATAATTTCTTCTGAAAAAAATGCTGATTAACTATCCAATACTTTGGTGTGCCTATACAACACAGCTGATTGATACGAGTTGCTTTTAAGTGATTCCTCTGTGTATATCGTACAACGTTAACATTCTTGATTTCATGAATAGTGTCTGACAGATTTGTTTGTCTTAATTTTGCTATCACCTAGTTATATGTCTCTCTCACCACTGGCAGTTTATTGTGTATATCTTTGATTTACTTCCATTATATGGTAGACTACTATCCATTAATTGCGAATTCATTTGTAGACCTACCACGTTTTAAACTTGTTCTTTCCTTATTAGGAGATATTTTATAGTCAGCATAATCATTATTCTTCAAATTAATCTACTGTTAATCGAATTTTACATTCTCTCATGCATAATATGATACTATATCTTATTTATTTACATACACTGCAATAACATTAACAATCGTCCGGAAATCTTACTTTTAATCAGTAGTAAATACCCCACCTTCTGTTTTTTTGTGAATGTGTCAAACAACGTAGGACCAGGCACATATATGCATCAGTCCAAGCTGCCATACCGCATTAGCACAGCAAGATGACTTCTTGAGCGATATTAAATCATTTCCATATGACAACTGAACTTTCAGAAAATAATATGGAGAAATGACCAAATTTATTATTATTATTATTATCATTATTATTATGGTAAACATTTTATAAGTGTTTAATATGGAGATAACTTACCGTTCAGAAACAACACGCACATTGACCTGATCTATGCATAATTTATATTCTTTATTACAGACATTCACTACTTGCATTTCAACAAATTATTGATGGTATAAAATTTTTTCTACTTTATGAACCAATGATCATTGGTCAAATAACTAGTTTACAATTTGATTATTCACTAAAATCTACTAATCTGATTCTTTTGATTCATTTATCATTGAATCATTCACTGAATCTTATAGAACTGGTGAAATCAGGTAGGTAAACAATTGTAGATTACTGAGTGATATATTATTTTAAAACTGTTGTTGTTTGTGTATTTTTTAGATTCTTCTTTTGTTTAATTTACACTTTATTTCTGAACTGGTCACACAAAATCCAATCAAAACAACTAAAAATGCATCCGAAAATATACTGTAAAATGTAACTTCGAAAATAAAAACATGACTTTTATGAAAGATCGAGTTTTACATGAATCGTAAATTCAAATGCAGATGTGCGAATTGTCATAAATTACTTAATGAATTGTCCGGATGACATCTTATTTTTAAGTTGACAATAATCCCAACATCATTTTTTGTAAAATCTGTGTTGAAACGTTTGTCACTCTATCATAACATGGTAGTAAACTTCATGAAAAGATAAAGGAACATTAGTATACCTCGAAATCTGTGTACATTTTAATACAAAGTTTTCAGGACTTTTGTATTCAACTTCTATGAAGACATTCTTAACTAAATATGAAATACATAAATTTATTTAAAAGCATTATGTAAGTAGTAGTATAAATAATTTTTGTATCACAGTGATTTTTTTCTGTTTTCGTTTTTAGACTTTTGCATGAATATTGAATGGAACATTAAGCAGATAACCTCATTAATCCAGGTATGAAGACTTAATTCACTCATTGAAAATTGAATTGATGTTTTCCAGTATCTGCTTTCATTTCTATTCCGTCTTCTTTGGTTGACTCTATTTCCTTGAAGTTAATTTTGTAGTGTTTTTATGTCTAGTTACTAAGTCAACTCTATATATTCTGTTTATTAAATATGTCTGGCATTATTAACCTTATATGTGGTTTCGCGTTTGCTGACTATATAAATAGACTTAAATACAAAATTTAATTAAATATATTCAAAATACAGTTAATTAATAAACTACTGTAAATTATTTGCTATTTCATCCATTTATTATCGTTGTTGAAGCACTAGAGATTAGTGGGATGAATAAAGGTTTACCACTTTCGCATGTGTATATGTACGTTTTTCAATGGAGCAATCTAACTTCAGTTGTTCTAGAACCCTGTTAATCTCGTTGACTTCTTAGACTAATTACCTAGTATAATCAATTTCACCTGACAGGATAATATTAAAAGTGCGAAACGGAATACATCGCAAATAGTTATATTTCCGACACACTTAATTCATCAGGCCAGATGTATACGTCTCAAAAAGTGTACGGATTGTATTTGTGTATGTGTGTGTTAAGCTATGTCCTGGATAGATTAATGTGACAATCGTGAGTTTTGTGGATTGGTGTAAAAAAGTAATCATTGTGTGAACTGTTTTGTCAGTGTATATCATACTATTTTCTAATGAGTAAGAGAAACAAACACAAAATTCATACATCTAAAAATTGTACATAGATAACGATTCATAATTATTCATGTAAATAAGTAAATAAGAGGACTCATTTAATCGTTACACGATTTTTTAATCTTATACCAATTCAAGCCAGTATCGATTTTCATCATCGTATCCTTTCTATCTTGAAGGCTACTGCAAAATAAGAAATGTTTACTACGATATCATTGATATATTATTTCACACGGTTCTATTTTTCTATAAAGATGAAATTATACTCACTTTTCCTTTTTTTTACCTAAAGCCAATATTGTTATGGCGTTAAATTTTTCAGTAAATAAATAGTTTATAAAGTTACTATGTGCTTAGTGTGAAAAATCAATTACCACTCAATCAACTAATAACTCTTCAGTTAATTTATAAACTGAATCTGTCCATACATATAAACATTTGGTAGTTGTATTCATATCCCTCCTTTATACTCTTGATTAAACATGAATGATAATCAGTAATAGAATTTCAGAGTCATACTTGATCTTAATTTAGTAATCAACAATATTTTAGCATTCATGATAGAAGGTTATATTAATGGAGTTTATCGGACTAATATACAATTAATTACCAACTAGAATATGAAGAATGTCTGTTTTCAACTGATATTTTACAAATCAGTGAAATTATTTAATTTTATTAATTAATTATGTAATACTATGACGTTTTAATCGTTATATATATATATATATATATATATATATATATATATATATATATATATATATATATTCCAAATAATGTTATCATTATCATATACAGTCAAAATTATCGTCAGTTTGCATTCGAATAGATTTTATTCTTACCAATGTTTCTTATTTTATTTATAGGTTATTCATAAAACAATTTACTCACTTGGAAAATATGAACCATTGCTCTGTTTCTTATGGTATCAATTAATCTATTCAAAAGAATTAAATATAATGAATATTCTATTGAGAAATTATCATACAAAATCTTTTCCTAACAACAATGATGATAATTCATTTAAAATATTTTTACCTAATTTTTACATAGATTCCAATTGGACAAGTATAAATTTAGAACTTGTTCATCAGTTCATTATGATATCGTATATTCAATCACAGTTGAATTCAAACAATGTAAGTTTGTATCAATTATTGCAGTGAATTAGCGATCTTTTTCTGTTTAAAATTATAGGTTTCTTTTATCGTAAATTGTTCTTTTTTTTAAAAAAAAATACAGTATCACTTTGGTAATCAATGAAAACATATAAATCTCTGCTTTATTTCCTTAAACTCTTTCATGTATTAAGTCACAAGTTTCTACAACTTGATCTATCAAAGTTTGATTAATCAGTCTGTATCATCACTCTTCATCCATCTAATAATGATGTATCCATGCTGTACTATAATTGACTATGGGTATCTGTTTTATTGAAATAATTTCTAAATATATTTGCTGCAGAATCAAACACTTCTCATGAGAAGATATGGTTTATCTAGAAATTTGAATTTTCTAACAACGACATTTTTTCTATTTAATCATGAATACTTTCAAAACACTACTGGCTTGTAGTGAGTGGGCAGTATTTAAGTTGGTTAAGGTTCTGTGTAAACGAGCTTAATTAAGTTAGTAAAACTGATTAATTGAATTAATTAGTCTGACTAAACCCTTTGTTGTATATACCTCGTTGTTTATTTTTAATATCAGTTGGAATTGAAGTTCAACGAAAAAAAAAGTATTGAAAAGAGTCAAATGAAAACTTATGATCAATCCATAAATCAACTTACTGTCATCTTGATATATACGGGTACATTCAATTACTCCACTTTCGGTTCACAATATAGTTGAAGTCTCATTAGATCTGTACAACAATTTTAACCATTGTTTATTCGGTTCTGAACCTGCATTGTATTGTTTTCATTTTTCTCATATTCCTACAATTCAGTTTAATACTTTTTCCTGTCGTTGGCTTTGTGTTTATGTTTTATTAAAAAATGAAAGCACCTTAATCTAATACACCATTACAGTCATTTTTCATTCTCAATTGAAATCACATTTAGATTATTTTTAAACACTATCAACTTGATTAGGCTGTAACCTATGTAAAACTGTCCTATTTATTTATAAAATGTAATACATGACTGATATCTACGTATTTACTTTTTCTATTAAAGGTCGATATTGTCTTGCAAAATCTCTTATCACCAGTAAGTGATGGTCATGTGAATTATTCATACCGAAAGAAAATTATACGATTACTCAATATGTGGCATTCAGGAGAACCTATTGTTTGTGATTTAATGTCGCAGTTATCGAATTCCAAAAGCGCATTTAAACAAATTCATGATGGGTTTATGGAAAATCTTTCGTTGATGGTAAGATTAAGTTAATTTATTTTCATTCCAAGTCATTTAAATTGTGAATTTGTAACAAAAAGTAGTTAAAAATTTCATTTAAAGCCAAACTTGTCCCCATTCAATGTTACGCTTTTGTAGTGGCTGGTACTATGTCAAGTCCACATAGGCTATTCTGGCTTCTGGACAAATGAATTTATTCCTTCTTCTCAAGCCACATTTTGACCTTGCCAATTATTCGCCTATAAATCCTGACTGTTCGTATGATCGTGTGTGTGTTAATTGCTTACCCCATATATTCCGTGTCTGTAATTTATTTTTGTTTGAATATAAATATTCAGTCACGCTTGATTAAATTAAGTTGACGCACTTGCCTTCTGCACTGTGGGTTGTTTCGTTTCGCTTCGCTCTCTTCGCTTCATTTCTCTGATCATCTTTCTGGATCAACGAATTATGTGAAACATGCGTATTCGAAATCTATTCCCATATTTGATTAATTTAATTCCGTTATTCATTAACGCGATTTAAGTCGATGGTTATATACGAGGGTAGCCGGGATGTATATTTTGATAGCAATCAACATACGACCTAACTGGAGTCAGACATAAGGCCAAAAATATAATCTTACCAGTGTAGTATAACAATTTCATTTTCAATATACCATAAGTCATAGTCCGTTGACGTAATTTTGAGGTATTCATCATTAACTGGGAACAGCTGATTAGTGCTAGGCACTCATGATTGACGTGCTTTAAAATAAAAGCTATTCTTTAAATGAGCTAATCCTCATGGACACTTAATTGGCAACTATTGAATTGAGAACAACAATAATCTGGACGTGTTGCAAGACAACCGGCGGAAAAAGAGTTCAAAAACAAGTTTTTGTATGTATTACGTAATTCCATAAGTTATTAATTCGTTCATTTTAGAATAGAGCTTAAGATAATCACTTTTCTCATTCCAAGTTTAACAAAAAGATACGCTATACATCTTCGAGCGATTTAGCTAACTGGAAAGCCAACAATTTTGTGATCTGTATGAAGTTACCTGTTAAACGAAACCACGAATGTAAGAGAAATTCGTAGCACTTAGTTCAAAATTTATCAGCTTTTATTGATATGGATTCGTGGTTGTATGAATCATCTGGAAAGTTAATCATCATATCCACTGTTGACCCGTACGCTTTGTGTTTAAATCTAACAACTGATAAATAAATTTGCTTCACTAAATATCAGTACAATCCTTATAATCATAAACACATGTGTAATATTTTAACGTGAAGAAACAGTTTATTTTTATAGTCGATGTAATGAGAAAGGTGTCTCTTTCACAACGATAGGCTGAGAACCATTGTTACAATTGACTCGATGAATAAATTAAACTCTGAGTGTCTAATGGAACAGATATATTTATGACTGAAAGTAGGATCTGGAACGCTTAATTTCATCCAATGAAGATTTATTAGAATTAGTTCAAACTATCAACAATGTGGTTATTCAGATCCCTTCCAACAACGGTCTGAATATCATACTCGATGTACAAGTTAGTGGCTATCTGGACTCAATCACACAGTAAATAACGTGTCGAGATTTTAAAGCGAAGGTCACTGGGATTGGGTCCTTGAGTGAATACCAACACAGATGCATATACATCTATATGATAAGTTCGAAATAGGATGGAACTCTTATCCAGGATTCCACTATAAGCCGCAAAATCTATTTATGCCGTAAAACATGTGAAAATGGCTTTTTCAAGGCAATCTGCCCAGGTTGCATGTATGTTGACAAAAATGAGACCAAATTCAATCAAGTTTATCAACAACCGGTTTATCAAATTTCTTCTTTATAACGATCTAAAAATTGAAGTTAATAAACTCTATATTGTTTTACGGCACATTAAACGAATCATAGTTGCAATCAGTTTGTCTATACTTCGATTATTTTTAATCTATATAAGAGGTTACTTTTGATATTGTATTAGACCAATATTTTGACTTGTTGAATTTTCACACATAAATATCGGTATTGTTGTTGTTATTATTATTATCATTTGCTCTAAATCTTTCAGTCTCTTGAACAGATACACTTTATTCTCAGTAATATGTTTGACGAAATTCATACAGAATCAACAACTTATCAACTTGACACATTGTTCAATATATTCATTACTCCTCAATGTAAGCTGGTTTCATTTGAAAAGGGAAAACATTGTTCATCTTGTACAAGGAGTACTATGCCAATCAGTTTACGAATTATTGCATCTATTAAAGCCTGTAATATATTAGAATGGATCCTTAAAACCTGTGATAATAAGGTCGAGGTAATTTGATTTACTTGAATTTTTTTATATCTTTCTTTTTTCATGTGTGTACTATTCATGCGCTTTCAAAGTTGGGATTACTTGTCCACTCCGCGAAAACACCATAAGAAATAATGTTTCACCAATGAAAGTGAATGTATAAACACACTCATCTTCACATGGAAATCTGAATACAAATATGCATTACTTCATGTTACTAGACTTTAAAAGTTTATATTTTATGATAAAATAATTCGGATAGTTCTCCAATCATTTTCTAAAGCGTGTTTTTAGCCATCTCTGATCGCATTTTGTTTGTTTAATAAAAACATTGCCTTATACTTATATTACTCTTAAGTTTATCAGTAGTTTATATTCTACACTTCATTTTATTGGTTACAGAAACTACAGTGCATGGTGCCATATCATGTCCTGTTGAACTATCGCACGCGTTTAATAACACTCAAGAACAATTTAAAATCAGATAGATTACTCAATTTGCTCGACGAAATTATCAAATTTACGAATGAAAAGCCTGATAAAACTGAGAAATATATTTCTCCCAGCACGTTAACTCATGTTAATTTTAACGCAATCATAAAGGTCAGTGTAATAATGTCTATCCTAATCTTTTCCTTGTTTACTAGGAATTGAAATTAATTACCTATATGACAAAAATTTCATTTAATACTAAAGTCATTTTGTCAGATAGTTTCTACGTCTTGAGAAATATTTTTTGCTCTAGACCTATGTATCAATCCTCAATTGTTTCAAGTTTGTTTAGATTAATATTCTGTATTCTTTCCATATTCATATGATTTGATACATTCAATCAGTGTATATTTCAATCTTCCTTTCTGAAGTAATAAAAGACATGGTATTAGCAATAGGTGAATAATTTTGTAATTCATTTTCTTCAATTTCCATGTTCTAGACACGCAATCATATTTATTGTTTCAGTATATCCCATTCTATCTTAGTGCCTAAAATTAAGCTGATCAAATAGGTTTTTTGCTGACGAACGCGTGTAAACCGTTCCTCTATATCCTTTTTCCTTGTTTAACACAAAAGTGGTATCTAAAATAAATTTTGCAACACATCCCAAAGTACTACTAAGTAGAATTCCTTCCCAACTTCCAGAGACTTTGTTCGATATTTTGCTAACTGAAATACCCCTCCCTGACTGTAGCTGCTACCTTAACTTGGTGGTCGGACTTGTCTATCGTAATGATTCAATGGAGCTATATTTACTGGAACAGTTGTACTTCTAGGTTTTATCATTCCAAGCAGGTCGGTTGAAGAAAGGTAAAGTAATAAAAAAATTTGAGGTCCGGGGTGAAGTCATACTACTAACTGTAGAGGGGTGTAATATTAGTACCGTATTTTCCTCGGACAACCAGCGTCTACAGCTATGCTGGCCTCTCACGAAGGAAAGAAGGATTTAGTAAATGTCAGCCCTGAGAATTTCATACCTCATCTTACTCCGGTGGTAAAGCCTTTTAAAGTATTGAAATAGCACATCGAAATCTGTTCATGTAAAGACCGTGTGTGATCGGCCTCGAGCAGTTGCCCTTGGATCTTGTTGCTATGCTCTCAGTTCATTAAGACCACCATTAACCCAACTTTATTGTCAGATTCCTCAAGGAGAAATATTCTACTACTTTGTGCTCACGGTATGATGATATCGTCTAATAGTGTCATTGCAAATACAATATTACCAATAATTTACTTTTGATTTCGTGTACAGAAGCCTCAGGGTTTCTTAAGCTGGAAATTCTCTGATACATTTTTTAGTTGTTATATGATGAAATTACTCTCTTTAAAATCTACATATTTAAGAATATTCAAAATCAATTGTAATTATGTGCATATTTATGCACTCTTTGTGTGTTGTGTTTTTATGGTGAACACAATTTATATTCTCATTGTATTTATCACTCATCTTCTTATATCCTTCTTGTAAATTCTATGTTATAATGGACTTGATCCTATCCATTATCGTATTTTACTGAACGTTGTTTTAGCGACAAGATTGTTGAGGTTACTTCCTCATTTTTGACTGCAAACTGTGATAACCTTTTAACTATGCATATATTAGCAATCTAATTTTCTTAGTATCGTTATGAATTCAATTGAGAGTATTCAAAAGGCAGAATACCAGTTGTTTTGGGAAAGTGCGTATTGTTAATGATCAACTAAATTCACAAGCACACTGGAGAGTAATTGAGTGAGAATGAAGAATGTGTGTATTTTTCATCGGTGCTAATCAATACGTGAGTAAAGTCATTGATTGTCTGTGTTTACAATCAATAAAAGGGGAATAGATGATGATCAAGATGCAAACATGCGTTCAGTTGAAATTACACATTCGTATACATAGTAGTGGATCAAATATCTAGATCACAGTGAATAGATAATAAAAATATAACAGGCCTTTCTTGGCCTCTTATATGACCTAGCGAAGTAGGTCATGCAAATAAAAATTTGTGGAAGGCTGCTATAAAACCAACCTTTTTTAATTTTATAGTTATTCAACTCCGACTGTTTCATACTGTAGAATATTCCTAAGTTATCTATCGTTTACTTTATCTAAACGTATCTTTAATTTCCAATAGATAGATATATTCCCATTGGTCTTTTTCTTTAAAACATTATAGCAACCTAATGAGACCACTTGGTTATTGAATTCAGCAAAAGATCTCTTGATGCAATATAATTTATCAGCTGCATTGAATGGAATTCGATTGATTCATGCTCTTTCAGAATGTTCGAATATTAAGGAAAAAAAGATATCCAATATTCTCAATTCTGTATGCCTTCGATGCTCTCCACGAATGTTGTACTATGCTTTGGTACTTGGTTCGTCATCCGCGTCTTCATCATTATCTCTAAATTCCCTTTCTGCTGTACCTGAAATTACAAATCAAGCTCATAAACCTTGTTCAAAAACATCACATATCACACCTTGTGTAAATGTCTTATTTCGAGTTGCGTAAGTTTTTCTCTATAGTTTCCCAGATTTATTCATTCATACTGAAATGTGTAATACAGTTATATCGTATAATGTGGATCAATTTTGAAACTCAACATCTATGGATTGAAATATCAAGCGACTATATGCTATCCTAAGATGACCTTCGTAACGTACAGAGTACATAATTGTCGCACTTCGAATGTAAAATACCTCACATTTTGGTTTGGTGTGCATTCACTATGTGAGGAACGATCCCACGATTTCGTCCAAAGAACTCCGCGTCTTCAACGACATCCGATTTACAAGAGAAGATTCAAAAAAGAAAGTTTATCCGAAGTTTTATTAGTCAATAAGACAGCAACAATTAAAACACAAGTATACAAGAACCCATCCCATAATGATTAAATGCCAAATTACAACGGCGATCCTCTACCAACGTCTAGGAATATTTGTGAGTAAATGCTACTCACTGCGAAGAGAGTTCATTGCAGCACTGTCACTGCACGAAAAGTTTGAAGTACCTCGTCTTTTGCCTTTCTTCTATAAAGATAGATACCCACCAACTTCATCTGCAGACGTTTAGTACATGGACATACCACCACCTGCACACCAGGAGAGAGATCGTCCTACCGTATATTAAGGAATTCTCAGAAGTTAATACGAGCATTTCGAAAAGTTTTGAATCTATGTTGCTCACAAACCAACACAATCACTTCATTCTACTATATACAAACTGAAAGGCAAAACAGCGGAAAAAAAAAGCAAATTTAGTGTCATCGAAAAAATGAATTATACCTGTTGCAAGAAATACCACATTGCACAAGGTGGACAATTTTTTTACCCATTCATTCACGAAAATAAACTAGTGGTGGGATGCTACGGTCTGTCATCATTGGAGTCAGTACACCCAAACAATAACAAATTTAAGTGTGATAGGGTAAACGTCTATCAGCATCTTACTTAGATCAATGAAAAGTAAAACGAAGATTAAGGAAACAACTAGTAACAAACAAACCATCAAAACGAACTAATTTGCCGCTCGTGGAATATATTTAAAGGCTCACTTTCATGTGATGTGAAATATCATTATGAATACATTTTTGTAATATCGTCATATCTATTCCCCATTTTTAGTTCAGTCTAATTACCCTAGTTTATTGTTGATTAGTAACTATTGCCATATCATTTAGTCCTTGATGTTGATCACTTTCTATCTATCGAGTTGTGAAGGCAATCAGCATAAATTAAATAAGTAATTTATCTTTTGAAAATATCTAGCTATAACTTTCATTCTTCAATCAATTATTCATTTCAGTCAGAAAATTCTGTTTCAAAATATACAGAATATTGTAACAAATCCCAGTGAATTGTTCACAGAAATTGAAGGTAATCCTTTTTTTCTGTTCATTTGATTAATGGAACATCATTATTTTAATTGGTGTTGAATTCCTATAAATTATATTTGAATCACTAAATACTTGTTAAATTGGTCTATAAGATAAATATTCACATGCGATGTAGGCTAACTACTACTACGAGAGGGACGACGATGATTTACTTATGATGTGCACATGTTCACTTGGACGGTAGCGTGAGCAGGTGTCACAGACTAATGTCAATTTGTAGTCAGTAGGTAAAATATGATTTAGTAAAATCACTCGAGCGCCATGGTAGTTAAATAGATTGTTCACCAATAGAAGCAATCCTCAAATATCAACCGAGATGGTATGATGACATTGAGTAGAAAATGTTTCCCATGATACCTTATCATACTAGGCTGACCTCTTGGAACACAAAAAAATAACAACAAATTTAGGGTTTAAGGTTGTACTCGTACTACGGAGTGTGCTGGGGCAATCGGTGGCGTGTGGTATCACTTCCCTCATGTTTACTGTCGAAAGTAATCAGAACACGACGACCGTACTGTTGAGCAAGGTAATAATGGGGTTGAATGTATCATCCCTCTTTTACACACTATTATTTTTATCTTAAGGTTCTGTAATATTTATATTTACTTGATTCTAACATCATAAACTTATATTCTTTAACGCAAAAATTTCTAGATCCGAATTTGGCTGATTCTGTACAAACATATTTAACCGGTCTATCATTCGCTTTATTAGAGTTTCTTCGAGTTTTACCTCATTTACCACTGGGGGATTTAGTACCAATCGAAAAGGAAACAGATGCATTGAGTTTTCTACTCATTCTTATCGAAGTATGTTTAGAATTGAACTTATTCGTAAACTGTCACATAAAAACGTTTATCCTTTATTAAATATCGTTCTGAATATTTCATATACCGCTGCAAAATTTTCTTTTTACATCGTAAACTGACACGTCATTTTGTGAACTGAATAACACAATTAATCACTCAACGAATATTTTGTTGTAGTTTCTAAACTTTTTAGCATTGTCTATTTGCGATTTCACATGGATTCGAACACGAATAAAAACACCCTAAATGTGGTTGGAATGACTGATAAAAACTTGAAGAAATCAACAATAATCGTCGACATAAAATGTCATGATATGGATAGAAAACGTCCGATTCCCCTTTCATATTTCATATAATTTATGTTTAATACAGTGTTTGTGAAGGAATTAACTAGCCGGTTGTTTGGATCAGCAGTGGTTAAAAAATTTAGTTTGCATAGATCTAACACTATTGTAGTAATGAGTTTACATCAATTTTTCGTATTGATGCATAAAATAAACATTGAGCAACTTTCATTTATCATTATTTGCTATCTTTCCGACTGCTTTTTCCATTCATTTAGAAGTATAATAGATCTGATTGATGTTTTAATTGTCAACGTTACATCTTACTGCCAAACTGGAAATGGATTTTCAGATTTTTTCACTTTGTCATTGATTTTTTCTGCCATTTGTTTCCGGAAATCGCACATTTAGTTGTAAAAAACCATTAATGTTTTGGCTCTTCATTGTGAAAATTAAGAATATTCCTAACAGAAACGTTATTCCATTTTTGACATGGAATATTCTCTATATTTCACATGTCCAAAGAAAACTGAACCGTTAGGTTAGTAAACAAAAAAGTCAACCATGTTATATCATACAATTCACCAATCGTAGTTTTATTTACTGTGATTTTGACTTCATTGTCTGTTTGATTGTTGATTGTATTACCTGATTGCCCTAACTGAGGTAAATCGGGGTTTGAACCTGTGAGACAACAGTTGAAAGCCGAATCCTTTACCCAATAATCCACCGCTCCACGTAGTAAATTCTTGAATCTACAAGTCTTATTTAACTGTTATTAACTTAATGGTTCAAATGGTTATCGAAAAACTATCAGAACAGAAATTTTGTGTGATTTTGTAACAAATATTAAAATTTCCTATCCTCAATCCAACATTATGAATGAACTTTTTTTCAGAGCCTCATTTTTTTCTATATTTTACTGACGAACTTCTTTTATGATTTAACATTTATTTAGAATTCTTTCCCAAACAATCTCAGTTAATTTGTTCTCTTATTTTTCTTTATTTTATTATTATTTCAGTTCTTTTTTCATTCAATGGGTTATCCATATTCTAAGATAGCTAGTGTTTGTTCAGGCAATAATTATTCCAATACTGATCATGTAGTAAATCAGTCACAAATTATGAACAAGGATGGTGATAATAATAATAAACCTCCACGATATTATATCGTATCTGTAACAATGATACAAACTAGTCTTCGATTATTAAATTATATTTTACAAACAGCACTAAATCGTTCTGCCAAAGGAGTGGATTTGTTCGGTGGTGATGGTAAAAAGATTTTATCTATCTTTCTTGTCTTCATATGGATGATTGATAAATCAGGTAAATAATGTTTAGTTTCTTCTTGATTGAACGAATTTAATTTTAAAGATATGCTTTACTTTCGAACCACCTTTTATTGTTTCAGACAGAGTTAAAAATGATGTCAATTTTCTATCACTGAAATGTTTTTAATCGAAACTCATTCATAGTGTCATGTTTCTTCGAAGTGGAAACAATATGAATGATTAAGATTGTAACTACAATCATAAAACTTAATTAGTATAAATTTATGTGTTTCTAGATTTCATGTATCAGTGATAAATTGCATCAAAAGTCAAACATTTTTCAATTGAAGTCTTGGGAATATCTAGTTAATCTACATTTCTTATAAATTTTGTAGCTATCAATAACACCCCAAAATAAGTAGCTTTGAAAGTGTTCGGCAAAGTATCCATACCATGTTCTAACATATCCGCATGAAACTCTTCTCTATAAGACAGGTTAACAGTCTCACGTTTGTCTACCTCTACCTACGACTAAGTATGTTGTTCCTTCCGATTGTTGTCGTTTTCTCTCTTTGTTTTCAGAATACAACACTTAAGGATTATCATTAAATTTTTCGGAATCAAGATTTTCTCAAATTTACGTGCAAAAATTGGACAAAATGATGGACAGTCTCTTACCTTTACATTTTTAATTTTCATAAGTAAAATAATTCTCAAACGTGAATCCTAGTTAACAAATTCCTTTAATTTATATAATGATATGTCCACAAATCATGATTTATAATTTATTATACAAAAACACATTTTCAGTGACGACCGATAAACAATTAACCTTTCTCTCGTATATGACATTTATGAACTATCCAATATTAAATAAAGTACATACTAATCTTGAGTCATCTAGCTCAAATGCAATCACTTTACAAACGTAACCAGTAAAATTCAACCAAGTTTAATGATATGTGAACTGTTTTCTTTGATTCTTTTTAGTTTTATGCACTTAAATAACCCACACAGTAAAATTTTATTGAAAGAGAGTACTAAAGGGTTTACCACCTCGGTCAAAATTATAGAAATCAGTTTTAGTTTACTAACATTCCTGATGTACACATTTTACTGATTGCTTTATAGTGATGGAGTCAACGGATTAGTTTTACCGTTCTCATTTGACTATGTAAAATTCATTTTGTTTGTGTGATTTGTCATGTTAGACTTCAAATGAGTTCTGCTGATTTATAAAATTTAACAAATAGATCCTAATTTATATTCATGAAGGAAATAATTCATTAACATAAACATCTATGAGTAAACTGTTCTTAGCATTTATTTACTTAGTCATCTTATTGGTTAGATGTTACATTGAAGTTATATTTTTTGATGGTTGAGATCGTGAGTCAATTGAAGCTAGACACCACCATGGAAAACCTGGAAGCATTGAATGGCTGTTTCGTCCTGTTGTGGGACTTCTCAGCAGTGTGCATCCACGATCCCGCCTCGCGAGATTATATTTTTCGCTCAATTTTGTTCAAGCTATTTGTCACATTGGTAAATCTAAGTGAACTTTTGAAGCTAAGATTAAGCAGAGGTGGCTAGCAGTGGAATTCAACCTGCTCGGTTTTCTCTGTTCGGGACTCGCCAGCCGGATCAATTGCAGTTCTAAAAATCAATGGCCAGATTCAAATAACCAGTACAAATGAATTTTAAAGATGTTATGTAGTGTGACTAGTCTTACATCCTAGGCGTTTTAAAATATTTACCTCCCTGTTCAGCTACAATACTCTGATTGTTTTGGACCAGTCACTACTTGGTAATTGTCTTCAATTTTAAAGATTAAAATTTTTAATGTCGTGCAATCACTTATATGAAAAAAATTCTTGATCGAATATGAAGTTTTAGGTATGCGAATGGTGATAATTAAAACTAAGTGGTGTCAATCTTCATATTCTGACGAAAGTAGTCCAAAAGTGATACACTCATTTTAAAAATACTTAGATTTATTTATTGTATATGTAGCTTTCTAGGGAATCTATATGAGAAACTATTAAGATTTATATACTTAGCGCCATTTCTATGCTCCCCTCTGAATATTTTCATTAATTCGCTGAAGTATATTAAAGTTTATGTCGCTACAGTACGTTCACTGTGATTGATTTCACAGCTCGATTTTTTTCATGTTCAAGTAGTCTTAGAAGAATTTAACCCTGTCTGTAACAAATTATAGATATTGGAAAAATCTTATCTTTATTAAAATATAAAAATTCATGATCTGATGAGATGATGCAAATTAATTACATCTTTCATCCTGCAATATTTAATGCTTTTAGTTTCAGACCTATCCTTTGATACTATTTACAAAATCCAGTCACATATTCCAAATGGCATACACGTAACGTACATTGCAGTAACTTTCAGTATCCACACAGTTACTATAGTGTATATAAAAACAATGTATTTGATTCCCCTCTTCGCCATAAACCTAGCTTTTTCACTTCTCCAATGTTCGCTTAAATGTTTCTTTTATTTCGTCATTATTACTATTATTGTAAAGGTTGTTTCTATCCCGAAGTCTTGTTGATCATTCATATTAAATCCTCATTTAAACCATTAGGCTAATGATACTCACATTTGCTCTGTGTACAACGATAGTTATCGTATTTCTCTAGTTTCATAAATCCTCCGTTTACGGTAACTTTCAATTTCAAACTATATACTGACATTTCAGATTACCGCTTATGATATTCTAAAATATGGAATTTTGATTTTTAACAGTTAGTATTTTCCATTACTACATTTCATAGACTTATAATTTGTTAGATATACATGAAGTTTCCAGAAAGGGTTATTTCGCTAAAGTAAACTTTTTACCAAACTCAATGTTCGTCATTAAAAATACTGTATTCGTGTCTACTGCATGAATTGCTTGTATTCTTTTTCCATATATTTAGCATGTCTTTCTGAGTATACAACAATTTGGTCTAAATCAACCAACCAACATATGATAATTGCTGTTCAAAGAATCCTAGATGAATATACACAGCAATCGATAACAAAGTCATCGTCATTATTACCTGCACAATTATCTACAACAGTCTTATTAAATAATTTACTCACTCCTTTACATCCACCTATTATGGGTTTATGGTGGCCTGATTCGATTTGTGCATCGACTCTTTCTTACTTTTGTGCCGCAACTGCCTCAGTTGCATCGTTTTCCATATTAAATTCAAATACGAATCAAACAAGATTAGGAAATATAGAAGGTGGATTTATTCAAACATGTCAACTGATTGGCAAGTGTAGACTGTTACGTTCTAACTTTATTCAGTCAATGGGATTAGATATAGTTGGTCAATTAAACATTTGCACCTTAGGTAACTATTTTATTATATTAGAGTTGTATATTATTTGTTTGTATTTTTCATATCATTAATCGATATTAATCTAATAAATATTAAAATTCATAAAACTATATTTTTCTTTGGTTAGTTACAGTACAGATATATTAAGTTGCTTCAATAACTAAATTATCAAATTGGATTGCTAAAACTACTTTAAAAATAGCTTCTTATAATCAAAACCAGATGTTTTTGTTGTCCTGATAAGTTTACTTTCCTGTGATGCCAGTTTTTGAGAGTGACTTTATGAGTAGTATTTAGAAATTCCAAAACAAAAGTAAAATGTCTGAGTTGTATAATTTTTTATCAGCTGATAGAAATTGAGAATTGAAATTTACTTATGGGGAAAAGTGTTGATGAATATCACCCTCATATTTCCATTAGACTATTACTAGCTTTCGATCGTGAATTATCTTGACAACGATTCCGATTTTTAGTTTCTACTTTACATGCGACTCTGAATAATGGTAGGATCTTCGAGAATGTGTTTGTATCTAAACGACTGGATCTACAAACTGACATTAGCAGACTTACCAACGGTGAACTTAAATTGTTATCGTCAGTCGTTGGAATCTCATAATGTAAGTAATACCCGAAAGGAATATAATTGAGCTGGAAAACGTATCCTGAAGTCATGCGGCGAGTAATCTGTGCACTTCGTGAATTATCAACGACAAGAAATGAATTACAGAATGGAAAAACATTGTATTTCATGAGTAAGTAGTAGCGTTTATACTATCTGACAGAAAATACAATGAATAAATGTTGGAACAAACAAAAATTTTATTGTATAAGTTAAGTTGTAAAAAACTACGCGGTTTCCACCTCATTTGTTGAGGAACCACAATTTTGACGGTTAATTGAACAATTTTCTGTGTTAAATCTCACAAATTGTTCTGATAACTAAATTTTCGGTAAATCTATGTGAGGATTATTATTGAACCCTTGTTTTTTAAACACCGCATCATATATAGAGCTTATCCATTTTCAGTTAGTGAATTTACTTCACCTCTAAGACGCATTATATTCTGTTTCTTTTTCTTCCAGGAATTTCTCGTCTCCTACATACTTTGAACGTATCTAGTTCATACAGTTACAGTTCAATTAATATGTCATTTCATGAATCTAATGATGTGAAAACGTCAGATTGCATTAATTCATTTGTAAACCTCGATTTAGATCATTTAATAGTGAACACTACCCGTCTTAACGCTATGGGTTGGTTAGATCGTAGAGAATTTGAAAGAATTTGGACAAATTACTTAGAATTATTATCCTCTGCATCAGATGCTCAGCAAAATATCTACTCAATTAAAATAGAATCTGATAACGGACAACTAACAAGTTCAGAGGTATATTGATGAATAGTCACTTTTATACCGAGTTTACTCTAATCAAAACAACACACATGTTTCTAATTTACTCATTTAACTTGACACTTTTGAAATAATCCTTAGAGAACCGTCAATATTCAAGATGTCTGCTTCCTTGTTTATCAATTATTTATTAGACTCTCATACAATACCAAATGAGTTTACAATCGTTCAGACTATGGCAGCAAATTATAGCTAAAAATAAAATGATTTTAAATCCCCTTAAAGTTCCTGAGTCCCAGTAAGCTGAAATTTTAGTTTCATAACTTCTCCGGATAATTCGAATTTCATCTCAATATCATTAAATCCTCACATTACATTTCATGATGCATACAGTGATTCGTCTTAAGATGTGAACAAAAAAATATAATTTTATCTATGTCGAGTTGATAAATATTGAAAGCTTACTATGATGGTCAAATGGATGATTTACCGATTCCAATCAAATAGATTTTCGATAATAAAACCGTTACCCAACTACCAGATTATATATATATATATATATATATATATATAAACATTCTGTCGTAAATTTGGAATATTTCACTTAGATATTTTCTCTTTAATATATGTACATTATACGCACAGATTTCTTTGTGATCAGAAGTTGTTAGTAAACACTTTTTAATCTGTAGGAATCAATTGAATGCAATCAGTCTATTGTAATTGGTCTACGTGGTTTAACACGATTGCTTATGGATACGTCATTGAAACCTCAACCTGGTGATACATTATACTCCCGATTACATCATCACTCTCGCCTTGGAATACCACATTTCTCTCACACTAAGTAAGCAGATAAATCATCTTATTTTTTAAATAAAAAGTTTAGGGAAAATATTCCAAAGACTGATTACAAAAATTTAATTTGTAGTGGTTTGCATTATGTCGTGGTTGATATTCTGATTGAAATTTGATCAGTGTTATTTAATATATGTGAATCCCGTGCAGATTGCCTCAATGTAGCCGTTATGACGTAAGTTATTTAGAATAGATGGATTTTGACAAACAGTGAAATCCAGGACCCACGTTTTATCCTGGTTAGGACCCGTCAGCTGGATATACCTACATCTTAGAGTGAGTGCTTATCTACCCTCAAAACTTAACTTCACAACGTTTGAAGCAAAAAGTACCTGGTTTGAGCCCCAGAGTGGATATCAGCTCTGTAATCTAGCTGACGAGTCCCAAACAGGATGAAACGCGTGTCCTTTACCCCACTGCTAGTCACCTCTCATCAATTCTATATAGAATAGATTAATTTGGTAAAAGTTAGATTTATCTCTCTAGTTAATTCTGGACAATCTGTATGGGTTTGTAAATTCTCTCTTGCTCTCTTGTTTTCTACTACCAGCACTTGATTTATTATTATAGTTATATTAAACCTAAATTATAATAGTATTAACTTTGTAAATATCTGTAACATTATTTGCCTTGATGACCCCAAACAAATTGGATGTTGATTAACTTGTGACTTAAGTAGAATTTTACCAATCAGTCATACAGTCTAGCATAAGATCATGCACTGCAACTCACATGTCATTAATTATCTCCACTACTAAAGAGGCTTTGATTAAAATTAAAACTTATATCTGTTGCTCCCTGATTGAGTATTCAAAGCAATTCTTAAACGAATCCTCTATGATTTCTGTTTCTGATCCAGATTTGTAGTTATTTACGTTAAACGGTGGTGAAGTGTTATATGATGTAAAACAGTAGTATGGTATTATCAGTAGTTAGTAGTTGACTCAGATCAATCATGGTGTGAAAATATAGAAAACTTCCTGAATGGAGCATATAAATGAGATTAAAAATCTATAAGAAATCTTATGTTTTCACCAATACAGTAATATCTCAGCATACAGTAAGGAATAATTCTTAAACCTTTCCTCCTCAAAGATAACTTAAAGCATGGAACATAAATCAATATTTTCGCCAAATATCTGTGAATTTCCACTGTTACTACGAATGAAAATCGCAAAGTACCAGGACTTTAGAAAATTGAATCTGAAGTTTCTAAAATTATGGATAACACATTGGGTTAGATGCACCATTTAATTAGCGGTAATACATCACTGTGTACCGTATTAAATAAGAATGTATCTTGAAACGATCCAAAGTCATTATCAAGTAAATTCATCCCATTTATTGACTATGATTTGAATTCATTAATTTGGAATGTTTCAACATGATTGGTAGAGTTTTAAGGACTCAGGTTTTATGCTATCCAATATTCATTGTTAACAAACGGTGTATTTAGAAATGTACCGTTTAAAATTTTAATTTTTTTCCTACTAAGGGATACTTTTTAGAAATATTACGTTTAACCTGTTCAATAAAATTAATTCGGTCAATAACAACTATATTAAACATGGGTTCATCATCTATAGATGATTTATTTGTGATGTAGATACCGATTTTCATTCGTTTTTTCTTTATTTCTGTTAAATCTTTCCTGCGTTGAAAAAACAAAGACTTGGTCGAAAATTGATTTCATTACTAACCATGATTGAACGGGAACAGGATTATATAAATAATTCTCACGAATACTCTCTAATATGTACAACACATTCGGAATATATGAATCGATTAAATGAAACTGGAGATTTAGAATTAATTAATTTAGAGCGTCTAACAAATTGGTTTTCAGATGGTCCTAGTCAGTTTGCTGTAGATCGACTAATTCGACGTTTACGTATGCGAGAAAACCCTAATCCAACCGTATGGTCATCCGTTATTGATCATCCCAGTGAAAGTGAAAAAACTGCAGTTAACTACGTCACAATCTATTAACCCTTTACCAAGTGAGTTTGAATAGTTTAAAGAATTGTATCCCTTCGGATTACTTACTGATTATTTCTTATTTTCCGAGTCATAGATAACTTAACGACTTCTCAAACAAGTGAATGTTGAAGTGGTGTTGATGTAATTTTGATTGGATAAAGTCAATACAAATAATCAATGTTGTCACTCTTCTCACACTGTCTTTCTATTCATCTATTCTGATAAGTCTCGCTACCGATACGCTTTAACGGTCTTCCCATCCGATTCCTTTTAACTTCGACTATTTCTATCAGTTAACTAGAACACTAGAAGGAGGGCGCGAATTACGAGTTTAATCTATATACAGAAAAATGGGGATATTTATGGTTACACATAACGTTGAGTCTCTGGAAACTTCTGAAATCATTAAATATAGTAGTAGCAGTGTAGGTAAATATCCAATCAATAACGTGGAGCATAATTCTGTATTTTCTAGATGTTTCTATGATGCTTCTACCCAACTCTGATTAGTTAAAACGTTTCCTGGTGTTCCTGGGAATATAAACACTTTGATGAGGAATATTGTGGGACACTCTCAACACCTTACTCTGTTCTACTCGTTCGAGTGATACAATTTCACTAACTGTAGAACCGATATTCAACAGTATGTTACTTTGTCTCCTGTAGTTTTAGGTCAACACATATAAGCAAACTATATTGTTTTCAGTTAGATCCTCCTCAGGGTTGTATACAGTGATATTTCTAAGCACACATGAAAATACCAAACTAATCAAGACAGTTTATGCTTAATGATTGCATTGATTGCATAAATGAATAAAATAAAGAAGAGGTACAAATTGATAGTGTGATGACAGGTATACTAGTTGTAATATGATTAATAAAAGCTTGAATCAATACTTTATAATAGGAAGTAGGTCAAATATTCGGAAAAGCATACACTAACATAACATTCACTAAAAATTACGTAGTAAGTGTTCAGACAATTTTTTTACTTTATACCAAGTCTTTACTGATCACTAGCTCAGTGAAATCTTAACCTTTTAATACTTAACAAGATGTAAAATTGTTAATTAGTTCTACTGCAAAACAATTCTTATCGATTAACTGTGTTGACTGGAATCCCTTTCTTTGACCCAAACACACTAATAGTTTATGATCAGTTAACAGCGTGAATCGACGTCTAAATATCATCTTACGGAAAATATTTACAACAATGATAACTGAGAGTGTTTCTTTCTCGACCTAGCTATAACTACGTTTTATTGTTATAAACGAACTAATTACATATCCATCGGGAAGGATGTGTGGGACAACTGCTCCTATACCGTTATTCGAAGCGCCTGAAACGACCACAATGGGCAATAAAGGATCATGATACGTAAGTATGAGGTCTTAAGATACTAGTTGCTCAGTTTTCTCAAATGTTGCTCAAAGATCTGTTGACCGATTCAGTCTTGTATTATGAATAAATTGGTTAATTTCGAAAGCATTTGTTTATGGATATAATATGATAACATAGTTTTCAATCATGAATATGTTAGTCATTATTGTTTCGTATAGACCATAAAAGAATTAATTTCTGAAATTTGATAGTTTGAAAATTTAAACACTGAGCATTTATATAATCTTTTGAAATCTTATTCGTTATTCAAGCAATTAAATCAACCAAATAACTCTCTCTACTTTGATTCGAACCAATCACTAACTATTGCATTCTCGTAACAGTCGTAGCCTTACCCTGTAGTCTGCTATTAGTATTTGTTCTTCTGATAGTTTCGGTTATTTTGTTTTCACTAGCTAGTCTCCGATTACTGGGACATTATTACTTTGTTCTTAAGAAAAACATTTTGATTAAAAATAAACAAATAGCCATACTTATATGAACTACAACATCGTTTACAACTGACCTTGAGATACATTTCGTTTTTTTCAGTTGAGAAAAAATCAAACCATATTCCTCGCTTCTAGATTTCTCACTTTTTGTTAGTGAAGAAAAATAGACTTGTCTTTGTTTACTGCACACACAGAAAGGATAAACATATACATCTGAATGACTAATTTTGTTTTCTCTTCGTTGTTTTTTGTGGGAATTTCTCTTTCTTGTAATTGTGCCTGTATGTGTGTATTTCGAACATTTGTTTATTAAAATGGGACAAGAAGCAAACAGTCAATTTTATTTGATCAGAGTAGCATCCTACAATGTAACAACGTCATTACTATCTAGTTCAGTAACTTGGTTAACTTTTCAGGGAAACGTCTATCCCAAAATTTTATTCAAATTAATCCCTTATCAATAGATCAAATCGAGTTTATTTCGAATTACATATAAACCATACAATGAGCAAATAAACTATTGTCACGGTAATTCATTTTGTCAGCTATTAGTCGTCCCTGTAAAACCAGAGTTAGTATATTATTGTCTTCACGTTTTTTTTGTTCAAACAGTTAAATCTTTGTAATTTAAATCGTTATAAAGCGGTTATTTGATCCGAACGCCCTTTTTTCTATCTTCTAAGAAGTAACAATCGAACCTTACATTACTTTGAGTGAAATAATAGAAAACAGCTGACGCTTAAAATACACTCGAGCTTTATTAGTCATGTAATTGATTTTAGTTGTGGAATAAGTCCCAAATGTCATATGTGATTTAAATTAAAATATAGTATTGACTCTTCTAGTTGATTGGATGAAGCCGAAACAATTAATCTCTTAAGTCTACAAATGTTAAAATAGAAACAAATGCATACAGATCTGAAGCTAACGTAAAGTACAGTTTTTCGCCAAGGACATCTTGAAGATTTTAGTATACTCTCCAATCGACGACTGTATCTTACATTTTTCGAGTCTGTATTTATTTCATCTAAAGAGGATAGACTCTCTAAAAGTTAGTTTCTCCAATAGAACTATTGAAACTAAAATTTACTGTGAAGTTTGGCTGAGATAAAAAAACATGATAACTGACGACTTCCGTTGATCTGTTCTTTAGCAAAGGAATCACCGTATTTTTCGAGTAGCTGAAAGACTTCAACAAAGATTTTATACTTAACCAACATCCCCTTCTGTTATATCTTGTATCCTATTGATATATAACGTAATGATACCGCCAATTAGAGAACAGTGATTTGTCGACCGGACCAATGACACATAAAACCCGTACGAGCAGTCTAAAGTCTTTATTGGTCCTTCTTTCTGCTTAGCCCTGCCTGTTCAGTCCAGAGCACTAATCTCAGTTTCTGTGATATGATTCATTTATTTTAAACATACCTAGTTTATATACAAAACAACCAGACCACATCATACCATAAAATAAAAAATAACATTTGTACAAGATATAGCCAAAAGTGGCTGTGAATGTGGGAGATTGTAATTAATAAACTGGGCCTAACTCAAGAACGGTAAATCGCATAATAACAGGTTGTAGATCAAAATAAGGGTTGTAATAAGAAGAGTGTAGATATACACAGTCTAGCTACTGAATAATTATATATTAAGAATATACGTATAATATTTGTCTATAAATGGTTCTCAAAAGTAACCATTCATAATTCTCACCGGGATATAACACCTTCATTATCAGATACTGATAAATCCTCGTTCACAACCGTTGCTATAACGTCGGTAAGTTTGTCTACGATACACGAACAGGTGTACGTTACTAAATTTAGTGGACACACATTCTACCTAACCTTAATTCTAACCGGTTTTCATCAATCTATTCCTTTGGAGAAATAAAAAATAACCATGAAATCTAGAATTTCGCCAATTATGCACAATTATACTACTAATAGATCGTATTTACAAACCATCCCATATTTCCTTTTAATACTGAACAATAATACTTATAAACTCATTGGTAAAAATAGTTTAACTTCTAAAAGCAATCAGCGGCAACCAGATGCGGATTCACCTTGTATCAGTGACAGTTATTTTGTGAGATCAAGTATTTGGTTTCCCTACATATTCTGATGATCATCGCTCAGAATTCAGGAATAATGTAGATTTTATTTCTGCATACCAATAATTTTTTGAAATCCCATGGTCAAATGTATGATCACATAAACTGAGAGTATTTTAGGCTACAAAAGTCGATTATTATCCACATTATCTGATATCAAGTATTTAATTGATCCTAACAGACAATTTTTTTATTCCTTGTCTATTTCCGGAACTATACATATACTTATCATAATCGTACATTGTTCTGCTATTTAGTTCCGTGTTTATAACGTTCCCAACTGTTTAATGTTGAAAAATATGTAATTAGTGAATGGTTATTACGAAATAAACGATATTAATCCAGTTCTGTAAATATTACAAAACCATACTAAAAAGCCACTGGAGCGGTAGCTTAGTGGTTAAGGTGTTCGCCTTTCAGCCATACATAGAATTTGAATTGCATGATGACCATAATATCTGGTTTCTAAAGTTTGTGATGAGTGAATAAGGATTCGAATCTTATGATCTAACTGTAAGACATCGAAAAAGCTTTCGCCAGAGCGGTATTTTCCTGACCGTGGCTGCTACCTTGACGCGGTGGTCGGGCTTGCCTATCGTGATGACCCAACCGAGCTATATTGGCTGGAACATATGTTCCTGTAGGTTCTACCATGCCAGGCAAGTCGATTGAAGAACGGTAAGACTAAAAGCAGCAACTCAAGGTCTGAGGGCGAAGTCGTACTGCTGACTGTAGAGGGGTGTGACAGCAGTAAGGTGTTTCCCTCGGACAACCAGCATGACAGCGATGCTGCCTTCCCACAAGGAGGGGGGGTTAGAAAAGGTCGACCCTAAAAATGTCACACCTCACCTTACCTCACGGATTTCCGTCTCCGGCGGTAAGGCCCTTTGAAGAACGGAGCTAACACATTAAAAACCTTCCACAAAAAGGCCGTGCGCGACCGGCCTCAAGCAGTTGTCCCTTGGGCTCTGCGGTCACGCTCCCAGGTCGTTAAGACCAACACTAATCCAATTTCCTTTTCAGGTTCCTCAAGAAATACCCTTCCACGGTGTGGGCAGCCGGGAAGTGACATCAGCCCTCATACCCGTAACAGCACACGAGACCAAGTTGGTCACATTCAAATCCTTCCTACACCTCCTAATACCACTCTTATCTCCCGACTAACCCTCCTCACGTCCTTTTATCACCTCGCACCGCTAGGGCAAACGATTCGAGTACGTGTAACGCTATTCCTGGTCTCCTGAAACCACGCTCTAAACTACACGTAGGAGCTTTTAACGTACGAACACTTTGCCAAATAGGACAGCAGGCTTCCTTAGCTAAACTTTAGAATCTCGCGCCATCGATGTGTGCTGCGTCTCCGAAACGCGCATACAGGATCCGAGTAGCGTCATTCATTTGACCTCACCATGCCAAAAAAAAAACCGACTCGATTTACGCTTCGTGTATCTGGAAGCCCTGATTCTGCTTCCCGTGGCCTCGCCGGCGTAGGTATAGCATTGAGTCCTAGGGCAGAACTAGCTCTCTTAGAGTGGATCCCAGTAGACAGTCGTTTGTGCGCTGTCCGACTGAACGGAACAGTAAGGATCCGGAAAGATAGGGACACTCGTCGTTGCCTCTTCGTCGTCTCTGCCTATTCTCCCACTGACTGCAGCTCAGATGATGTAAAAGATGAGTTTTACAGAAAGCTCTCCGACCTTCTCCGAAAAGCTAGGCGCTCGGATGTAGTAATAGTGGCCGGTGACTTTAATGCTCAAGTAGGTAAACTAAACGAAAGGGAAAGACACCTAGGTGGATCTTATGGTGTCGTGGCTCAAAGAACAGATAATGGCGACCGTCTGTTGCAGCTATGCTCAGATAACCGCCTGTTCCTTGCAAATACTAACTTTAAGCATAAGGAAAAACATCTTTTAACATGGCGACCCCCGAATTCGTCCCAACGTTGGACCCAAATAGATCACATCGCTATCAGCCACCGATGGAGGGGCTCGATAGAAGACTGTCGCTCATTCTGGAGCACATGCCTAGATTCAGATCATGCTCTAGTGCGAGCGCGTATTTGCTTGCGTCTTACTGCAAGGAAACCTCTTAGGGCCTACTTAATGATAGTCAAGCTAAGAGTATATTTCAGGAACAACTAGGAAAACAGTTAGGCAGCCATGTATGTGATGCCCACCCCGATGCAGCATGGAATGATATCCGAAAAGCTGTGGAAACAGCAGTGATATCTGCTAGTAAGGTAAACCGTAAGGTTAGGGAGCAACACTGGATCTCAGCAGCATCTATCGCACTGATAAATGCTCGAAAACTCATTCCATCTGGCTCTGAACATAACGAAGAGTGGAGTCAGCCTGAGCGCAAGCTAACAGGAAGCCTAAGCAATGATCGCGAACAGTGGTGGGTAGCAAAAGCAAGAGAAATGGGAAAGGCAGCGGCAATAGATAACAGCAGATGACTATTCAGACTTGTTGAAGAAACCGGTATTAGGAAACCGACTGTTAGCGAAACAATCTCTAAGCAACAATGCAAGCATGTTGGGGATGCGATCCTCCCCCTCGAAATGCAAATGTTACTTCAGGATTGGGTTGCATTGACACCCGAACTAATGATAGGGAGTGAAGTAGTTGAGCGTGTCGACCGCTTCACTTATCTTGCAAGTCTCATCAGCCATTGTGGTCTAATGTGTGACGAAATCTAAGCACGGATACAGAAGGCTCGACTAGCTTTGCCAACTTGCGTCATTTACGGCGTAGGCGAGATACCCGTCTATCAACCAAAGGACGTGTTTACTGCGCAGCAGTTCGTTCCGTCCTACTTTATGGCAGTGAAACGTGGCCGGTAAGAGTAGAGGATAGTCGTGGGTTACTAGTATTTGATCATAGGTGTCTTGGAAACATTGCTCGTATATCATGGGACCATCGAGTAAGTAACACAGTTGTTAGGAAACGGGTACTAGGTAAGGATGGCAAATCAATTGATGAAGTAGTGAAACTTCATCAGTTGAGATGGCTGGGACACGTGTTACGTATGCCCAACGACCGACTACCTCGACGTGCGATGTTCAGTGGTATAGGAGTAGGTTGGAATAAAGCTAAGGGCGACCAGACCGAAACATGGCACAAGTCCATGAAGTCACTGACAAATGGACTGAATCATGTTGGTAGGTGTAGACTACCTGGTTGGGGACCGCGAGATGATAGTAACCGATGGTTAGAGACCCTAAATGAAATGGCTCAAAATCGTTTGGAATGGCGCAGGTGCATCCACTCTTTGTGTTCTCCCAAATTTTAATCTCCTGATTTCTCCCTATCTCTTTTTTCTCTTTCCAAATTTATTTTACTGGATTATACTCCTTGACTAACATCTTCAAACCCTAATGTTTCTGATTACTGTTTATACTCTTACTACCTCTACCACTACGGGATTTGAATCGACAACTGCATCTCTGTGCTAATGTGGTGTGGCAACTCGAACTGATGTACGTACGTACGAAGTTCTACGTTGTTACTAACTGACTGACTGAGAGCGGTATTTTACAAAGATTTATAATAATCAGTTTAGATTCAATATGCATTTGTGTTTAACCATGAAATGTATACTCATATTTATCATTTACATTAATTCTCCATCACTTCTTTCCAGTTCCAAAGTCTAATCATCGTCCAACTAGTGTTCTTACATTACAAAATTATGAAGATCCTTTATTTTCATGTCTTCAGTCATTACAATTATTTTACCATTCATGTCTCAAACCGGAACCTTTTACTATACGATCTGATAATGAAGATATGAATACTTTATTGTTGGGAACTTCAAAGCTTGTTGATTTATTCACATCTAATTCAGCTATTTCCCCTTCGCTATTAAATAAAAATTCTACTTTTAAACAAATAAAACAGCAAACTTCAACGGTGAAAGGACCAGCTTTTGATGTTTGGCAATCAATTCTCCAATCAGCTATCATTTTATCCGATTTATTTACAACACAAGAACAATTTATTTGGTTAAATGATCATTTACAAGATGGTAAGATAGTTATGCATTCGTCTACTACTGCTTATAAGTACACATTATGATAATCAATAAACCCTCATAATTATAATCCAGACTTAACTGATAGTATCTCATTACATGTACGGGCCTGCTACGCAAATCTGAATCGTTTATAGATGTTGTATTTTGGAACATGACACTGGAAAATAATAATAATCAAGTGATTATACAGAAATTATTTAAGATGGGTGAGATCAAATACGTCTAAAACGTTAAAAATGTTTAATAAATACAATAGTGTAAATAGTGCACCAATCTATTACCATTTTGAATCACATGATATAAGATCTAACGAACCATTGCTGACTAAATAATTGAGTAGGGATGACTTATGTTGATTTCTTTTCAGCTCATTTCACTTTACACCCATTTAATCATCATTAATTCAGGTGTTTCTTTGAAATATAAGACCAGGACATTACTCTAGGGAGAGTAAATTTCAAACCTAAATTTTTCTTAGACCACATACTAATTGTCCACTTAGTAATAGCCTAATGCTCAACTCTGATCAAATACCTCCGGTTGCTTGCCTCCGAGCACCTAACACCAAATCTTGATTGTCAAGTTACTTAGAGCTAATAGTCACTAGAGCTCGATCAGCGCTAAGTACTCTGAAACGTGACACTGGTTACTGCACAGTGATTTGTCAGTATAAAGACTTCAGTTATATGAACCTCTAGAAATCAAGCTATCTGTTTGATAATATCTAATGTACAAAACAATTCTTATTGTATAACTTCCTCATTGATATATATAACAGTTATTTTAAGCACTTTCAAAAGAGAGTACATATTTCATAAATAAAACTTGATACTTAATGTCAACCTGTCCCACAAAAAGAGAACAATTCTGAATGTATAGTATGTCTAGTCTTCAGTAGAGTTCAACTTTGTTGGGCATGAGCTAAGTATCGCCAGTGACAATGAATGATATCGCGAACTGTATAAAGTTAAAAAATTTAAATCATTAAATGCCATCTCAATAGTCTTAAGACTAAGCACTTGTCACAGGGCCTAAAAGACCGTAATTTAATCCTTAATGAGACTGTGAATGCACAGTGCTGAACATTCGCATACTAGGACGAAATACCCGTCCATCACCTACTGGCTTTCAATTGTTGTCTACTCAAAGTCGGTCTGTAATGTTAAACTTTACTTTTCTGCTGATATCTCTATTAACTCAATTAATTATTTGAATTTATATTAAAAATGAATGAATTTTCTTTTTTTTTTAAATAGCATTAAAACAATTACCAACATGGGATGAATTTCAATCACCAATACATTTATGGTTAGCATTAGGAATTTCAAAATGTACTGCTGTATTAGAATTAGTTAATAGTTCACCAACTAATTCGCATGTACTTCAACCTTATTCACTTGAACCAGCTGTAAAACAAACAATGAATGCTATTAATTCTAGTTTATTAACAGTACAAAATGCTGGTTTACATAGTGCAATGTATTTATTACATGCAGCATTATTAATTAGAAGACAACCATATCAACAACAATTACAACAACATAGTCCACCAACTGGTTCATCGTTGTTAAATGAACTTTATACATTTGTAAGTTTTTGATTGGTTAATTAGTTCATTAGCTTTATTTTATTTAGTGTGAAGATTATAATTATTAAAGACGGCTTTCATTAAATACAAGGAATCAAAGATATTGGTTAATAACTATGTTAATTCTCTTGACCTAGCACACTTGCTAGTTCATATGGCTACTGTGTCCATAACTGTCAAGTCTCTTACGGTATTGTTAAGCTCCAAAACCATTAGTATAGAGTCTCAAAATTCAGTCAGTTCATGATATACCATAACAGTCCTTCAATGATGTATTAGTGAATATACGCTTCTATTCCTTGAAAGATTGATTTAATAATCTATAACTTCTCTATTGAGTTTTCCCAGTATATATGAACATGGGAATTTTCAAATTTCAAAATGGACATCTCAACCCCTATATATCCTGAAGAGATAATCCGACTGAGTGAAAAATATCAATTTTTATTTCAGGAACATCTTTCTTTTAATCTAAAAGCATGGAGATAATAAGAGATCTATTAAAATATAGTTTTTATTACGGACCAACTACTGAAAACCGGATGTCATTGGATAACCGTTGAATCCTAGTTTAAGATTTCTCAACAGTACACTTCTACACAGGGCATACGAGTTTAAATGTCAGACCTTTAAATTCAACAGTAAGATCAGTGCTGCTTAGCTAGTAACACCAAAGTAAATAAATCTCCGTAAAAGTCAAATACCATGATATGTGTTTGATTCTGTTAAGGATTCATTTGATCCACCTGTCTGTACGTCAAAAAATTACTGTCTCAAGTTAAACTCCGACCCAATGCCGGTTTCTACAAAGTTGGAATAACTTTATTTTTCTAAAAATAATTACATTTCTACGTACTTCACTTTGTATCGATTTTTACGCTCTAGCTATACAGTTATTTGGAAAAGAAGATTAACACTATATTCTGTAATTCAGTAGTAACAAATTTACTAGGCACCGAAACATTAATTAACCAGAATTTATCAGTTTCTCCTAATGGATCATCGGGTATGAAACGATTCATGCAAGCTGTACTTCATCCAGGTACGGCTAGCAAAATTTCTAATACTTCTAGTGTGGAACGAGAGTGTGAGTTTATTTTGTCATTTTGTTTTATCTAACATTTTATATGAATTAATGCTGTATGAATTAGATTGTAATATTGAAAATAAACAGCAAATAAGTGTGTTTTAATTTGTAAAAAACTGTATCTTTTGTTGATCTACAAATGAATTGGAAGAACTATTCAACACTAAACAGATATTTGATGCCAACCATTACTGATAAAAGACTATTTACACTAAAAATAGTGATAGTAGTTAATTATGTTAGAATATTTTGAAAATATAATATTCCTGGGTGGTATTTACAGTTCTTAAATAACTAAATCCTACCTATTGTAAAGACTAATCTATTGTTATGTCCAAAATCACACACTGCATTTGTAAAATATGGAAACAATATATTGAGTACACCATTTTCACATTTTACTTGAATTGTCGCTTACGAACCCCATTGTTCTTTCATTCCTGTTTCTACTTTGACTGCTTCTACTTTTCTCTCAGTAAGAATCCTACTTCCAGTTCCTGACACATACTACTTATATCTGTCCGAATAAGTAGCACACATCACACTATAACATTTAAAGTCCATCTACACTATTATACACTAGGTATTTCAAATTGAAAAAACATTTAGATTGAATACAAATACCTTCTACATACATACACGCACTGGATAAATTATTCCTTCTATTCTTCTGTCGTTTCATGTTTACTTACGCTTGTTAGCCCTTGTGGAAAAGTATAGGCCGCCCACCAGCATTCTCCACCCAACTCTGTCCTGGGAAATTCTTTCGAGTTTTTTCCAGTTGCTATTCATCTTTTTGATATCTGCTTCCGGTTCCCGGCTTCATGTGTTCCTTGGTTTCCCTCTGTTCCTCTTCCCTTCAGGATTCCAAGTTTGCGCTTGCCTTGTGACGCAGTTTGCTGATTTCATACTGACACTGTTATAAGTAGTAATGACAAATCTTCTAGTTGAACTCTTGAATTGGTTTTCTAAGCTCTTCTAATAACCCCCAGGCTAAATGTACACGGCGACTTGAACATGAGAGAGAAAAGACGCGGAATATAGAAAGAACGCTTTATTCTAGAATATTTATAGCATTTCAGATGGCCTTGTGCTCCCGGAAAGTTCTGAAACCCTTTTAAACAAAGTAGCAGGATAGGTAATCATTCAACCAAAAATGTGACATGTGGCTCTTCAGCTTCTAGAAGTCTCCGAGAAACTTATATTAGATGCTAATTAGATAAGATGTTTCCTAGCGTTTTCAGGGCCCCGTTGGGCATTTTCCGTGGGATTTTATGGGTCTCCCCAGCAACTGGTATAGACATTATATTGTGATGCAGAATCTTGTCAGCTTAAGATAACTTTTCTTTCAATTTTAAAAATTTTCCTTACTTATTGATAACGACAATCATTAATAATAATCGTTTAAATTTCATTTTTAGCTTCTATAATTCATTTATCAAATATTGATTTGACAGATCATATAGAACAACATCAACTAATGATACTTTCAACAGCGTTTTTCTTAACCGAACATTTTTCTGGTCCACCAGTTTATCCCATTGTAACAGATCCAGGCAATGGTATTACAGAAATGTTATCTGGTCTAACAGCTGTATTGTTTCGATTAGCATCATGTATGCTTAGTGATGTGCCTATAATGAATCAGTCAAAATATACAAATAACGCTGTAAGTAATCATTATTGATAATTTTTACATTTCTTTTCTAATGAATATGAATATAAACGCAAAAATGAATTGTGTTAAGTTGAATAACGTTTGTTTCGTTAGATCTTCATCGGTTCCTTTCAATCTAGATATATTTAGATGTTGAATATCCAGATGGAGCTTAATGTATTGATAGAAACGATGGTCAATAATTAATGTAACCATATATCTGTATAGTACAGCAAAGATTTGAATATAGTTTGTTGTGACTTCTAGCCCGGTTAAATATCACGTGATTTACTCGCCAATCAGAATACGACTTATACAAACCAATGACGTATTGACCGGTATGAGTAGCCTAGCGTCTTTATTGGTCCGTTATCCTACCTAGCCCTACCTGTTGGGTTCAGAACACCAATATTAGCATCCACTATACGAATCATTTATTTTAAACATACCTGGTTTATGTACAAACCACACAGGCCACATCATACCATAAAATAGGAAATAACATTTGTACAAGAATAAGCCAAAAATGGCTGTGATTGTGGGAGGTTGTAATTAATAAACTGGGTATAACTTAAGAATAGTAAATCGTATCATAATAGTCCATATTTTACAATAAAGCTTATAATAATAGGAATATAAATATACATAATCCGGTTACTGAATAGTTATACAATAAGAAATATATAATATTAGTCCTTTAGTCGTTCTCAGCAACAGCCTACTATGGGGGAGGACAAACCGCCTTACAGCTGAGGAGGAAATTACAAAGACGTTGGAAGGGGACAGGACATACATTACGGAAATCATGAGGCAAGCCCCAACTTGGAATCCTGAACGGAAACGGAAAAAAGGAAGGTCGAAGAACGCACTACGTCGGGAATTGGAAGCAGAAATGAAACGGATGAGTAGCAATTGGAAAGAACTGGAAAGAGATTGCCTAGGACAGGGTTGGATGAAGAATGTTGGTGGGCGCCTATGCTCCTCCACAAGGGGTAACAGGCGTAAGTAAGTATTAAGCAAGTAATTAATCACTCTCAGAAGTTACTCATAATTTAATCTCCGCTAGGATATAACACAGTTAAAGTGATTAATTACATTAATGGGATTAAATAATAGACACAACAGAAAAAAGGGTTGTAGAATATCGATCAAATCAGTAGTAAAATTCTTCAGTACAAAATGCAATGAAACGTTCATCAATAATAATAATTCGAAATCTGATGCGATAAACTCACATCATCTGTGTGTATAAACTACTTCCTTCTAATAAAGTAATTGTCAGTGGTCGAACAGACAAAGTAATCTACTTGAGTATGTTTCAAAAGCCTTTTTACTCATCAACTAGTAAAACGAAATGATACATTTTCCTCCTATCATTTCAGTTTTATAGTAACAACCGATTGACAGTATCTTCAAAACTGTATATAAATATTTGATCAAAGCTTATTTTGTCCAGTATTATAATAAGACTATTGCATTCCGTACTATGTTCCTTTGATAATTCTTTAATTCTCAAAATCATATTTTTCTCCTTCCCTGTAATTTTCCTTTATTTCGTAGAAATGTTCAGCATTGAGTACAGGGACTACAGTAGATTTGAGTTATTCCTTTCCAGTCCATTTGGCATGGTGTCAAGGTATTGAACGTCTCATTCATACCGGACGCCTTGGTAAAGGCGCTATTGGTGTATGTTTTCTGTTTTGAATTTCATATTGATCTTTACTGGTTAACTGCACAAATTTTATGAAACCTATTCATTTGATTAATATAATTGATAAATAGTTTTACTTTCCTACTACTCTGTAAATATTTTTTGTCTACTATAAACAGTAAGTCGGAAAATATGAATGACTAAATAAAACACACATTAGTCAATAAGTCTACGTACTGTCTGTTATGTAGAAAATTTCAGGTTTTCATTCTTGAAAACTTTACAAATCATTGATTGTAACCCTTAATGTAACTTAATTTGAAATCGATTGTAACAGATAAAATTCATTATTTTTTCATCTTCATACTCGTGGTTCGCATTATGAACCTGAAGAGAGCCAAACCAAATTTCCAGTGAAAGCCTAACATACAGCATAGGAGTGAATTTGGTTCTAATTCAGTACGAAACCATATCAGCATAACTTGACTAACAAATAAACTTAAAAACACTAAATAGAGTTGTGTTATTTATTTATACAATCCAGTGGCTGTCTTAACTCGGTAGCTCAGTAGATAAGGCGATGGCCGTTTGAAGTAAAAGACATTGGGTTCGAGTCATAATAGAGAACACCAACTCTGAGTTGCAGGTATATCCTTCTGATGAATCCTATGTACGACGAAACTCACATCCTAAATTCTACTGCTAATCACCATCCAAATTTACTTGATAATGTTGATTAAAGTGTCACAAATATTTATAAAATCCAGAGGAAGGTTCTCGAACATCGATCACTGTCAAACCTAAACGATTACTCAATAAAACAGTGGGACACAAGCTAACTACACTGGGGAATTGTATGACTTAACCCAAGTCATTTAGAAATAAAACTACTAACTGAACGATGGTATGATAACGTAACACAATAAAAGAAATTTCGGATAATGACGTAATGACTTTAAAATTATGTTGTGCTTCGAGTTGCTTCTGTTACGTACGTGTCGGGTCTGTTGTATCCACAATCCTACTGCTCATGCTCAGGAACGGGGACCACTTTAATTCTCACTATGCGAGTTCAAACCACAAAGAGTGGTACAACTGGAGATTTACTGCCTCTCCAAAATAAAACCATTGAAAATCACATCACCAAACCAAATACACTCATTTACTGATTTTGCACGCACGTGATGAATAGTTAAATATCATATAAATAGATACATAGTGGCTGTAAAACACATATGAAGTTCACATACATAATACAAATAATATAATTGTCACATTGAGTGGAAATTCACACCTGTTATACTAAACGACATTTGTACTAATTTGATACAAACACATTGATCTCGTAAATCTAAAACCGATGTCAGACTGATTAAAATGTTACACTGAGAATAAAACCAATATCAAAATGTCACATTAGGAATAAAACTAGTTTCATAAAATGTTACATCAAATTAAAGAAAACTTGAACTCACCTCCTATTCCAACTTATAAAATTTATCTATTTTATTTATTTGAACACATTGGTAATAAGGGGGCACCGAATTACGTATATGCCACAGAAGTAGTCATCATTAAATTTGTGTGTGGCCTGGGAGACTGTCCGGGTGCCCAAAACAAGGCAGAAGGTTACTCCTCGAACTTTTGACCTAGAGGTCTAGTCCATAAGGCAATAACGCAACGTTAAGAAATGCGGTCCCATGGTAGTTGGTGATCACAAAAGGGTTCGCGCACCATTTGTTCCCTCAGGATCTTGGGGTCCACGTGCACCATTGGTTTGGAATCAAGGTTTTCCAGCTCTCCAAGATGGACTTTCCATACCCACCAACTCGAGTTAGGAGCCGAACATTCACTTTTTTCCTCTCAATTTCGTGGGCAGCATCCCATATTCGAGAAGGCAGTGAATAGGACTTCCCTGGTGGTAGCTGGGTATTTGGGCGTACCAGGGCAATTGAGAATACCAAAGCAAAGAAGGACCATTCGTTTTTACATTTTAGGTGATGAAATCAGGTTTCAAGAATTAGGTAGCAATAGCTTCAGTGAATTTCGGGAGACTAGAGGTTGTTTATTTATTAAATACTAAGACTTTATGTTATCTAATCGAATTTCTGTGTTTCTGAGATACCTGGAAATTGTACTGTTAAAGGCTCACAAGCTCAGATTTTTATTAGTCTGTCCATAAAATCTGAGATAGGCTCTTCCTTTTTTATTAGATTTGAATGTAGTTTACGTCACTGATACTCTTTGTTAAGATCAGAAATTGAACCAAGTTACCATCTTATATCGAAACTGAGTATAGCACTGATTTTCATGTTTGTCATGAAACCAATCCGTTCCTATAATTCTGTTTCGTTTTGATATATTTGTTTGTGAATTATAGAGCCTACAGAAAATGTGTATCAGTCGAATACGAACCTGTCGCTCGCCCCATATTAGTTTTCTTGCTATTCGTTTACTACTAACTTGTATGTACACAAGTTTAGGACGGTTGAACGATCGCATTCAACATTATAGACGTATTCATCATACTCAACAATCAGACAGTACCAGCACTAATTGTGAAATAAATATCAATAATAAAATTAATCAAGTTGCTATGTCAAATGAAGGTAAGTTTTATCCGCACTTCTTGTTTGGTAATGATGGATAACAGGAATAATCCTGATTGATTACATAATACTATTAAAGTTGAAATTTAGACTAAAATATGTACGCTAAACATTCATTAAATTTATGTAACTTATTTATTTGTTGACCAAACATGTTCAAAACAAACTTGACCATGAAAGCATTATTAGGGATCGAACTTTGTTACAAGCGTACCGTTTGACAAAGTGACTTTTGCTTGTTTTTACACTCTCTATAGGACAAATGATAAAGTATTGATAGGTAAAGATAAACCAGTATTTAACATAATCCAAAACATATTCTTAATCAGCATGATATTTTAAATGGTATATTTCAACTATCGGGTTTTACCATTTGAATTACTATATGGTGCTATTTGAATCTAGAAACATTTCGGTTCCCTAAATACAAAATGTCCTCCTATAACTCTATTTCCATTATATGTTGACATCTACTTAGTAGATCCAATTAATCGATCATTGAGTAATGACTAGTGTCATGTTTGCCAATTAGCATAAAACCTAGGTTCAAGGTTTCCTACTACCTCCAACCACCTAAATGGGTATGTAAAATCTGCTGCTGATGTAAGTAATTGACCAATCATTAGATTCTGATTGTGTTTCAAGTTACTACAGTTAAATTAAAACGCACTTGAATACTCCGTATGAATTGGTTATTCGAATAACCTCATTGATCAGTCTTTTTTTGGTATATGTACATCTTGTGTGGACTGTTTCGATATTGTCATTAAGTCATAAGCATTTTTAAGCAGAAACGGGCGGTGGCTAACAGTTAAATCCAGGATGCACGTTTCGTCCTATTCGGGACTCATCGTCCGGATGTACCTGCATCCCGGAGTTAATGTTCCCTCTGGGATTCGAACCCACTACCATTCGCTTCAGACGCCATCGGTTTTCTACTGAGTTACTGAACTCAGATTGTCATCGGCTTGTGTAATAGAGTGAATTTTAATTCATATGTACTAATTATTTGAATCTTCCGTTTGATGTTTAGAACAACAACTGCCCAGTCGCTTCTTCAGTACTATGAAAAGCATAGGTAATTTTTTTTACCTTAGTGTTTAGAGATATTCGATGAACTTCTAAGATGACCATTGGCTTTTTAGTAGCCAGTCGCAAAATATGCCTGGAACCTCAAAGAAACTTTACTTTCTGTATTATTATTGCCTGTGTCTTAGAATATTGTATGTATTAATATTAGTGTTAAGGAATTAAGTTAACGACTGACTCTTTTAAGACTTCACTACATAAGCTAGTCGATTCTGGATACTTTTTTTGTGCTGACAGACATTCAGAACTATATAGGCCTTGACCTTAATCATTCAACACGACATAAATCTTTAAGCTACGAAACAGCAATAGTATACGCCTTAAACAATAAAATTTTCTCAAGGTTGATGCTAACAACCCTATAACCGTTTCATAATTTTTTACACGTTGACAGACCTGTTGAAGAAATTAATGATAATAAATTATATTAAAGATATCATTGTTTTTAGACATTACTGAAAGACGATTATTATCATCATGAACGCTATCACATTTAGCCAATAAAAAGACTGAATATCTGAACCTCAAATGTTGACATTGTTCTTTCGATAATACTAGGTGATATGTTAAACTGAATATTCAGTTACAAAATTTCATCAACCTGAGAGAGGTTTATTTTATATCGCGAAATATGACTGCACAATTGTTAATCATACAATTTTCCTTTCTTTACCCTCGTAATTTGAATACGCACTTTAGATACACCTGGTCAGTGCTCAACGAAACCTGAACCAAAAGTCCCTGACCATAGCCCTCTCGAGTCGCTTCCTTCGTCAATTCTACAGATTCTGAGAATATTGTGGCTATTACTCAAGAATCTATCAATTGTCTATGGGAAAGAATTCGTGGTGGAATATCACTTATTAACTCCCCCGTTCAACCTACTCATGGATTACACATTGCTTGGACAAGTGTTACTGAAGCTCGTTTGATTACAAGATTGTTACCATTTATCAGCAGTGATGTGACTCAAACTTTTATGGGTCTAATAAGCACTCCAGAATCAATGAATAAACAGTCAATCCTTTCATCGTCAATACTTGGTTGTGATTCTCTACCGAATTCTGTTTTAAATAAAGCCTTAGGTGAATTCGCTCGTGCTGACCATTCATTTCCTAATTTAGCAGCTTCAAATTTAGCTCAGGTAAAAGCTTTAAGCAATTTTCTTTAAAAAATTTATCATATATCCTAAACAGTTGATCTCATATACACTAAGTTATTTTCACTCCAATTTAAACACAAACCTGGTACAATGTGAATATTAAGTAATGCACTACATAAAATAGTGCAACAGCATTATGATGATGTGCGGAAAGAGGTAAGATTGTGGGCGTGACATAGTTATCAGAAAAGGTAGGAGTAGTCTCACGTGATGCTGATGTGCATTAGTAGGTCGACTCATCTGTTGTTCACTGGCGTGATGTTACTTTATCATCCTATAAAATTTGACTAAACGATTTATTTGGCAGACACATATATGACTAATTATATTTTCAAATTCTCCGTTTTAAATAATCAAATATAATGATGCTCATTTACACTAGTTGCTATATTGTCGTTTTTCCATCATATTTCTTTTTTCTTTTATCTTCTTTAGTTATTTGAAAGTTTTATGCAAAATGAAAATGGTCAAAATTTAGTTCGACAGTGGGTTCTTCTTTCATTTCCTACACTATTAACTCGTCAACCCTCTTATTTGGCAATATGGGCTTGTACTGTATGCCTGTTAGCTGCGGCTACAGAACCAAAACTACGTACAGCGTATCCTTTCTTTATATATATAATTAAATGTTCGTTATATTTTGGGTTAGTAATATATCTTATTTCAGGTTGATCGTAGCTGCCCTATCCAACTTCATCTGTCTACCGGGTTCACATATGTTCTATTCATCTCAGTTTATGTAGCTTTACAACCTCATTGGTTAAGTTACCTTTTTCCGCCATCTCTAACTGATCGATACTGTTTTTTGTTGAGATAACTGAGAAATATTAGCTTTTTAGCTCGTAATGTAAAAATCATTTATGTTGAATCAAGCAAATTCTTTTCATCAACTCAGACTATTTTGATAAAAATTATCTCTAGTTAGTGCTCATGTGTGTTGGCTAATTTTTATGCTACAAAGATGAAATAAATAATATCCACGTTGAATCTTGTTTCAAAGTAACAAGTTTCAGACGTTTTTTGACTCGTCATATGAGAATCAAATCGAACATTTATTGATTTATACTGTCATGTCTATAGATGGAGTGTGTCAAATAACTTATAACAGAATTTATTCAATTATAAGGTAAACTACAAGACATACTGTCACTGGGACAAATCCATTGTCTCCGGAGTCTATTTATTCAAAACAGTCATTTCGTCACTCAAAATGAGAATGATAAATGTTCAATATTGTACAAGCTTTGTTGTGCTATGAATGGTGCATCATTCAACTTGATATATTGGTCAACAATCATTTCAGCTGTCTTTTTCACATTGACACCGACCATCATCTACATTTCTGAACATCGCTTTCTGTCTTCTGAATCAAATCGTTCATGTCATCTAATTAATGATTAGTGACTGTATTTGTTGTAACAGTTTCATGATTACAATTCATACAGAATTTGTGCAGATAATCAAAAACAAGTATAAAAATGAAACGTAAAATTGTGGTTGCTTAGACAAAGCTAATAATTTTGCACACATCTAATATGATTGAACATGGATTGAATAATATTGAACGATATCAACTAAGAATAATTAATGATAGATATTATTAGTATTATTACTCTATAAATCTTCTCTATCTTATCAGTAAGAAAAACAAAACGAGATAAAACAAACTACAATATTATCACTCATATTGTATTACATCTTCAAGGTTAATTGCATAGTGGTATATTTTTATTCAACATTGTGTAATTAAACAAAAAGAACTCCCACTATTTACAACAACTGAAATACAAACTTATACAGTTGTTTATCATATTTGTTAAACTGAATATTATTATATCGTAAGGTGTAAAGATGAAATAGCATAGCTCTTTATTTTATTCCGCCTTAAAAGAAAACAAAGAGAGATTGATTAATAATAAGTAAGTGTAAGACTATTTAAGTGGATCATTGATATAAATATGATCTATTTACTTATTTGCCCTATTTTCCTTAATGATAATAATAATATGTATAATTTCTTCAATTAACTATACTGTTCAATCAGGCTATTTTTATGTTATACTCATAAATTATCCAACACTGAGCCAAATAATTCATTCGATGTAGGCACTGATACTGCTACTACTACCAACACTAATAATAATAATAATAATTTACCTTCTTCTTCTTCTTCGTCAGTTGTCATCACATCCAGTATAGATCTATGGTTAAATGACCTTTTATACTTAGCTGCTTATCATTTTGTTACGGATGGTTTATTAAAACCTATTTTGAAATCGGAATCAGAGATACTGTATAATAAACGTCAAGCTGAACGTGAGCATTTTCTTGCTTTGATCAAAGATCATTGTGATACACTATGTACTACTAATAATAATTCCAATGTTACTAGTCCAACTACTACCGGTGCAACAAAGGATATCAGTAGTAGTAGTAGTATTAGTAACAATAATAAGCCATTTTTCAACAATAATATAAAAATTAATGCTGAAAATTCCTCTATATTTCATCAGTTATATACAATAATTAAAAAACAAGTATCTGACAATTCATCATAGATCAAATTTATGGCTGTGCTGTCCGGTTTTTTTTTTAAACAACAAACAAACTGAATCTCAACACTTATTACACATTTATTTTTTTTCCATGTTTATAACTTTAATTTCATCATATTTAATGTAGTAATAGTTACAATAATAGTAATAATAATAATATTGTATTGATATACTAGTGTATATTTGTATTTTGATACCTACTTACTTCGTGATCGACATGTGAGTACATATGATTGGGATTGGATCAGAATGCAAAATATCAAAATTGAACTTTATTATTTTCATATTCATATTAATACTACGAATAATAATACACTTTATGATATCAGCACTTAATTGACCATATTTTTGTTATCATTATCATTTTTGTTTACTGTTATCGTTGTTGTCACTGTGGTTATTTTTCACGAATACTTCTGTACTGCTCGTGTGTGTCTTCTTTCAATTCATTTTCTTTGGCTTCAATGGATTGTCATGTGTTTTTTTCGACCGATCATCATTGAATATGTATTTAACTATCTGTCAATATGACTTACTGGATATATGTTAATGTTTCTCTGTTGTTAATAAAAACGATTTACTGAGAGAAAGTGATTAGTTTATGAAATTTACTTTTATGTGTAGTATTTATGTGTGATCTTATAAATAACTGATCATCATGAGTGAACAGAAATATGTTAGATGGATTTCTTTGATGTTCCATTCTTGAAAATTCTATGCATTCCAGTTTCATAGCTTGATTCGAATGTTGTTGACAAGAATTTACTGCTCAGTCTTGTGGTAATAATGATGTATTGAACACTGCTATCTCGAAATGAAAATTGACAATTTCCAACAATGCTGCAGAATTAGCTCTTTTAGTTTATAAATTGGATCAAATTTTAAAATACTAAGCATTAGATACCAGTATTGTGTTTTAGTTGGAGGTGTATATTAATAAGCAGTTTAAAATTAGAATTATGCCATCATTTCATGCTTATTACTCTTCAATGATTTATCGTTTATTTCAGTTTGTCGCACTTAACAGTGGAATTCAATCTGTGTCGGATGTCAGACAGTTATCCATCACAAGCAATAGATAAGGATTGTACAAAAAAAATTTGAGTTAGTTGGAACTAGGCATTTACACTTTCGGATCCAGACTCAGTGACCTAGATGTTAGGTGCTCGCGCGCGAGGCAGTAGATCGTGGATGTGGTTCTAGCATGCAGAGTCGCGAATGTGCTCTTCTGAGGAGTTCTATACCACTGTTTGATCCAGTGCTTTCAGGTTTTTAATAGTGGTTTAGCTAATATCAGTTCTTGATTTAAGCTTGGAAAATCCACCAATTATCTGTGCTAATAAAAATCATTGTGTCTAGCAGTTTCATTGTCCTAATATCGTTATATCTCCAGATAAAATAAAACCAATAAAGTTGTCGATCTAAAGTACGCAACCTTGCTGAATTCTTTAAGCTGCCAACTGAAAGCGTACCCTCATGGAAATCCGTATGCAACTAGTATTTTAGTACATGTTCTAATTGTCTATGGGGAACGGAATGTTTATTTTCCACATCTACTAATAAGGTTTCCCTATTATGTTTATATAGCGCAAATATATCACATAATAACCTTTGTCTTCTCATTGTATTATCGAAATTTATCAAAAGGACTAATTGTTTTAAAAATACTTTCGTTAATAATCATTATCTATTTATGCATTATTTCAGGTAAGATAATGGTGATTGTTGGGAATCACTATGCTTTGATAACTAGGGATCAGGCTAAATGGAACAGAATGACTGTTAAACAATAAACACAGGGTGGTTTGATTTTTTCGCCTCTATCGATCGGTTTTAAGTACATAAACATTGAAAGATAGTGATTTGTTTAGATCTTTTAATAAGTGTCCAAATTGTCCAGATGCACACTTTTTGTTCTCTGAAATAAATTCTTCTATTGGTTATAAACCATTTTTAACTACCATCTGATCAGTTGAGTTCAGTGGAGGCCATTTAGTTTTGATTGTATGTCAAATTTTCATATTTTTTTATTTGAAAATTATTTGATTCGAAAATGGTCTAGGTCATTTCAATAGTTTAGGATAAAAAAATTCTTCAGGTTACTTTAGATCAGTGAATAAGAGTTAAGGTATTATTAGAACTCTATAGTAGCCAAAATTTGTAGTTTATATTTTTATGACATATGGCAACTGACCATTAGTTGTCTGAAGAACGACAGATATTATGGTATCATCGTGAACGTTTCGCGACCGATAAAGGCATGATACGTTGGTATTATCATTAGATTCAAATCGAGTCCCATAAATTGGCACAAAAACTAACTCATTTTTTGTAACATCGAAACAAACAACATACAGTAAACTGTTCTTCAAATTATTTTAATCTACAGGTGCTAGTAGAAGGCACTTCAGGTTATGTAGCTGATATTCATATAATCCTCTAAGTGAAATTATTTGAATTCCCAGTTTATCATGGTTCGCCGGATTTCATCCATTTAAATGAACACATTATTTACCTAGGTGATTTGGCTGAAAAAATGCGGTTTCGTTTACAAAATCAGGGTTGAACAGTATCTTCTACATTAAATTTTTTAGTGCCTGAAACCAATAGGGGCTTGGAACGTTACAACGTCTGGATCAGCTCATTTTCCCACCCATTTGTTGTTTTCGTAAGCTAAGGAATTGCATTGATTATTGTGCAAGTTCCTGCAAATGGCAATCCAGTATTTCGTCGAAAATGAATCCTGGACAAATAAATCTTACTGAAGACTTGCAGAAATAATCCTCTAAAATTCTTCGAATTATATTCGCTAAGGCCGATTCCCGTTTATTCTTGCTGCTATCTGACCATTTTTTTCAGCATACAAATTTGAAGTACGGTTTCTGATCTCGATGGAAATAGAAATTACGAACAGTGAAACGATAATACGTTTTCTGAGTGTTTTTTTTAACTCCCATTGAGGGAAATGTCACTTTAATAACATACACAAGAATGGTTTCTTCGTATTTATAACCTCGTTCAGAAATGAATCTAAACTCGTGTCAGCTCGATTATCATAACTCATTTTTACGATAAAGGTAATTATCCCAGAAACGATTGCCTTTATATTCATCTTAAAATGATAATAATCATTAATAGTGTTTTAGATTAATAATATTGTTGAATAACAAGTTTCAAGAGTATGTAGGAGGAGGGTATGGAAAGTTTTTCACTCATGATGGTGTGGGTTGATACCCAATGAGTCACTGTGACGCTATTTTCTTTCCAATGATAACGGTTAGGTGTCCACTTACCCTACTGTAATAAGACGACTTTTTTTATGATCACTGGTGAATCAAACTGCTTGTCATGGTGGCTTGTTCAGACTTCTGAGTTACTTGTTTTCCAGCTTTACAGACATCCCCACGAATAATTCGGTTTAATGAACAGCCACAATTTTCACGTATCCATTCAGACGAACTTAAAATGTAGATCCATACAATTTATAGGAGTTTACTCCGTCTTAACATAAAGTGATATTGGAAATTAGTTAATCTGATGAAATACAGTTTAAAATAATGTTCTGTGACTGAAGTCCGAGTGAAACATCATCTCAACTCGAGTTATGTTTTTCAAGTAGTAAATTTCCAGGCTAAATGGTGTTAACTTGAATCCTGCTATAAAAAGTGTACTTATGTTCCAAACATCCAAGCACACATAAGCAATTTTGTGAGATAAGATCAACTATAAAACGAAACATACGTTCTGTACTCAACTACCAGACACTATCCATTAATAGGAACACCAGTCGTGGCATAGTAGTTACTAATTAGTGTCTGAATAACATTTATTAGTTGGCACATTCACGAACCTCTGAATGAGTACCAGTGACGTTGAATTTACTGAAGAGTCTTACGAAGAATTCTATCAAGCCTCACGCTGACTTTATTTCATTTGACTAACTTGGATAAATAATTGTTTTATGTTTATTTCGGTATCTGACACGTTCGTTTTATCAGTAGCAGGTTATAGTGGAAGTGGTATGTATTGGGTTGCTTTAAAGTAACCTAAAAGATCAGGTGTCGAATTTTTCAGTGTTTACACTCATTTTTCTGTATTATAAGAGTTAATGACACAATAGATGCTAAACTTTGTGTTATACACAATTTTCTCTGATTTTCTATGCCACACTACCATTTACTCATTTTTTTTTGTTACCATATTTGGCAACTTTCAAGTGCCCTTGATCGAAAGATTAATTTTTATCTTATTTTATGTCTGACCAGATCATTATAATACTTCAGTCTGATGGTCAGTCAATATTCCATTCATCCAACCCTTGACAAAGGTCAACAGACGTCATTTGTAATTATGAGTCATACATGATCAGCTGATATGGCTTAAGTGTCGAGCGCATCATATCACACACACGTCTAGTATAATGTATTTCTGTTTGGTCAGAGTTTAACCAATGGGCTAAATGCAAATGGCGTGACAAATGAAGGCTTTCTGGCTCATCGATAGGTCAACTGTTTATTAGTCAGTCAAGGTCAGTCGTATGTGTATATGATTAAAGTAAGAAACAATCTTTATTCATTTCACTCGTGTCTCATGCCATGTCTGGCCATATTAGTGGTTTGTTGGATTACGATATGAATCCTGTTACAGCACAGTATATTTTATTTACCTCATTACAAAAACTTGATCAAGCTAAACGTTCTCGTGGAGGTATTAGACTGCGTCATAGTCTTATGATCACTGTAACTGCACTGAAAGCTAAACAACTTTTATGGGGTCAAAATCAATCAGTTCACGAAAATGAATACCTGTCAAAACCTCATTTACGTGATGACGAATATGAGACTGTTCACTTGGCATGTCATGTGTATGATCAACCAGTTTCAAATCAAGGACTTAATGAGTTCTATCTCCGCGACGCAAGTAAGCTCTCCTTTTTACTTGTATGTCTACGATATATACATGTTTGGGTTTTTGTATCTCGCTTCATTTTGTGTTATATGAAATAAATAGTAGTAGCTTGTTCATGTCATACGGTTCATAAATTCCTGGTATAATTAAACACTTTCTTTTACTCTATTGTTTAGTACAATTACAAAATGCCTTGTTGATTCACTTGTCATTTTATATTGAAATGCATAAAAAATATGTTTGTGAATGCTAAAAGTAATATTTATTTATTTAAACACAAACATCGGTAAAAGGAGGCACCAGATAGATATGCGCCACACAGATCATTCGATTTGTGTGAGGGCTGGGATACTGCCCGGGTGCCTAGACCAAAGCAGGTGGTTTTCTTAAGGGGCCACACCCCGAGATTTGGACCTAAAGGTCTCACTCACAAGGCAGTAGAGCATCGTAAGGAGATCCAGTCCCATGGTAGCCGGTGACCAACGATTGGTTCATACGCCATTTGTTCCCGCACGATACTGAGGCCCACGTGCACCATTGGTTTGGGATCCGGCTAAAACACCAGACATCCGCTTCTCGTCCTCTCATTTTCGTAAACAACACCCCGCCACGAGAAGGCAGTGAGTAGGACTTCCCTGGCAGAGGCTGTATACGCGTGGCCGTGTGAGAGCATTTCGAGGCAGAGGGTGGGCCCATTCCACTCTCGGTCATATCAGGGCATTTGGGGCAACTTGTTATGTGAGTGAATATATTTCACATCTCAATGTTCCTTACAAGGAATTGAATTCCCTCTCCTGAATATGCTTTTCCACTATTCAGACCGTAAACTAATATTTGTTTTATATAATTAAAACATCAATAATGTTAGCCTTATATGTTATCATCATTATGTTAAATTTTAAATTCCTTTGTTGTATGGTCTAAATTAGGTCGTTAATGTGACCTTAGTGACCTTTCTAGAGTGAATATCTTAATTTGTCTTTGATGATTCATCAAATGCATTTTTATTTTAGATCATGGTTGTGGTTTAATGAGTCAGATACTTGTTTATCTTCGGTCATTGAGTCTCAGGTTCTAATATCACTATCACTTGGGATCTAAGTGATCGAATATTACCATCACATAAATGAATGTGGCACAAAATTAGGTACTTGATTATTGAGTTCTAGATAAGAAGTGTATGTATAAACAAACAGTTTATAAAGTTTTCCGCGCACCATGTAATTCTTGCGTAATTTAATGTAAGCGGTGACATAGTGGCTGAAAAAAATCGCCTTTCAACCAGTAGATTGTACATTCAAACTTCGTGACACCTTGAGTCCGGTCAAACAGCAACTGACCCTCACAAACAGTTTCTCAACGTGGTGTGCACAAACATGTACTTCGTTAATGAGTTACAGGATTTTGTAATAATTAAGCGATGTATGATCAATATATGCAGTACTAATTGTCTGTTTTCTATTATCACAAGTGGATAAACTACCAAGTACGGTGGGCAAAAACTCACTGCCTTCTCGCAGCTGGGGTGTCGTTCACGAAATCGAGGGGAGGAAAAGAGAATGTCCGGCTCCTTACTCGGGTTAGTGGGTATGGAAAGTCCATTTTGGGGAGCTGGAAAACCTTGATTCCAAACCAATGGTACACGAATCCTTTGTGGTCATCAACCTACCATGGGACTGCATCTCCTAAAGTTGCCCCACTACTTTGTGGATTAGACCTTTAGGTCAAAGGTTCGGGGTGTGGCCCCTAAGAAAACCACCTGATTCGGTTTGGGCTCCCAGGCAGTATCACAGCTCTCACACAAATCAAACGATTTATGTGGGGCATATCTATTTGGTGCATCACTGAACCAATGTTTTTGTGTTTAAATAATAAATGACCAAATTAACCACACAGTAAAAGTCAGAATGACATATATCCATCTGGGTCATTTCTTGCATCATCGTGATATTAGTCTGTTAGAAATTAGTTTTACGACGCGTCGTAAGAGCGGTTTCGCTCTACTGTTGGGAAGTCTGACATTCGAGTTGGGGATCATAAGAGATCCCGTGTCTGATCTTCATTGGTTCGGAAGGATTGCTGACATTCAGTGGCGGCACGATGTTAGTAATAATGAGGTTTGACAATGCATGTTCGGTTTAAGCGGCGATAATTCAGTTAGTGTCAGGATCCTGAAACATCAGCTTCAGTTAGTAGCTTAGAGATGTTTTACGACTTCCCAAGGATTCCCACTGCTTGTATAGTCTGCCGACTGTGGCCGTGTGGAGAGAGCGGAAAGGCGATCATTTTCTGACATGGTGCCCCAATATTTGTAGGACTGCATCTATCAGGTCAGCACGACGCCGTGCTGGGGGCCCTTTTATTTGTTTATTTATTTGAACACATAATTATTGGTACAAGAGGGCACCAGGTATATATGGGCCCTAGATATAATGAAACTCACTGGATTGAAAAATTGTGGTTTTCATTTACATGCTTTTTAATATTTGGGCGAACTCTCAGCTAAAAACATTCTTCCTGAGTGTTTTGTTAGCCGTCCTCCTATTATACACTATTCTTGTTCGCTTTGGTGATTTACTTATTCCTTCTCCTTTAATATAAACTCCCCTCCTTTATTTCTTCACAAAGTTATTTATTTTGCGTAGAGCGTATTGTTCTTGTTATTGAGGTATATTGGATTTCACGTGCATTAAATAAAATAAATAATTTGTCATGAGTTGGTTATCATCTAACCTCAGTTCTTGGACTGTTATATCCGTCATTCATAGTAAAATGATTTGGTTGGTGAATATATCTGATGCCGAAGCATAACTAATTATAGAATAAATATCAGTAATTAAAACGAGAAAAAAATGCACCTGAGATCATTCACTGAACAAAATTACGTATTGTAGTTAAATTTCTTAATTCTGTGAACTTGATTGTTTATGTACCAACTAACCTAATTTATACGTGTCATTCATCATTGAAATGGTTACACAATTAGTGTACTATGAAGAAACTCAGTACCCAATCTTCTATTGTTTATTTACATAACTTGTCCGAACTTATGTAATCCCAATAAACAGTTGTTGTTTGATTAAGGCTCATCTTTTCTGTACATTATGCATTAAACAAGCTGTCATCTCTGTTTTAGCAAGTTTGTTTGGTACTTGTATAAGTAATAATTGTTTCAAACAACAGAAAACTTTCTAATTGCCACTTTTACCAGGGTACTACTGTTCAATCTTTACTTAGTACTACCTTTTAATCTTTGAAATAGTGTCATAAAGTATACATTTTGACATATATATGTCATATTCAAATCTTCATATGAAATTTACTAATTCCTATCAATACTTTTACTCTATATCTCATACAAATTCATACAATATGAGGTGACATCTCACTGGTTCTGTTGAACTGATGAGGTTAAAGTTAATTTAGTTGGACATGAACCCGTAAAACAATAATTGTTAATAGGTATGCAAATCACTACTTATCCTGTTCTACTCTAGAATAACAAAAAATGAATAACTTGGCTTCTCTAAATTTAAATTTAATAGGTATGATGTTTATATATTGGTTACTAAGACTTTGAACAAGTTATTGGCTACATAGGCTCAGTAGCTTGTTGGACAACGCGTTATGTGTTGAAAGCAAAAAGTACTGGGTTAGAATCCTAGTTCAAGTATCAACGCTTGGATGAAAGCACATACATCTGATGAATCCAAAATCGAAATTAACACGTCGTGGATCCAACTGCTAGCCACAATTAATCTAAAATGACTATCAATACAGTCTACATATTCCAAAAAAGATTGATCGAAGTTCAGTCAATATCAACAATCGGATAACTCAAACCCTTCCTAATGATGATATAAATGTACTGTACAATCCAGTTGATGCTAGCCATCAATCAATATAAGGATGTTTTTATTCATTTAAATTGTTACTGCTACAAATCTATGTGCTTATATTCGAAAGTAATCATTTTAAATTTTCTATATATTTTCTGGTTTGTTAGCATCATTCCTTATTTTCACATTTCTTTTCAGATGAACCTTACTTTCCCCCACCAGTAGATGAAATGATGGAAGTCGACAGTACAGATTTAGTCAATACTCCATCTAAACGATTACGTCATGATTACACATTCTCTTCATCTCCTTCAGCAGTACCATCATACAATGAACCTTATCTAGTCAGTATTAAATAAACAAAAAAGGTTTCCGTCATAATGTTGATTGAAAGGTTTACCTCCAATATTTTTTTCTGTGATACATTTTATAAAACAAGGACCTTGCTTTCTTTTAATCTTATACTCTGCCTTCAGTATCGATTTTTCTCTTCTCTGTTCGTATGTTATATACAATACTTGTTTGCATATGCCAAAAAATAATTATCGGCTGTTTTTCAGCCAAAAAAGTAATTATGAACTCTTGAAATGCAGAGTATTATTTTCTACTATTCTCTCTTGTTGAATATAATGAAAACACTTTTCTGTACAATTCTCATCAAGTTCTTATTCTTTATTCGGGATCTTTTATTCCAATATCTTTTTCTTCTATTAGATGACCATTGTACATATTTTTTTTATTTGAATATCAAACAATTTATCATATATTTCCCAAACAAAAGTTCTCTTTTTTTGATTGGGAACAGGTTTACAAAGGGGATTTGTGGGAATGTTATCTACTAGTTTAAATTCTTGATATATTGCTAAACCTTCCTGTTTTATTTTTTTATTCACGTTATTGAGTTCATTACCATATCAATTCAATTGGATTAAATCAAAGTTAATATAAATGATTGACAGTATCTCATGCATGATGTTCTAACAATAGAATCAGCAAAGGTTTTTCGACTTTTCATATTTGTTTAACTGCTATCGGCTTTATTTTAAGAGAATTTCTATCTGTTTAGTTTAAAGCTTTATGAATTAATCTTGATGTGATTATGTAATTCAAAAAAAGTCTTGATCAGTACTATAGTAGGTGTTTTAAAATAACTAAATGAATTAATTAATAGTTTTCAGTCGTATTCGTTCTACGTATTTCGTTGTTATTCCTTTAAAGACATGGTATATTGTAGCTGTTACTAATTTGGGAATACCTATTTCTGAATGTAAAATTATAGTATATACTGACACCTTTGAATTAGTCAATCAGCATTAAGGTAACTCCTTATGTATTTGCGCGAAATTTAAAGTGTAGTGATAGATAAGTTGATATTATTGTCGGGGAGATCTAAAATAACCCAAAAAAAAGGCTCCGAAAACGCTGAGAAAAATTCTTTTCCAATCAACATTCAATAGAAGTTTTGCCAGAAACATCTAGGAAGTGGGAAGTTACATGTCGCGTTTCCGATTGGATGGTTACCTACACTGCTACTACGTTTAGTCGAGTTTTGGAAGCTAGAGGTCATCTAAGATGATATAGACCTAGGTTTTCGTTACATAAAGGAACCTTTGGAGTAAAGCTTTTATTCCATATTTCGTGCCTTTTCGAGTCGCCGTGTAGATTTAACCTGGGGGTTACTAGAAGAGCTTAGGAAACTTATTCAAGCGTTCAATTATAAGATTTATTAATTATTACTAACCAAATGAAAACTGATTCTTAAAATGCTTGGAATCAATACAAATATCTATGATGCAACTATGTTCTGAATTGAATATAGTGCGTAAGCTAAATGATAAAACGAAGCTGTTTCAAAGGAAGATTTTGTGTTAAATACCTTAACGTGATTCAATGCATATTCAGGAGTGCTTAACGAAGTTGGGTGATATACTCCCTTTCGAACTCTTCACCTAAATCACAACCTTAAGTTAGTAAACAGAAGACTAACAAAACACCACATCATGACCGATGTCGGTTCGTTATAAAAAAAACCCAACCCTAATTCGTAAACCCAACACAAGTTCCAACCTTACTCTTAATGCTTAACTCTTTAAATTATAACCGATGTCATGTGATGATAGCTATATAGGGTTTTAGTGGCTCAGGATTTGACTCCAGTGAGATGGTTTCTGGCTGCTATTGAGATATACGTATCATCAATCCTCGTTTATAATTATCGACTTAGATCGCGTTAGTAAATAACGGAATTAAATGAATCAAATACGAGAATGAATTTTTCAATACAGATATTTTGTATAAACGTTGATCGGAACATATATTCAGAGACGTAGCGAAGAATAGAGTGAAACGACGCGCAGTGGAGAATGCATGTGAGCCAACTCCATTTAACCAAGCGTTAATCAAAATTTATCGTCACACAAAAATAAGCTACAGACATCTGGTGAGTAGGATCAAAGGTGTACCCACATACGCTCATATAAAAACAGTCAAGGTTGATAAGTGAATAGTTACCAAGGTCAAAATTTGACTCAAATAGAATGAAGAGATTAGCCTGTCCGAAAGCTAGATTAAGGATAATGTGAACAGAGAAACAAGAAGCCTTGACAAACTACGGAAGCTATTTTTCGGTAATTTATTTCATTTAATTCAAAGGTTGTAAAACATTAACATCTATTTTTGTTCCTGGTCTATTCTACATATCATAAGCTTTCGTTTGATGTATGATTAACTGCCATAACCCTTTTTTCCAAAGCTATTGTAATTAAAACGTATTGTTTTGTGATCTATTTTTCAACGCTAATCTCCAGTTTAGAACATAATTGTATTTTCCTAATTATTGTACGTTGTGGTCGGGTTAGTCATCTACTTATTCATGTATCTTTTTACACCGATCGGAAATCGGGAACCAGATCAAGATTTTGTGAATAAGTCGAGCAGTGTTCCAGTTGATTTTTCTTTTCTCACTCGTGTGCTTTTCAGACAATCAGGTGATAGAATAGTTTTCTCTCTACCCCACTTCGAACTCACACGTACTAGCCTCAAGGTTAAGCCGGTCAGCCTATCACGTCAAGGTCTTAATCTAGATTAGACAAGTTATGCTCAGCACCAAAAGTGGCTAGACAGATCAAGGACGTAACAATGATGTATGGGCTTAAAATAATAACCGACACTACAGGGTGATAACCCTAAATCAGAATGTAGCCCCGACTCCTAACATTTTAAATGGAACGTTTTCCTTAACCACAAAGAATAGTTTGTGATGTGAGGGTTAATCATTCAAATTAAAGATGTTATTATTCTGCTATTTTAGTTTTGATTATTTTGTAGCTATTCCACGTTTCCTGACTGACTAATAAGTCTCCTAAGGTCGTCAAGACATACTTGTAACGAATAAGCTATTCCGTTTGATCAATCTTAGATAACGTAACTAGGAGACAAAATTTCTATGACCATTAGAAATTTATGGTTGCTAGTTGATGTAATGTAGTTGCGTTTATTACCTGCTCTTGCTACAATATAGTTTTTAACTGATTATACTCACATTCCCCCTTCCCTAGGTTAGAGATCTCTGGTCGGCGGCCTATGCCCCACAAGAGGTAGTAAGCATTATTGTATTTAAATATGTTCACATTTAATTCGCGCTAATTATGTTTCGTTATTAATCTGAATACAGCGTCCAAATGTTTATTAACTACCATACCGGCGTACAACAACAGTTTGCATGTTTAAAATTAAGGTATATTCTGAATTTTGGTCTCTCAGTTATGATTGCCATACTGCCTACTGTGTTCTAATGGCCTTAAATTTAAACCTTTTTTCAACAGAGTGTTACGGTACTAAGATTATAAATCTTAATGTCACGCATATTTTTTACAGGTTTGTGAAATCTGATGTGTATCAATTTTGGCGCCAAAGTTTCAACTAATTGCTTGACTTTATATTTTGTATTGTTATATCCTTGACTAATCCTAGTTTAATTTGTAATGTTATAATTCCTAATTATTTAATTGTCCTTTCTTTAATATTTCTGTATATTTCACTGAGGGATATTCGAAATTAAAAGTAACTTCCCGACTTCATGAATGCAAGGTATCGTACTTGCAAAGGGAGTCACGGTTGCATCACATCTATAGTTGTATTATTCTTATTATTAGCTTTACTCAATATTATATTTTTAGTACGACATAGAATTTTCAGCTCAGTGTGATGTGGGCCACTAATGTAGTCAGATATGGGTATTATGTATCATCAATCAAAAGTAAATACCTGGCAGCGAAATGTTAAGAAAAGAGAACTAGAACTGAGAATAATTGGTGTGGAAACAAAGGAACAATGAAGTCTGAGACGATTGATTGACATTTTGTAAATGAAGTATTTACTGTATGGTTCTCAGATTTTACTAAGTAATTTTGTAGTTTTGTGTTCAAATAAATTTGATCGTCCCCACTTGTGTTCTCGTTCACTACAAAAGTTCCCTTTTCTTATTTCTTGATCAATCCTGACAATAAATATTGAGTGATCGGCAGTTAGAAGTTAGCAGTCCAGTCAATCGACATCTAAATAATGTACATTCTTTTCGATGTATATTAACAGCAACCACAATATCTCTGATCGGGCCTTTTGTTACGATACTATTATCTTCATTTTAGTATTGTTATTTACATTATAATTAATATGCATTTGACTATAGATATTGTCTTCTATCATTAAAACCAGTAATTTAAAATTAATGAAATTATCATTTTTACAAAACTAGACATGTAGTTACTGATACTTGACTTTGTAGACTTTATTACTCGAATACCTTTCATTATCGTTTTCTTCAAATGACAAATTACAGACCGCTAAAAAATTCCCATTATATTAAAACACAATCAATATGAACGAAGAAGATTCTTTTCAATGAATTTCTCATCTGGTTCTACAATTCATAAATTCGAATTAACAATCCATAGAATTTTCCAGGTTTAAAGCAGAGTACATCATTTAAAATTGTAATATTTGATTTCAATAATTAAGATCATGAGTCATTTGAAGCTAGACCACCATGGGAAACCTGGAAGCACTGGACGGCTGTTTCATCTTATTGTGGGACTCCCCAGAAGTGCGCTTCCACGACCCCACCTCGCGGGATTCGGACCCAGGACCTGTCAGTCTCGTGCGCGAATGTTTCCAGGTTTTTCATGGTGATCTAGCTTCAATTGACTCATGATCTCAACTATTGAAATTACTACAATCTCCACAAAACCCTTTCTGATGTAATATGTGAATCAAGAATTGTTTGTTAGATAAAATCAAATCAAAGCGTTAATGTTGGGGCTGATTAATATGAAATGTTAGCTTGAATTATTACGAACGG